CCCCAAAAAACACTGTCCGCAAACCCAATGCCCAATGGTCGTTTGCATGTTTTCTGAAAACCGGGACAAGCCCGAGATAATAAAAACATTGACTAAAGGTTCAAGTCATGTCAGAAATATTATACGAGTTGAGCGCTCATGAACGCCACCACAAAGTCACAATTACGACTGGGAAGTAATGGCGGAAGCAAGTTGTTTTCAATCATGATTAATCTATTTCTGAATGTTGAATGCATTGTGTAGGAGAGATCAAAGTTTACCAGAAAACAAACTGACAAGGGGCCAGAAAACACAACTCATTTAGCCAGTTTATGAGCTGATAGGCTTGAGTGACCAAACTATTTCCCATTTTCCCATCATTCTTTGTGGCAACATAATAATAAACAAAACAAAAAACATCATGAGTTTCCCAGGAGGACTTGAATGCACCATGTGGTCCTAATATGCATCCTAATGCATATGCATATATTTTTATATAAAGTTGTTTACAAGTGATATTTGTCTTACCAATTGGTGGCACTGTCTCTCATGAGGCCTTGCTTCCCAAACAAGGGGCCACAAACACTTTGGCCCCTCATTTCATTGGACAGACATGTCAGGTGAAATAATATATATATGTATGTATATATATATATATATATATAGGGTTAACAAATTATAAAAAAAAAATTAAATATTTTAAATATATATTATGTTATATGTGTATAATTTATTCAATTAAATCAATTAGATAATGAACATATTAAACATTTATTATATACAACTTTTAAATGTCTGTGTAGAACGACACGCTTTCAAAGTCACTGTCTCTTTCCATTGACGACATATAGTTATTGTTAAATACATGTCTTTTGATGTGGCTGTTGTGAAATTGCTGTTCTTTTCATGGCTTTTGATCAGGTTTCGTGTGGTTAGTGCGGACACGCAGTTACATTGTCCGATAATAAAGCAGACGAACGGGATGATGTTTCATGTTTGCGGAACAAATGTGCGTTTTTAAGTGGGAGTCATGAATATTTGTTTTGGCTGATAAATCATGAGTTATTTAAAGACCGTTGACAGATTGTGTTTCGATTTACATTTTTGCCTTTTTACTGTTAATCCTGTTTGAGTGTTTGTCATCTTACCTCAACTCTTGCTTATTGAAGCATCTCTTTTTAAATCACCTCTTCATCAGCTCCTAATAAAACAACTGAGGTGTAACATTAAAGTCTTTAGCGACTCTAAACTGGTTTTTGCTCTAAATTCCACATTGAAAGTTCAAATAGCGAAAGTAACAAAGTCGTTTATCAGACCTACCGGTTGAATGCTAATACTAATGGCTAACTTTCTCCAGGTTAGACATCCTTGATCAAAAATAACTCACCGGCTGAATGATAATGATAACGGATCATTTTTCCAGGCGTTATAGACGTCATTAACCAGAAAACACTAACCGGTTTAATGCTAATGCTAATGGATAACTTTTTCAAGGCATTAGGCGATAGACACTTGATCAGAAAAAAAGTCCAGTTGAATTTTTATGCTTATTGTAAATTTTCTCAAAGTGTTATAGACTTGATCAGAAAATAAAATAACGCAATTGAATGCTAATGCATAACTTAGACACACTGGTTTAATGCTAATGTTAACGGCTAGCTATCTCCATTTATTACGGCCTTTCTTGATTAAAACAAACCCACCAGTTTAATACTAATGCTAACAGCTAATTTTCTCCATGTATTGCAGTCTTTCTTGACTAAAACAAACTCACAAGTTTAATAGTATGAATGCTAGCAACTAACTTTCTCTATGTATTTGTCTTTCAAGATCTAAAACAAACTCACAAGTTTAATAGTATGAATGCTAACAGCTAACCCAGACAGCAAACTGACATTGAATCAACGTGGAAACGACGTCTCTCATGACATTGAAACAACGTTGATTTGCTCATCGAATTAACGTTGAACCAACGTCAGACGCGGCATTCTTCAAAGCTAAATGAAATCGAAAATTGGTTTGCTTTCATAACGTTGAAACAACGCGTTGATTTCAAGTTGATTTTCCGTTAGTTTTGAAAGAATGACGCATCTGACGTTGGTTCAGCGTTAATTCGATGAGCAAAACAATGTCATATCAACGTTGTTTCGATGTCATATTTCCACGTTGATTCAATGTCAGTTTGCTATCTGGGAATTTTCTCCATGTATCTTTCTTGACTAAAACAAACTCACAAGTTTAATAGTAGCCTAATGCTAACAGCTAATTTTCTCCATGTATTTGTCTTTCTTGACTACTCACAAGTTTAAATGTATTAATGCTAACAGCTAACTTTCTCCATGTATTACAGTCTTTCTTGACTAAAACAAACTCTCAAGTTTAATAGTATATTAATGCTAACGGCTAATTTTCTCCATGTATTACAGTCTTTCTTGACAAAATCAAACTCACAAGTTTAATAGTAATGCTAACAGCTAATTTTCTCTGTGTATTACACTCTTTCTTGACTAAAACAACTCACAAGTTTAATAGTATTAATGCTAACAGCTAATTTTCTCCATGCATTTGTCTTTCTTGACTACTCACAAGTTTAATAGTATTAATGCTAACAGCTAACTTTCTCCATGTATTACAGTCTTTCTTGACTAAAACAACTCACAAGTTTAATAGTATAATGCTATCAGAATGTATTACTGTCTTTCTTGATTAAAACAAACTCACAGGTTTAATAGTATCAATGCTATCAGCTAACTTTCTCCATGTATTAGCCTACAGTCTTTCTTGATTAAAACACTCGCCAGTTTAATACTAATGCTAACGGCAAACAATTGTTACTGAGCTACTTGATCAGGCTGAAAACTACAGTTATTATTAGCCTAGTCTTTGCGGTTAAAGTCTAACATGCGACCTAATTACCTACAGTAATTGTCATAAATACTTTTCTCACAATCTTACATGTTTATTTATATTAACTGTTGTTTCTACGTTGTTTGTTTGAGTGGTGGCAACACAGCTATGTGTATTTATGGCAACCAGAGGACGTGCCTGTGCATTGTAGCGTCGCATGCCTAGCGTTGTTACCCTTTAAATGCGCAGGTGTGTCCAGGTGGAGCACCTACTGTCTTTCTGTACACACTTTGTGATGAGACACATGATTATGTACTGTGGAAATTATGATATTAACTGTACACGCAAAGTAATACTGTAATTTACATGTTAGCGCATGTTCTGGACAGAACAGTCATGGAAAACGAAATTAATCATAATTTCCATAAGCGTAATGGCAAGTCATTCTTTTGAAAAGACACTTATATAATAACACCCTGCACTTATATCTTTATAACCCTTTCCATTCACCTATTCTCATGTGACTAAGACCAGCTCAGCGAAATTGAAGTTCTTCTCAACATGTTGTAAAATCGCTGCAGAAGTCAGATTATCTTAAGAGTTTCTTTGTTATACGTAGAAATGGCGTTGATGGATTAGTGCTAAAAGTACAAGCGATTCCCATTAGTTTACACCCACGATAATGTTGTTATTACTACAGAAAGATCCAGTTGTGAGGAAGACTAAACAAACCTTTTGATTCTTTAAAAGCTTCTAACTGAGACATCCTTGTGTCAATAAACCCAACGAGACAGTCATAAAATGTCTGCTGAAGAGTTTAAGCTATGACCCATAATTATTGTCTTACGAAAAATATATGGAGCTGATTTGAGTAGTTGACATCCAGTTTTTTTTTTTTTTTTTTTTTTTTTTTTGGTCAAGATTTATGAATTAGATGAATAAGTATTTTTTTTTGGTTAACATAAATAAGCTAAAATGAATTTATTCAAGTTTTTAAATATTAACAATATCACTCTCAGAAAAAAGGTACAAAAGCTGTCACTGGGGCTGTACCTGGACCTTTTTAAAAGGTACACTTTTGTACCCAAAGGCTGCATATTGGTACCTTAGTGGTCCATTAGTACCTAATATTAGTACCTAAAATGTACATATTACCACCTAAAATGGACATATTAGCTCATGAAATGGACATATTAGCGAATGAAATATACATATTAGCACCTATAATGTACATATTAACACCTAAAATGGACATTAGCTCATGAAATATATATATTAGCACCTAAAATGTACATATTACCACCTAAAATGGACATATTAGCTCATGAAATGTACATATTAGCACCTAAAATGTACATATTAGCACCTAAAATGGACATATTAGCTCATGAAATGTACATATTAGCACCTAAAATGTACATATTAGCACCTAAAATGGACATATTAGCTCATGAAATGTACATATTAACACCTAAAATGTACTTCTTAGCGCCTAAAATGTACATATTAGCACCTAAAATGTTCATATTAGCACCTGAAATGTTCTTATTAGCGCCTAAAATGTACATATTAGCAGTTATTACAAATAAATAATTTGTTTATTAAAATTATATTTAGAAAATAAAGAGTGTATGTGTGTGTGTGTGTGTGTGTGAGAGAGAGTGAGTGTTTACGTACGTCTATCTGTCTGTCTGTCTGTCTGTCTGTATGTGTGTATGTACTGTGTAAATAAATATATTAACTATACAAGCAAAGTTATACAGTAAGTTCCATACACAGGCAACAGGCTTAAGAGTCTGATTGGATCATTATTGCAGGGATAATTATGTTTCTAGCATGTTATATAACTGGCAACAGTTCTTCTAACCCTAATTGATGGATGCTGTTTAATCAAGACACATGGCAAAAAAAATTTCAAGAAGTCAATGTCAAAATTCATCAGGAGGGAGCATGAAGAATCATTTTCACACATGAATCGGCACCTCAGACCTTAAATTCAGCGAAAGTGTTTGGGAATGTGCTGGAGGAGACTTTACAGAGTGCTGGACTCTTGCATTGTCAATACAAGATCTTGACCAAAAAATGTATGCTTCGATAACCATTGCCAATTGTAAAATGCTGAAGGATGATCTCATTTGGCTCAGGTCTATAGACAGGCGGGGGCGACTGGGAAAATGCAGTCCTTGTAAAACATTATGGGCAGTGCGTCACCTTCCGGATCTCAAAGTTGGTCCGAGTTGACGGCTTCTGTTTTTCCCGTAAGCCATCTTGTAATTTAACTGTCGGACAGGTAGACGCTTGCTCAGTCATTACCTGTTTGTAATTACCTGCACTCCTGTTTCAGATGACTTATGAGACCACTTTGTTTTCTCATGGAGCACGCAGCGCCAACAGGTCGGGCTGCATTCCCCGTCCCGTGACTTCTGAGATGTTCAGGTAACCAGACACGTCGACACCCCATGCAGAACCAGATGTGCGGGGTGGGACGGCCGCAGACAGACGGATTCTCACTGGACTGTGACTGGCACACTTCAATGACTCGCATCTGGGGGGAATCACCTGGGCAGGGACGGTGGAGAAGAAAAGGGGTGTGACGGGCGAGGGCGTGTTGGTAAGTAGATTGGCTTTTCTTTTTCTTCCTGATGAACTTTGGTTCGGTAGATCAAACAGACAGAAACTGGCACAGCATTTAAAGTCATTGTGCTGTTTGCGCAACTGAGTTAGAAACAAGTCATTCTAGTAGCACCGTTTGGGTTTGTATGCAAGTTACTTCTTTCCTTCAAGATTTTTCTCTCATCGAGCGAACAGTGTGTTCTCTGAGGAAGCAAGGAATGGTGCATATATATATATATATATATATAAAACACCATTATAATTAATGTAATTATATTTAATTTGTTACATTTATAAGCATATATATTCTTATAATTATCAGTTATTATAATTAGTATAGAAAATGAATTGTAATTATTATATTTATTTTATTATAAATAAATGTATAATATAATATAATTATACATTTTTATATTTTATTAATTTAATACAACCCGAATATAACACTTTATATTTATAAATATTTTAAAATGAAGCACTTTTATTTAATAACAGAATTTTAAGTTGCATTCAAAATCATATATGATTAAATATATATAAAACATACATAGTAGATGTTGTGTGTATCACTCATATATACTCATTTTTAATTATTTATTATATCATTTAGAATTTTTTATACATTTATAAATAATGAGATTAATACAAACTGGATATAACACTGGACTCTGGTCAAAAAGAGATGAATTACATTTTTAAGATAAAAAGATAAAAATTTAGTCTTTAGTATTTATTGAAAGTTTAGAAGTTTGAGAACATATAGGCTACTATTATTTTGGCTCTTGCTCTTTTGGCTCTTACTTTATATATATATATATATATATATATATATAGATACTTATGCGGTATGTTTAAAGTGTAGAATATTTGAAAAATGTGCAGGCAATAATAGTGCTATGAAGGATATGTTTGGAATGGCATACTGTAAATACTATTTATGCAGTGGCCTACACACCATATACAGCATTTAAAGTCCTCATGAAATCAAAATCGACCCTATTTACGTTGTTTTGCTATTCTATGTTGCTATTGCCTTATATTACTAGTCTTGTGGTGAACAATTAATCCGTTAATGTGCAGGATTAGGTAAAACCCTGCGCTCTATTCAATATTCCGTTTCACTTGGAAATACGTCAAGTAAAGTCATAAATAGTAAAGTCGGTAGCAACCCCTGGATCACAGGGACTTAAATAATAACTTGACATTCTACAGGAATTAAAGGAGTAGTTCACTTTAGAAAAAAAACAACTTTTGCTGATAATTTACTCACCCCCATGTCATCCAAGATGTTCATGTCATTCTTTCTTCAATCGAAAAGAAATTAAGGTTTTTAATGAAAACATTCCAGGATTTTTCTCCATATAATGGACTTCAATGGGAACCAAACGGTTCAAGGTCCAAAAGACAGTTTCAGTGCAAACTGCAAACTGTTCAAAGGGCTTTAAACGATTCCAGACGATGAATAAGGGTCTTATCAAGCGAAACGATCAGTCATATCAAAAATAAATAAAAAAGTTTTACTCGCGTTCGAGTCATTTCGTTTGAACAGGAGAGTCACGAACGCACATCACAGAACAGAGCAAGGTGAGCATTTGTGCTTATAAAACGTAAACTTTTATTTATTTTTTAAATGGCCGATCGTTTCGCTAGATAAGACCCTTATTCATCGTCTGGTGTCGTTTAAAGCCCTCCGAAGCTGCACTGAAACTCTCATTTGGACTTTGAATCGTTTGGACCCCATTGAAGTCCATTATATGGAGAAAATCCTTGAATGTTTTCATCAAAAACCTTCATTTCTTTTCGACAGAAGAAAGAAAGACATGGACATCTTGGATGACATGGGGGTGAGTAAATTATAAGCAAACGTTTTCTTTTTTTTTAAGTGAACTACTACTTAAGGGTTAAGGGTGTTTGTTATGGCATACTAATTACATTTTTTTGCAGTATGCAGTGTATGCTTATCAAGTGTGTGATTGATGCAATAAACTTTTTTTCCATTGAAAGCTTGGTTCTCAAACTGTCCTGGAACTTTATTATTCTTCCATACTTTATGTCTTCTTTCTAATGTACATTATTAACCTATAGACCATTTTGCGATGTAAACAACACTGGTCCAGAAGCACGTCCTGTTTCAGTTTTTTAACACTATTTTCACAATTTTAACCAACAGAACATATGCAAGTGAATCAAAAAGACAAACACACATCTTTAAAATGGTTTCTTTACATTTGAAATAAACAAACCATTTACAAACTGAAACAGGAAGTGTTTACATCTTGCAAAATGGTCTATATTTCTACATAGCAGTAATAACTTAACATAAAAGTTCATAAAGCCCAGAATGTTTTCGTTAATCCGCACGGCTTAAGTTTGTATTTTGTAAGTATACCCTGAAGCTCTTAAACATGCCTCGACGTCGCAGCTCTGAACCTGAAGCTGAGTTCACCTCGACAGAAAAACTATTAAGTAAAAGTACTGAAGGCTTTATCAAATCCTGAAATCTAATAGCGAAAACAAACACGCATAACATGCACACAGCCTCCGGCGACGCAACCAAACCGCACGAAATACGAGCTACAAAGCTGGTACAAGCAAAAACACACAGATAAAACATAAATGGACTTTGGCCTGTGCAGTGTGTGTGTGTATGTGTTGTTTATGTGTGGATTGTGACTGTAATCCAGGATCAGCGAGAACAAAAGCACCAGTAAAACTCGTGACACTCTTTTCACTTGGACCCTGGTTGGCCCCTTCCACTGTCCCAGCACCAGTCCGACCCCAAGGGCCAGGGAAAGGCCTGGTCCCTGTCCGTAGGAGCCACGTCGATGGTCCGTATTCAAGAAAAATATTTACTCAGTAAACATCCTATCATCCGAGGCGTGGCAGGACAGCACGGGCTCTGAGACATTTCGTTTTGCTCAGCGCATGGAGGAGCCAAAATCGGCCCTTAGGGGCCTGAACGAAAAGCTGAAGGGGTTTCTGGAGCACATGAACCAGTTGGAAAAGACCAACTGCGAACTGGAGGAGCAGATCGGCGAGTGGGGAATGAGGAACGCCGCTCATCGACGGAGCTGGAGCGACAAGGAGGCGCTGGCACAGGAACTTCGGGCTCAGGTGGGTGGGTGACGTTTGTGCTTATTACCTGCGTGTTATCTGCGTCTTATCTTTCTCATTACATTTGATATCCCGAGGCACTAACACAATGTGGCCCTGAAAAACCCCTCAGACTGGATCTGAGGTAACGAGTCTAATTAAGACGTTAAATCTTTTTCTCAGATGCGTTATCTACTGTAGTGTTTCTCAATTCGGCCCCTGGAGGCTCCACTGCGTGTTTTAGGTGTCTAAGTACTTTGACACACCCAAATCAGGTCATGCTAATGATTTTCCAGAGGCTTTTATGGTTCAAAAACTTCCAATTCTGGTGGCCCCCGGGAGCCCCATTGAAGTTGCTTGGTTCATGTGTCGCCCCAAGTCTTTGTTAAACTAGTGCCACTACTACAGTATATTTGAAAGTATGTTCAGAGATCAAACTGTTCATACTATTTTACTGTTCAGCGTGTGATTCATTCTATATTCAAAATTAAGGATTAATTCGTTATTTTTTTGCATACTCATTTATGCACTGTAAAAATGAATATGCTTTATCTAATCAAAAAGATTGTGGCAACAGATTACAAGGAATATTATTAATTAAATGTAACAAATTAGACTTGAGGAATAATTAATCAAATTAATTCCTTAAAAGTTAACCATTTAAAATGAGTAAAACTTACAACAACAACTGAAAAAAAAAAGATTTTAGCTCTTTGTTTAATTTCATTAATTAAAATGAGCATATATGACACAATCCTTCATAGAAGTGATTTCAGCTTAATTTCATTAAATGTAATTTTCATTAAAAAAAATGTAATTGAGTCAACATGAATATTTTTCGTTTGTCTTAAACGGATGTCACTCAAAAAAATAATTTTGGCCTCTTGTTAAAATAATTAATTAAAATATGCAAAAGTAACATGATGGTTTAATATTGTCACAACTTAATTTAATTGTGTTCAATCAACCTAATTCATTTGTGTGAAATCTACATCATTGTTGTTGACATCTAACTGGGCAGTGGATCTGTAGTTCCCAGCATGCTTTGCAAGGGACTGCATGATAGGCGTGTGTCCATAGATATCTATGCGTGTGTCCACCAAAGCGTTTTTCCACGCGCCTGGCGTATGTTTTCAATTGTTTTCAATGGGAGCGCCGCGTTTTTTAAACGGCGTAAGCGTACCGAGGCGCAGAGCGTTCTTTTTCACGCTGAAGCGCCGAGCGCCCAGCGCTTTTACTGGTCGCTGGGAGTTGAAAAATGTTCAACTTTGGATAAAACGCAGCGCTCATCACTGTCACATTTTACCCAGCCGTCCAATCACAGTGGAGGAGGGGCGGGACCAAACCACACCAACCAACTGTCACAACATTCAAACTGCTGCGGATATTCTGTATCATAGCAACGAAACGTCTCAACAGAAAAACCGCTGCGCTGCCAAAGCGCTCTCAAGCGCCCAAAGCACGGCGTCTTCAGCAGAGCGTCTAGCGTTTTCAGCTGGATAAAAAAAATTTGGTGGACACACGGCCCTAGTAAGAGGGTCAATTTATGGAAAAAGTGTTATTTTATGTGTTTTTCAGTGGAAAATGTTGTTTGTTAATGTTAGTGTTTTATGTTCAGTTATGTTAGAAACTTATAGTAGGCCTACTTTCTTTCTGTAATGTTTTTGAATTTGGTGGTTACCATTATGTAGAAGAGTGGTGACTGTGTTCAGACTCAATATTACACTATATGTGCTTTATGCATTATGTGTAAACCTCACTCACAGTCCTGCACAAGTAATATAATATTACTATGTAAAAAATGGTTTCATTAAATTGAACACTTGAAGTGTCTATCATTAGAAGTGACCATAGAGTCAAAATAACTAAAATTATAATGTTGGTGAATTAAGGCAGGACAAAACTAAATGTAGTTAGCCTGACTAAACTTTATCTTGTAGGAATGACTAAATTAATTTAAATTCACAACAAGATTACAACAAATTATTTCAAACTAATTTGAATTTGTTGGAAAAATGTAATTCAATTTCGTGGAAAACCTTTCCTAATTTAATTAAGTTCGTTCAACAGATTATTTTTTTGTGTGTAGGTTATATTTAAGTCACCATTATGGTGATCAGTTTGTTTTAAAATTGCGTTTTTCTCCTTCAGTGATTCTGCTTGTCAACATCAGGTGTCTTCAATGTTGGCAATATAAAATAAATAGTTCTTAAATAATCTTTGACGTCTGTCTGTTAGTGAGATATTTTTGTTACATTTTTTGGTGTAAACTTTACTCTTTTTAAATGGTTAACTTTTAAGGAATAATTTGATTAATTATTACTTGATTCTAATTTGTTCAATTTAATTAATAATATTGCTTGTAATCTGTTGCCACAATTCTATTGATTAGATAAAGCATATTCATTTTTAAAAGTTAACTATTTAAAATGAGTAAAGTTTACACCAAAAATATCTAAATAACAGACCGACGTCAAAGATTAAGAATTCTTTATTTTAACCCCTTAACTGTCACTTGCCCGTATACAGGCAACTTTACTTCACTACGTATATAAACTATATAAATTGGACGTTGTGTTACCATAGAAATGGTATTTTTTTATTAGGCCCCTCCCCTTTTGGCCATCATCTTTCATAATTTATTATGAAAACCTTTTCTAATCTTGACAAAACACATATTGTCAGTAAGATCTGAGTCTCAAGGTTCCATATTTAGTGACAGAAGTGATATTTGGATAGAAATTTATTAATTTGTTATGGCAAAATGCATACAATTAAATTCAATTGAATTCAAAGGCACCCGGAGGCTATTTTTGGTACTACGCCTAAACAAAATCCCATGGGAACTTCAATTTTTGTGATATCAACTTCAAATTTGGAACACAACTTGGTTAGATATATAACTTTCATTTTAATTTTGTAAAATATATAATTCATATTAAAAAAATATTAATAAAGTACATTTGATTTACTGTAAATTATAACTTCCATAACTTTTTCATAGTTTAATTTTTTGGAAGTGCTTTCAATTTAATAATAATCTGCTGATTTGTTTTCTTTAAAACAAGACCAAACTAAGGTATATATTCCAAAGCATTCTTGAATTACAACCATTTAAGTTTGTATAGTGCATTTTAATGTCAATTATTAAAAAGGGGGATGACAGGGTTAAATTGCTAACATTGAAGACACCTCACTGAAGGAGACAACAGTCATTTTAAAACAAACCTAAAACAAATACTGATCACCATAATGGTGACTTAAATTTAAGTTTTCATTTGTGTACGTTTTACTCATTTTAAATGGTTAACTTTTAAGGAATTAATTTGATTAATTATTACTCAATTATATTTTTTAAATTGAATTAATAATATCGCTTGTAATCTGTTGCCACATTTTTTTTGTTTAGATAAAGCGCATTCATTTTTACAGTGATATGTTAATTATGAAGAATATGCTAAAATGTTGTATGCATGTAATAATAATTGCAATAATAATTGCAAAAGATTCCCTTTATACGATATTACTCATGCTATCTATGCAGTATTTTGTGCAGAATATGCATGCTGTAATTGTCATATGACCGCGTTACACATTCCCAACATATGCCCTGAACCTTTGTGACTAACAGTTAGCATTAGCTATAAACACATAAGCATTCACTGTTTACTATGTATTACATCACCTCAAATTTCATTATATATGAAGGTGATTTTCAGTGACATTGACAATGATTAACCAAACATTGCTGTCACGAAAGCTCATGATTCATAACAATGGCAGACAGCCAATCACAATGTGCTAAGATAATATTGTGCTTCATGAGAGAAACAATATTCATCCAAACTATAGAAAGCCGTTCTGTTGATAAACCTGTTTTTTTTAATAGTATGCTAATATATAAAGGAACAAGTCTGTGTTTGTTTAGCATTTTTAAACCAAGTTTGTGTAAAATGTCTGATCAAGCAATCCCGAGAAATTATGGGAATTATTGAATGTCGTATACTGCATTCTGGGATACACAAACCCAGTGGAGTTCTGGTTTTGTACAGCACATTTTGACATATTTAGTATGTCATCCAAGTGTAAAAAAACAAAAACTACATTTACATTTATTAATTTAGGTGATGCTTTTATCCAAAGCGACATACAAGTGCTATTTATATCAGAGGTCGCACGCCTCTGGAGCAACTAGGGGTTAAGTTAAGCTTAATTTCTTTTCGACTGAAAAAGTAACTGTGTGGAGTATGCCAATATTCAGTATGTATTAATTAGATGACATACAGTCCTATATATTTTAGACAAATAATGCAGTAAGATATTCTGTATTCAAGATTGATGACTTGTACATTACGATATACTCTTTTTGCATACTTGTATGTCCTGTCACTGTGTACAATTTGCATGCAGTAATTAGGTTGCATAACTAACAGGAACTTTAACTCATTACCATGTTGGACAGATGTCTAACACCTGTGTTTCCTAAATCCGTTCCGGTGCCAGAGGCCATACTGACCTTGCGAAAGATCGTTAATCCTTTCACACCTGATCTGGCTTGATCTTTGACCCCAACATAATGACAACCCGCAAAAGATTAGCAAAAATGCAGGTAACTTGCGTTGTCTGGATAGCTAACAGTTTTATATGCTCTGGAGGGGAAATCAATCACTCCGTCAAGACATCAATCACTGCATTAAGCAATGTGCACAACAAGCTTTGGGTGAAAAACCCTGGCACCGTTTTAGTCTTCATAACTTCCTTCAGTCATTGTGTTTTGCATAAAGTGCCAGCCAGCCAGAAAAACAGCATGTCGATGCACAGCCTAATCTTTCAGAAGTTCCCATGGTTAGATGGGTGTTGACAGTCATTAATCATCAATAAGCCTATATATAAATTATATCATAATTTCGACCAAATTTGCTAAAGTGTGTAATTTCTACCCACTGGCAATTATAATGTTCTCTATCTTGATTAAATGTATTTTTTTTCCCCTTCTAATTCTCCTCATTTTGTGTTTGTATTGGCAGGTTAGCATGATGCTAATGGAAAATGCAGAGGTTTTGCTCCAATCCGATGCAGTGAAACTCAGGGCAGCACATTTAAAGAGCAGGTTAGCAGAAGAAATATGAAAATCACCTGAATTGACAGAAAGTTGGCATTATAATTGTATTTTAAAGAAGAAAGTTCAAGGTTGAGGATTTTGCATTGTGGGAAATAGGCCCACACTACCCAACCAAGCATGTTTTGTACTGTCCAAAGTCGGAAAATTTGCATACTGTGGACCTTACTCATTATGTGCACGCATTCCGAACATTCCATTGATATATTACACCAGGCACGTGCACGCGTAGACATCAATCATGCGCACCTGCCCTTTTTATGACTGGAGAGAAAGTGCCCTTTTTTTTCTGGGGTGCTTTTTTATTTTATTTTTTAAGAAAATACTAGCATATTACTATTTGCGCACAGTTTCCCTGTCAAACAAATATATATTTAATGCATAGTGTATCTAAATATCAGGTCAGGAGGAGTTCTGAAGCGCCGATCAGAGTAAACCGAGTAAACGCGTCACCTCTAGCGAGCTCGCGCTGCCGTTTGGACTTTGAGCCGAACGGATAAACAGTCCGTGAGGCGCGCGCTTCAAATGAGTTTCGTTGTGCTTTCGCCACATAAACATTATCGAACGTTTATCGAACTCTATATTGATATCGAGTATTGACGATTTCGACTCGAACTTGATATCGTTTTATCGCGAAAAATTGTATAATGAGTGAATGAGCATATCAATTTAAGACGTGGCTAAATGTAGGCTAATTTATGGCCTTGTATGGAAAATCCGGACGTTTTTATGAATTTGTATGGCCTAAAATTCTTATTATTAAAGTTAATGACTTACATAGCTACATCAAGAGTCTTTCCCCTGAAGTTTAGAAATCTAAATTGGTGAATTTAGAAGAAATCTACAGACGCAAACAGAAACAAACTCGAAATGTGGATTTTGAAGGTTTTATTTGATGATGATAAATGTGAAGTCCATGCACCATCAGGTGTATATCAAAGTACTTGATTGACACACTGTGGCATGGTTTCCTTTACTGCTCTATAAACCTATGAATAGACCATGATTTCTGTGTGAACTGATTATTTTGTAGACATCTTTTGAAAATTAAACAATTGTATGAGTTTGAGGAAGATAAAATTAATTAACTTTTTAAATATTTTTTAAAAAAAATATTAGAGTTGTGTTAATATACTTTTTTGTTTTAAAAATTATGAGGAGTGCCCTTTTTTTCACTTGAGCCCCTGCCCCTCAAAATGTCTGTACACGTCCCTGTATTACACACCAAAAGAACAAAATATTACAAATATGTTGATTTGATTTGAACATGTAATTTGCCCTCTTGTGTTGAAAAACAGCAAGTGTCTGGAAATACCACTGAATGCTTGATAATGAATCAAGCTGAAACAAATAACAAATATGACGCATAATTTACAATTGCATAGGATGTTCTCGGATGACATCAGTCTAACTTTCATAGAAAGTCAGCGCCTTGTTTGTTAAATATGATCAGTTTATTGCATTTAAAGGGATAGTTCACTTTAAAATATATTTTTGCTATGTTTTAGCATACCTCAAGAGCATCCAAGGTGTAGGTGTCTTTGTTTCCGCAGTAGTTTCAATTTTGATATTTTTAGGTCAAACCGTTCTTGTCTGTCAATCATATAATGGAGGTCTATGGTCACCACCTCAAAGAGCATGCACAGAGAAGTCCAGATTAAACATGATTTAATGACTCGTAAATGTAAGTACACATTGATGGCTTAAGACACGAAACGAGCGGTTTGTGTGAGAAAATGAACAGTATTTATATTCTTTTTACCTCTTGTTACCACAGCCACAAAGCGTGCTCTCAGATCACTTGGACATGGGGTAAAAAACAATATAAATACTGTTCGTTTTCTCACACAAACCGCTCGTTTCGTGTCTTAGGCCATCAATGTGTACTTACATTTACGAGTCATTAAATCATGTTTAATTTGGACTTCTCTGTGCATGCTCTTTGAGGTGGTGACCATAGACCTCCATTATATGAACAAAAATTTATTTTAAAATTAACTAACTTTAAGGTTAAAAATGCAGTTTAGCTTTTTTATAAAAGAAAAACATTAGTAGTCAGTTATGTGACACACATTTAGATACCCAAGCATGTGCATGTGTGCGTAGGTGTGAAACTGAGGAGAAACTCCGTCTCCTAAAGGAACAGGAGGTCTCACGGCTGAAGATGAAGAAGAAAGAGGTGGAGACGGCCAACACACTCCTGGAAAAGCAGCTTTACGAATCCCAAAAGGAGTTGCAACAAATCATAGAGGAACATGAGGTGGAGACACTGTGTGTGTTTTGAATGTCAGTTACCGATTGTATCTAATTGTTTGTTACTGTGCATGACATATTCATCATTTAATGTGAGGAACCTTGACGTCTGTCTTTTGTATTAATACTTGTTGAAAATGTTCCCTGATGCCTTAGTGCCAAGCTGCGGTTAGCCTCGGGGTAGGGTGTGTGTGTGTGTGTAAATGTGAAAAATGCTGGACGTATCATGCACACTTGTTAAATATGCAATGTTGATGTAAAATAGTGTAAAAATCGAACTTCTGTCTGTCAGTGAACAAAGTTCCCCTCCAATGTTTGCTGCAAATATTTGGTGTTGGCGTGAACAAATCTTTATCTTTTGTCTCAAAAGGTTTAAGAGTAACACTATCTATCCTGTTTATGTATCTTCTCCATAACTAGTCGGGCCAATGACATACAAAACAAATATAGACAAATGAAATTGGGTTGCAGATGTCTGAATGACGTGTTGACTCGGCAAGAAGTCCTGTTTTCGTCAGACTCTTTTGATTCCTCGTGAGAGGAGCCCTTTAAATTCTCCTCTTCCTCCTTGTCTTTTTCCACCCCCTCTCTCTCTTTCTCGTTGGCTGACAGAGAGAGCTGGATCAGCACCAGCGGCGAGCAGTAGAGGAGCGTGATAAAGTGCTAGCGCAGGTTGCTGCAGGAGAGGATGGCAGAGGAATGGATCTCTGCCGGACTAGCACCCAGTGCGACCACTCGAGCCCAGCCCAGAGCAGCCCTGATTCAGCCATCCCACCAAATCCAGCCCCAGGCTCCTGCCCCGCTTCACAGACAAGGCCCCGAAAAGATGCAACCAGCCCTACGGCTGCGTTTCTGCCACAGGTACGAGTATTCTCTCTCTCTTCCTCTCTCTATCTCCTTCAAACACTCTCTATGGTCTGCTGGCCAGGCACTGCAGAGCAATCGTAGTGTGTGTGTGTGCGCGCATGTGTGAGGGAGTGAAAAGACTGCTAAACATCAATTATTACTAAAAAACAGAATGAGGGATGTCAGTCCCATTGAGCATTGTCTTTTGCCTGTCCTTGTCAGTAGGTGACTGCTAATCTATCTTCTTGAGAATTTATGCCCTCACACAAAAACACGGGCCGCTGGCCTCATAACTCTCCTTGAAAAACAGCAACACATTGCAGCATGACTTTATGAAAACTCCTGTGAGAAATTGGGGTTATTTATGCCATAGCACTCCAGTAGGTGTTCAAAAACAAGGATTTACATGGTAACATGTTTAAAATACAAGGTTTTACCATGAGAAATATTAAGAAAATGTGATAATCCGGTTAAATATATTCTAAAAAGCATGGTAACACTATGATACCATGTTCATAAACCCCAGATAGCACAAGTCTATTTGATGTAATATTTACATCTGGACGACGTATTTTTAAGAGTGTTTGCTCATCTGCAATACGTCTATAGGACGTTTCCTTTCAGATGTCAAATAGACGTTTAGAAGATGTCTTTCAGATGTAATGATTTAGAATGCATGTTAAACTGACATCTTCTAAACATCTATTTGACATCTGACAGGAAACGTCCTATAGACGCCTTGCAGATGAGCAAACACTCTTAAAAATACGTCTTCCAGATGTAAAAATGCATCAAATAGCCTTCCCAGATAGCACAAGGGTATGTCCTATTTACATCTGGAAGACATATTTTTAAGAGTGTTTGCTCATCTGCAAGATGTCTATAGCAGTGTTTCCCAACCCTGTTCCTGGCGGCACACCAACACTGCACGTATTCTGTGTCTCCCTAATCAAACACACCCGATTCAACTCATCAGCTCATTAACCCATCTGATTATGAGCTGATGAGTTGAATCAAGTGTGTTTGATAAGGGAGACAAAGAATTCGCGCAGTGTTGGTGTGCCGCCAGGAACAGGGTTGGGAAACACTGGTCTCCCAGATAGCACAAGGCTGTTTGATCTCCTATTTACATCTGGACGACGTATTTTAAAGAGTGTTTGCTCATATGCAAGACGTCTATAAGACGTTTCCTGTCAGATGTCAAATAGACGTTTAGAAGATGTCTCTAAGATGTAATGATTTAGAATGCATGTTAAACTGACATCTTATAAAAGTCTATTTGACATCTGACAGGAAACGTCCTATAGACATCTTGCAGATGAGCAAACACTCTTAAAAATACGTCTTCCAGATGTAAATAGGACATCAAATACCCTTGTGCTATCTGGGCTATAGGACGTTTCCTGTCAGATGTCAAATAGATGTTTAGAAGATGTCAGTTTAACATGCATTCTAAATCATTACATCTTAAAGGCATCTTCTAAACGTCTATTTGACATCTGACAGGAAACGTCCTATAGACGTCTTGTAGATGAGCAAACACTCTTTAAAATACGTCTTCCAGATGTAAATAGGAGATCAAACAGCCTTGTGCTATCTGGGTTGTGCTATCTGGGCTTGTGCTATCTGGGACGTCTATAGGACGTTTCCTGTCAGATGTCAAATAGACGTTTAGAAGATGTCTCTAAGATGTAATGATTTAGAATGCATGTTAAACTGACATCTTCTAAACATCTATTTGACATCTGACAGGAAACGTCCTATAGACGTATTGCAGATGAGCAAACACTCTTAAAAATACGTCTTCCAGATGTAAAAACACATCAAATAGCCTCCCAGATAGCACAAGGGTATTTGATGTCCTATTTACATCTGGTAGACGTATTTTTAAGAGTGTTTGCTCATCTGCAATACGTCTATAGGAAGTTTCCTGCCAGATGTCAAATAGACGTTTATAAGATGTCAGTTTAACATGCATTCTAAATCATTACATCTTAAAGATATCTTCTAAACATCTATTTGACATCTGACAGGAAACGTCCTATAGACGTCTTGCAGATGAGCAAACACTCTTAAAAATACGTCTTCCAGATGTAAAAACACATCAAATAGACTTATACTATCTGGGATAGGACATTTCCTGTCAGATGTCAAATAGACGTTTAGAAGATGTCAGTTTAACATGCATTCTAAATCATTACATCTTAAAGACATCTTCTAAACATCTATTTGACATCTGACAGGAAACGTCCTATAGACGTCTTGCAGATGAGCAAACACTCTTAAAAATACGTCTTCCAGATGTAAAAACACATCAAATAGCCTGCTATCTGGGACATCTATAGGACGTTTCCTGTCAGATGTCAAATAGACGTTTAGAAGATGTCTTTAAGATGTAATGATTTAGAATGCATGTTAAACTGACATCTTTTAAACGTCTATTTGACATCTGAGAGGAAACGTCCTATAGACGTATTGCAGATGAACAAAAACTCTTAAAAATACGTCTTCCAGATGTAAAAATTACGTTAAATAGACTTGTGGTATCTGCTAGCAGGATAATGTTACTTTGTTGGTGTAAATGTTCCATTTAAAGTATTAATTTGGATAAGACTATGTTGTTTTTGGCACAAGTACTTGGAACACATGCATGTAATTTTCCATTTCTATGGAACTGCTATCATTCTTATCAGATGGAGACTGAGCTGATTCCTAGACTGTGATCTACGTCAGCTCAGACCACAAGAGGATCTGTTCAGTTTTCTTTAATGTGCTCTTTTGTGTTGCCAGTCCTGAATGAAGTCCCACTTTAGCACATAACTTTAGATGGTGAGGTAAATCATTGATGTTTAAAAGAATAAGCCAGAGAGGCTATTAATTAAAGTAATTTTACCATGAGTAAGAGGTTTCCTAAGGCACCGTGTGATAAAACCTCCACAAACCATGGTAAGCAAAATAAAAAAAATGCTCAAAAATGCATCCTTTTTGTTGTTGTCTGCAGTATTCTTATGTATGCACTGTGTGTGGTGGGGTTTGTGGGTAGGTGAGAGCAGGTGACGAGGTCCTGAAGAAGGCACGAGCCGAGCTCAATGAGGCCCGAAAGCGATGGCATCGTCTACAGGTCGAGATTGAATCGCTAAATGCCTTGGTGCGTTAAATTCCCACAAACATGCCCACAGACACACCCGGACACACATACTTCAATTCAGGAACATATAGACACACCTAAACACACACTCTCACTTTCACCTTAACACATGCCACAATTAAAATATCACTTACTGCTAAATTTTATGATGCCAGAGGAAGCCAGGTCTGAATCCGGAACCTCCGGAATTAGATTCAACCACTATTTTAGTAGATCAATTAGTTTGCAATGCCGATTGAGTGTTAAATGCACATCAACACTTTACCTTGAGGGAATGGGTGACGAATCTCTGTAGGATTTGTCACCATTCTTTTCATGATTTCATAATTTGCATAGCAAGTACTGAGAATACTTGGCTATTTCAAGTGACAATAGTTTTTTTTCTTGCAGTTGATTTTGGCTAGTTATGTTAATGTTGTGGGGTGAAATCCCAAAGCCCAAACCCTACTGTAGGCACTATGTTGTGCGGGTTGACCTCTGGAAATCTAACCCAAGTGTTGGTAGAGCCTTGAGCAGTTCATAAATTGTGGAATTATTGGGATTTCTACAGATCATGTGTCTTTGATCAAGAGACTTAATGGTGGTGGCTTTGTGGTTAAACTCAAGAATGATAAACAGAAGGTTGCTTGATGTCGTGCAAGGAATGATACACATGCCATCACCATTGTACCCTTGAGTCAGACTTTTAACCTTAGATTTATCCAGGGGGTTATTGTCAGTTTCTGGAATATTGCTAGTTTGATCCTTGTAAAATTGGATTCTTGAGTCATCAACTTGTGCCAAGGTACTCAATACTCAATACCCCCTGAAGGCTTGTTCCTTCAACCCCCTATTTCATTCCACCAACCATGGAGATCCATCCATCCATTCCACCAACCATGGAGACCCATCCATCCATTCATCCATCCATCCATCTATCCATCCATCCATCCCTCAATTCCACCAACCATGGAGATCCATCCATCCATCTATCCATCTATCCATTCCACCAACCATAGAGATCCATCAATCCATCTATCCATCCATCCATTCCACCAACCATGGAGACCCATCCATCCATCCATCCATTCATCCATTCCACCAACCATGGAGATCCATCCATCCATCCATCTATCCATTCCACCAACCATGGAGATCCATCCATCCATCCATCTATCCATCTATCCATTCCACCAACCATAGAGATCCATCAATCCATCTATCCATCCATCCATTCCACCAACCATGCATCCATCCATCTATCCATCCATCCATCCATCCATCCATCCATTCCACCAACCATGGAGATCCATCCATCCATCTATCCATCTATCCATTCCACCAACCATAGAGATCCATCAATCCATCTATCCATCCATCCATTCCACCAACCATGGAGACCCATCCATCCATCCATCCATCCATCTATCCATCCAGCCATCCATCCATCCATCCATTCATCCATTCCACCAACCATAGAGATCCATCAATCCATCTATCCATCCATCCATTCCACCAACCATGCATCCATCCATCTATCCATCCATCCATCCATTCCACCAACCATGGAGATCCATCCATCCATCTATCCATCCATCCATTCCACCAACCATGGAGACCCATCCATCCATCCATCCATCTATCCATCCAGCCATCCATCCATCCATTCCACCAACCATAGAGATCCATCAATCCATCTATCCATCCATTCCACCAACCATGGAGATCCATCCATCCATCCATCTATCCATTCCACCAACCATAGAGATCCATCAATCCATCTATCCATCCATCCATTCCACCAACCATGGAGATCCATCCATCCATTCCACCAACCATGGAGATCCATCTATCCATCCATCTATTCCACCAACCTACCATCCATCCATCCATCCATTCCACCAACCATGGAGATCCATCAATCCATCCATCCATTCCACCAACCATGGACATCCATCCATACATCCATCCATACATCCATTCCACCAACCATCCATCCATCCATCCATCCATCCATCCATCCATCCATCCATATATCTATCCATACATCCATCCATCCATTCCACCAACCATGGACATCCATCCATCCCACCATCCATCCATACATCCATCTATCCATTCCACCAACCATGGACATCCATCTATTCCACCAACCATCCATCCATCCATCCATTCCACCAACCATGGACATCCATCTATCCATCCATACATCCATCCATCCATTCCACCAACCATGGAGATCCATCCATCCATCCATTCCACCAACCTTGGACATCTATCCATCCATCCGTACATACATACGCACATACGTACAGCCATTGTTTGTACTCATGTAAGTGTAATTTAAAGTCTGCTACATAAGGTCACAGGGATGCTGCAGCCTTTTTCCAGTATCTCGTGCTGTAGGCTGACCCTAGTGATTTTGGTAATAAATGACAAATCTGTTTTATCCCACCAGGAGAGGAGTCTCAAAAGCTCCCTACACCACACTCAGCTCCAGTACTCCGTGCAACTCAAGGATCTGTCCCGGTCTGTGAGGAGTCTGGAGTCTGAGCTGGAAACAGTGCGGGATGGTCTGGAAGTCCAGAGACGGAACCACAGCCAGCTCCTCAACACCAAGATGAGGCTGGAGAGAGAGATCGCAACCTATAGGAAACTCCTAGAGCACGAGGAGGGCAGGTAAGGGAGGGGGAGGTTTATTGAGGTGTATTACTGCAATTAAACCCTTAGCACACGCTCAAACTTGTATGATGTGCTTTATGCAACTACCAAGGTAATACACTGGAATTTTAACCGGGTTGGCTGTGCGCCCTAGATATTATTCACAGTCAGTCAACCCAAAGAGGTTTCGAAGGTTCCTAAAGAAATTGAGCGCTTTTTCTTTCACTCCTGAACTGCAGGTTTCTGACCTCAGATGTTCAGTCTCGAAAGCTGAAGCCATGGAAAGGGTCAATTTCTTCTCTTGAGCAGAACGGACTACCCAACGGATGTGAAGAGGATATTCCTGAGCCGTTCTTCACTGAGAGACAGCAGAGTCTTGTCACCCTGACAGGTGAGGATGATGTAAAACATCCTCAAACTCATTGTCCAACCTAACACTGAAATGTGCCGTTCTCAACAACAGTTCCATCATAAAACTGCGAGTCTGAGAGATGTTGTGCAACTTTTGTTTGTGGTTTTCATCCAGAACCAGTCAGAAATAAAGACGGGGAGATCTGTACTGTGAAGACTCAGGAGATTCTGGAAGGAAATGTAGTGAGGGAGAGCGCAGAGGGTCACGGAAAAGTGGAGTGAGTTCACATTAGACTCATTTTCAAGCCTTGCTTAGCTGCACTGAAGACCCATAAGCATTTCACACCTTCAGAACCATCAACATCTTTTGCTCCAAACGTCCTTATTAACCTATTTTGTTGCTTACTACTTTGCTTTTTGTGTGTGCGATAGGACTGAGAAGATTGACAAGGTGATCCGGCAGTGGGAAGGCTCATTCTTTAAAGGAAATCCCAAGCTGAGGAAGAAGTCCGTGTCTCTGCGTTTCGACCTTCACATGGCTGTTGCGGACGAGGGCTGCAGCCAAATGAAACAGGACAGTCTCCCTAACGTGGAGGTCCGTCTGGTCATGAGACGGTCTCGCAGCATACCCACCTTTGCGCAGTGATGTCACAACGCTACTACACCACAACTGTGACATCACCATGCTACCACATCACGACTGTGACCTCACAATGCTACTGCGTCACAATTAAGTAGTGGTGACCACGTCTCTATTTCTCAGCAGCTAATGAAAAGTGAACCACTTTAGTGACGTCATAGAACTTTTGCCGTTTGAGAGGGAAAAAAACGTCAAGTCATCAGTAAAGTGTTCGAGAAACAGAAAGTCAGATTGATCTTATGATTGTAATGAATTAAGAACATACGCCTGCTTTAAGAAACTGCAAGCAAAATTCATTTGTAATTGATTTATTTTTCTTCAAACTGAGGTCTTCGGAAATAAATGGAGAGTATGTACGTCTTGCGGTGTTTCAAATTGCGTGCAGTTGTGACTTTTAAAGTATGACGTTCTCTGTGGACACTCGACTGCCAGATTATTTTTGATTATTAGGATATATTACGTTACTCGAAAAATAGAATAACAATTGGTTTGTGAAAATGCGTTTGGTTTATATATTTATAGAGCTTAGTCTTAAAGGAGTAGTTCACTTTTGCTGATAATTTACTCACCCCCATGTCATCCAAGATGTCCATGTCTTTCTTTCTTCAGTCAAAAGAAATTAAGGTTTTTGATGAAAACATTCCAGGATTTTTCTCCATATAATGGACTTCAATGGGAACCAAACGGTTCAAGGTCCAAAAGACAGTTTCAGTGCAAACTGCAAAATGTTCAAAGGGCTTTAAACGATTCCAGATGATGAATAAGGGTCTTATCAAGCGAAACGATCGCTCATATTTTTTTTAAAAATGACAAATTTTAAATTTTATAAGCTGAAATGGTCGCCGTGCTCTGTTAGGGTTAGGGTGTGATACTTCGTGACTCTTCTATTCGAAGTCGTTCATCAAAATGAACAAATCTTTTCCCGAGTCAACTCGTTCATTTCGTTAGTTGAATAAACCAAATGACACGAAAAAAGATTACTTCGATTTTTTTTTTTTTTAAATGAGCAATCATTTTGCTTCATAAGACCCTTATTCATCGTCTGAAATCGTTTAAAGCCCTTTGAACAGTTTGCACTGAAACTGTCTTTTGGACCTTGAACCGTTTGGTTCCTATTGAAGTCCATTATATGGAGAAAAATCCTGGAATGTTTTCATCAAAAACCTTAATTTCTTTTCGACTGAAGAAAGAATGACATGGACATCTTGGATGACATGGGGGTGAGTAAATTATCAGCAAAAGATTTTTTTAAAGTGAACTACTCCTTTAAGTCTCACAGTGAAAATTGGCCAATGTGGATACAGACAAGATTTCACACTCCGTGCAGAGTAACAAAAGATGCCTTATTGCATTTGACAAATGCTACTGGAATTAATTTTACACTCCAGTGAACACTAAGGTTGAATCAAGTTCTGTTTCTGCAGGAAACTGTAGTGTGAATCAAAACAAAACATTGCGAAATTTGCAAGTACAGCAAAACTCGGCAGCCAAAACAAAATATTTATGGCAACACTGATGTACTGTCCCGCACAGACGTTTACAAAATGAGAAACAGTAAAGGTCATCAGTCTATTACTGCGAGGAGAATGTAAAATGTCAACTACGATCTTCTCTGCTAATTACACTCGCCTCAAAAAGTTACATTGCTTCGTATTGCGAATGCATAGTTTACACTTAGAGTGCAAATACTGTGTCTTCCCATCTAAAAATATGCAGGATTGAAAACATGATCATGCTACAAAAAACATTAAAAAATACTTTGCATTACTCTCATGCATATATTAATCATTTAAATTGATTTATTTACATACCACCTCTGGGTGTTGTTGTACTGTAAATACATAGGGTTCTTGATGCAACAAAGAAATGAATACACATACTGTACATATATTTAATTTAAAGTTATATTTAATCTGGATGAATCTATATCCCTGAAATATGAATGATATGATTTATGGGCTTATTTAGTGCTTTAGTTTATTATGTAATGCACACTCTGGTGTCATATACCGTAGGAGAGCCTTCACGTTTCATCTCCTACCCAAGGGATTGTGACTTACTTTAAGAAATGAGAAAGAGAAAATTACACTGTATGCATTGGTAAAAATGCCTATTTGATATGCACTTTAGAAACTAATTTTCAGATTTCTATCTGTATTCTACATTCTTTTTCCAGATGACTATGCTGCTTTTTTGTGAAACATATCCTTTTTTTTAATCTACCATAAGCTGTGCCCTGCTGAGTGATTTGGCTTATACACTGTATGACAGGTGCTAATAAAGCTATTATTATTTCCAGATGAGCTATTTATGTTCTCAGTAAAGCTGTCCAAAGATACTTCAATATATAGACCACAGTGCCTGGGAAACTAGAACACAACATGGACGTCCCAGTTAAGCCTGAAACAGATTTTAACGGAACAAAAATGACAAAGGAAAGTGATTTAACATCGGTTTCATAAACAGATAATGGCAAACGAAACAAAACATGTTGCACAATTTTTAAACATAGCAGGTTAGCATTGTTTATTATAAGGTAATAATGCCCAAAACCATTTGTGCAGAGGAAGAGTACGTCATGTTGTTTAGTTGTTGAGAAATGTAATGCCAAAGTTTGACAAGCAGAGTTTAAATGTACAAAACCAAAGCATTTAGCTAAATGCTAATGCAAACAAGTGCTATTTGTTTTAACAGCGAAGTGCAAGGAATATAGGCTAATTGGTGTATAACCTAATGGTATGCTTTGATATTTTTGGATGTGGGTCTTAACTTATTATAAAGATTAACTTCACAAGTGAATAACAGCAAACCCCATTCTGAACCTGAAAAGTAACTATGTTTTACTCAGCTTCAAAAAGATATTGTACTCCAGGCAAATGGATCTCCATTAGTAGTAGCCTACACAATTAGTGTTTGTAATATTTTGCATTTTCTGAGGAAAATATGAGTATACCTATATCCTAGGCCTATATGATGCATTGTCGTGGCTAATTGGGCATTGATAAAGCAAGTGTTATGATGAAAAAATGAATGCTGCTCCCCAGTGGTCATATATGAATATGCAGAGCACACAACAAGTTTCCCGCCTCTTTTATGAAGCGTCGCATACTTTTGAGTATACACTGAATTTGAAGAGGAATGTTTTTAGGTATGCAGATATACATCTATCCACCACTGTTGGTAACTGTGACATATAGCCTAATGTACTACAATTGCGAAAATAATTTACTCTGCTGCTTTAAAGTACAATTTTACCACAAGGATGACAAGTACTACTAGCACTCGCATTTGAAAAGAGAGGCTTAAGTTTAGCTCTCCGCCATTTTATATTCATCCTCAACTCCTGTGGCATTATAGCAAAGTGTAGACTATACACTTAGGAATCGCAACAAATGCAGATTATTGTCTATTACATGAATATTAGTGAATTATTAATGTATTTTAAATCTGGAATCCTATTTTTCTTTCTCTGTTTGAACTAGCTAGCTAACTAGCATATTTAGCTCCAATATTTTCCTCTGTTTGTGTTAACCAGTTTCTTGTTCATCCAAGCACTGATTTTGTTTCTTGTGGACACTTAGCCATCTATTATGCTATGTATAGCCTATTTTTAAATACAAAAGTCCTCTTAGAGCATTTACTACATTTGATAGCCGTAGGCTAGCTAATTTTTTTGCTAGTTGTAAAGAATATGTATTGTTAGACATAATAATTTGGAAGAAAATAAACTGTGTGCGTTTATGGGTGGAAGTAGGTCACACTGAAGCCATATAAGCTTATCTAATCCCCTGAAATTTGGCAGAGATTTTAGCTTGCAGCCAGGAATGGCATTTTGTGTGTATCTGAGCTTGCATGTTTGCATTTTCAAGTGTATTACACACGTTTGTTGGTTCGTACTAACTGTTGTGTAGCCAAGAATGTTGTGTAGGCCACAGATAGTTGGTTATCCACTTCTCTGACCAAAACATTTCTAAATGAGTGTGTGTGTGTGTGTGTGTGTGTGTGTGTGTGTGCGCTTACCAATACAGTTGAATAAACACGCACATCCAAACAAACCCCTGCACACATTGCCGTCTCTATGCCCTATAATCCACCTGTCTTTTTCTAGAAAGCACTGACTCAATTTTTGGATCTGATTTTCATGACAAAGCGAATGTCCTCTTTACAGAGAGATGTCTGGGTATAAAAGACCTGGAGTGGGGCGGGCCTGAACCAGCACAGCTCCGCACCTCTACCCCCTCCACAGGCGCCGCTACCAGCCGAACCTCTGCAGAATGGGCCGGGTGAGTACGAAGGTGATCAGGACACTCTGCTCTGATTATTGATTATTTTATTAAAAATATTTATTCTATTTTATATGTATTTTACAGATTTGTATATCATATTTTTTAATAATATCTAGACCTTTTATTATAATAATATACAAGGATAAAATTCTCCTTCGTACAGATAATCTTCTACGAGGACAAGAACTTCCAGGGCCGTCGGTACGAGTGCGACAGCAACTGTTCGGACTTCCATGTCTACCTGAACCGGTGTAACTCCATCCGTGTGGAGAGCGGGGCTTGGGTGGTCTTCGAGAGGCCCAACTTCATCGGCTACCAGTATGTTCTGACCCGGGGCGAGTATCCAGATTACCAACGCTGGATGGGTCTGAACGACCGCCTCTGCTCCTGCAAGATGATCCACTTTGTAAGTTCCACACATGAATGCAAAACATCGTGTAGTGCATATTTGATGTTCAATAGGTGTCCCTTCCTCTCCAGGTAAGCGGTTCTGAGTACAAGATCCAACTCTATGACAAGGGAGATTTCGCCGGCCAAGTACACGAGACCGCCGAGGACTGTCCATCCGTGGTGGACCACTTCCGTACACGCGAGGTTCACTCCTGTAAGGTGCTGGATGGGATCTGGATCTTCTACGAGCACCCAAACTACAGGGGGCGCCAGTACCTACTTGAGAAGGGGGAGTATCGTAAGCCCGTGGACTGGGGCGCCGTCTGCCCCACGGTTCAGTCCTTCAAACGCCTGACGGAGTGACGTCTGACCTTTAAATCCATCCATCTTGCAGTCCTTCACCTGCCCAACCACAACAGCCTCGACACACCTGTGCTAAATTAATAAATGCGTGGTTGCAAATGAAACCGTTAAGGGGTTCTGTCTCTTTTTGTGGATGTGTCAATTACTTTGGAAACCGCATACTTCCCATATACATAATATAATCATTTTAAACTTAGTCAACTGTGCAGTTTTACTGGGTTTTCACTCATGCCTTGGCTCTTTGGATATTTTAGTTGTTTTTTTTTTAAAGAATTTTTCTGTTTTTATTAAACTCCACAGGAAGGCAGGAACTGAACTGCAGAAGCTCAAAGGTTTGATACATTTTTGTTTATGTTGCTTATATCTTCTCGTTTCTCGAACTGCTTGTTTATTGTTTCTTAAAATGTTTCAGTTAGCTACAGTTTCCAATTTGCCATATTTAGGTGCTCTTATGCTTCTTTTTTATTAAATATAAACACAAACATTAGTTCACTATTTAGCTTAAAACACTATTTAGCTTGAAAATGTGTTTTTTACTTAATCAGTTATTGATTTGTTCCTATTAACTTATTTTCAGATGCTTATAAATAGGTTATTTTTAATAATAATAATATAATTATTATTATTATTATTATAAATATTGGCCTTAAAAATATTGGTAATGTTGGTCAGTCTCTAGGCTATATGTCAAAAACAGGGCAGAACCTCAGACCAAATAAACCACAGCAGCAGTTTTGCTTGTAAGTTATTGTTTAATTAGCATATATTGCAAAAGTCGATTCTCCTCTTCTGGATGTGAAGTCATAAACCACTATAGCAACAGTAGCCACGCCCACCACAGCAGAGATGACCAATCGAATCACAGCTTCAGTGAAACCACAACAATGGACACGATCTGAGGACAGCAGAAGTTTTATTGAGAACCTGCTCATACTTTATGACAAACTCACTAACAACATCTTTAATAATAATATTAATTATTATCACCGCTGATGTTCAGTACCTGCAGATGTCTGACAGAATTGACTGATGTCCAGATGTGTGGTCCGGTTGCTGATAGGATTGTTCAGCACACAACTGTAAGTGTTTTTATCCTGATATTCCACCTCCAGAGGTAGAGAGAGACTGATGCTGAGATCAGACACACTGATGCTGGACAATACACTGATTCCTTTGAGCCAGGAGAGAGTCACATGACTCACATTCACAGCTGAACACATCAGTGAACAATTCTGGCTTGATAATGATGATGATGAACAGTTTGAAGAGTCTCTGGTGATAATGGGAATGGGTAGACGAGCTGAAAAATATATATTTAAAAAAACAACAAGTTAAATTCACAGAGGGTGAGTAGAGTGTGACTTCTCTGTTAGTTCACGTGTAACAGGCTCAGCACACAACGCTTCTCTGTTGTATGTCACACGCATCACACACATGACCAGCGTTGGCCAATAGTGAGCGTACGTGTGACGACACAGAAGCGCTGCGCCCACAGAGAAGGAAATTATTAGGCTTGTTTGAGATGAGCAAATTCTGCGCAGAATCGATCACCGGTGATCAGCGCGAGATGCATGCCGGTTAGAAATGTGTCCGAGAACGGTCCGCCTGGCTCTGATGTCATGCCGACGTATGTCAAAAAACTCTCGCGAGCGCAAGGCGGAAGGGTCGGATTCTGCAGTCGCGCGCAGTTGCTCTCCACCGACTGCGCTGATCAAAAGCATGATGGGAAACGACTTGCTGACGACACAGCTTAATGCTCATTGGTTTAAACAACAGTGATGAAAGTAAATTCCATATTCATTAAGCTAAATTCTCCAAATCAAGGCCATGTTTTATTTATTTATTTATTTTTTCAAATTGAAACTGATATTGTGAATCTCTTAAACGGGTTAAAAATAAGAAAGCTATAGTCAGTAACTCAAATATACTAGGCCTACTCTAAAATGTTCAAGTGAAAAATAGCTCTCATTTTATAGATGATGAAGTTTGTAAGTCTGTCTATTTAAGCTAAGCTTATTTTGATTTATTTATTTAGGCTATTTTATTATTAATTTTATTCTGATGTTTATTTATTTGTCGCTGTATAATAGGCCTATTTGTTTCACGAATTGTGGTGCTTGTAGGTTTAACTTGCATTCTAATAAAAAGGTAAAACAAATAAAAATAAAAATAAAAGAACAACAGATGAATTGTTCTCTTTTAAAATGTTTGATTTTAAAACTGATATCATGTTTTATATATGGGTGAAATAAACTCTCTGACAGTGCCATATGGGTTATATTTCATTTTTGTTAAAACAATAGGCTATATAAAAACACGTCTGTATTAAAGAAAAAAAAAGATTGATAAACACATATTTGGAATGTAATTAAATAACAAGTCCTACTTTGGGTGTCTTGTTCATTATTTTTATTTTTATATAAAAGCAACAGTTTATTAGCAACACGTGCACGAGCGTGAATCCCGTTAATCCCGCGATATCCGCCTTTGATCTCACAGATGTCTGATTCACTGCGAGAAACGAGATCTGTCCGGCTTTATTGCGCTTTTTTCACTCCTCCCCTCACTGCAGCCGCCTACTCTCGACTACATTGCAGGCGAGGCGAGGCGCATCTCAAACAAGCCTATTATTTTTGTCTGTTTTTTGCGCAACAAAAAGTATTCTCGTTGCTTGATAACTTAAGGTTGAGCCCCTGTAGTCACTCGGACTGTTTAATTACTATAATTTAGGGCTGTCAAACGATTAATCGCGATTAATCGCATCCAAAATAAAAGTTTGTGTTATGTGTTTACATATCTGGGTGCACTGTGTATAATTATTTTGTATATATAAAAACACACACATGCATGTATATTTTAGAATAAAATATTATTTATATATGAAATGTTGATATTTATATATAATATAAATTATATATAAATCTATGTACAGTATATACGTGAAAATATATCTTAAATATATACAAGCATGTGTGTGTATTTATATATACAAAATAATTATACACAGTGCACCCACATATATTATGTAAACAAAAACTTTTATTTTGGATGCGATTAATCACGATTAATCATTTAACAGCCCTTAATTTTTCTAAGCCGGCATGTTTCTCTCCTTTAGAAAGCCTATGGAGGAGTGATCCAGCTCTCAGACTTAATCAAAAATATCTTAATTTGTGTTCCGAAGATGAACGAAGGTCTTACGGGAATGGAACAACATGAGGGTGAGTAAATAATGACTGAATTTTCATTTTGGGGTGAACTATCCATTTAAGATATATTATCTTAGTTAGGCTACTTGTATAAGATATTGAATGTAGACTTATACTCTCAGAATTAGTACTTGTTTATAAAATGTTTCTCTTTTCCACAAACGCTGCTTGTAAGATGTTAGATATGGTATTTGAAAGTGCTTGCTTCGCTTTCTTTGTTCTGAAGGTGTCAAAACCACACCTTATATTATATAGCCTATCTATATCTATCTTTGCAACCATAGCATTCGACTGGTCAAGCTGAACCAGCCGTTACACCAATAATAAGTCTGTTAGACCTTTTCTTATCAGATTATTGTCACTTATTTTTTAGCTTTTTTTTTTTTTAGACCTTCGGTTTGACTATATTCTGGCACATATACAATAATTTAGTACTGCTGTCAATTCATATTCTTATATTAAAACTGAAAATGAAAACATGACTTGTTGAGGACGGGGCATATTAAACTCAATACTCACCATACACAGTAACATTGAATAACAACAGCCAGTTTTTCATTGTGAGTTCATAAAGTCCCGAGTCTGTGGTTCGGGTGTTCCTGATAGTCAGATCTCCAGTTTGATTGTTGATCTGTAGTCTGTCTCTGATTCTCTTGTCGTCTTTAAAATATGTAATACCCCCTCCATTAAATTGAATGATTATAATAGTATCTTCAGGTCCAAATCTCCACTGGACATAAGGTTTATATCTGACATCAGTGTGTAGAGTGACAGAATCTCCCTCCATCACTGACACGATCTTTGCTCCATCTGTGAACAAAAAACATGGATAACAAAATCAAAAGGGACAGTTCACCCAAAAATGAATGTTCAGTCGTACATGTTGGCCTACTTAAGTATAAAGTAACAGTTAATGAAATACCTCTGACTACCAAATCAAAGCCAAAAAACATGTTTAACTCACCAACAAAATGTAATAAATACAAGGAAATAAATGCACAAAACATTGTTCAGCCGTGTGAGATAATAGAGGAAGTCTTATAAAGGAACTTTTCTGTCAGTAACTCGTCCAACCGCACTTTAAGAAAAGTCTGTTCCTTAATCTAGTCATGTGTTACTCGCTATTTTGACAGTTTAAATGTGCATGTGTGAATGTTATTGATAAGTAAAGACAGTTGGCTTCTCTCTCATTTTAATTGAAAGTTTGGCATACTGTATTATTTATATATATTGATTCCTCAACTTTAGCCCCATTGGATTCAACTTTAGAAATACAAATTGAATTATTTGAGTTAATAATGTTACTCTCTATATAGTTTAGGAATCCTTAGGAATTGGTTCTTTTGTTTTGAACAATTTTTTTTTAATGTTTTGATTGACTGTGAATTTGGTTGGGTCACTTTTTGTACAGAGCGTTACACAGTATTTGTTAAGATGTGTCTCTCCCCATAAGCTGCTCAGGATTTGTTTTTTGGTTTAGTGCGTAACCTTTGTCACCCAATTTTCTTGTGAAATTCCTCATTTAAAACGGAAGCAGCGACTCGAATAATTTCCTAATTTTACAGAAAATAGCTGGGTTTTTTTACTACTTTCATTTTCTTTAATTTTAAATTGTACACAAAAATCTGTAAAACTACAAATAATATCTGTAAAAAAATCAGCACAATGTAACAAATTTCACTTTAATAATCTTTATTTAATGATTGTACCTGTTATTCGCGAAGTAAACAGTAGGTGGCACTGTAATCATATTTTACAGATGCTGTTCAAGAGGCAGAGCTCAACTTCCTGTAGAGTTTATAAAACGTCAACTCACTTCGATTGATTCGTATTTTTTATTTTTCATTATCACACTGATACAGATTCTTTACAGTTTATTTATAGCATTTGATATTGAAAAATGATCTCCAGGAAACCCTTCAGATCTACTGGGCCTCAAACGAACTACCTTCAGTTCCTGATGCTCAGTTCAAACTGGATACATTTCAGCCCTGACTGAACAAGCAAATTATTATACACAAGAATTGTTAATATTATTCAACATCATGCTTTAGATTTTAATTGTCTTTGAAGAAGAGAAAAGTGCAAATCAATATTCTTTATTAAAAAAAAAAGAAAAGAAATCGCAGTATTCTTTGCAAAAGCTTATTAAAGGCATCTAACAGCAGTGTTTCCCGCTCTTTTTCTTACAATGGATTTATTTCCATGAGTTTCTTGTTATTCACTGGATAAGGATAATTTTGATTCTGAATCATTTAGACAATTTTGTGATTTATTGAAAATTGTAGTATATAGGCTTATATTATTTCAAGGTTTTCTGTGACTGGGAATCCTGACATTGCACAAATTGAAACATGTGGATCATTATTCATGGACTGACTGTGATGTTCTCCGCTTCCTTTCAGCTCTTCTGGATGTGAAGTCATAAACCACTATAGCAACAGTAGCCACGCCCACCACAGCAGAGATGACCAATCGAATCACAGCTTCAGTGAAACCACAACAATGGACACGATCTGAGGACAGCAGAAGTTTTATTGAGAACCTGCTCATACTTTATGACAAACTCACTAACAACATCTTTAATAATAATATTAATTATTATCACCGCTGATGTTCAGTACCTGCAGATGTCTGACAGAATTGACTGATGTCCAGATGTCTGGTCCGGTTGCTGATAGGATTGTTCAGCACACAACTGTAAGTGTTTTTATCCTGATATTCCACCTCCAGAGGTAGAGAGAGACTGATGCTGAGATCAGACACACTGATGCTGGACAATACACTGATTCCTTTGAGCCAGGAGAGAGTCACATGACTCACATTCACAGCTGAACACATCAGTGAACAATTCTGGCTTGATGATGATGGTGGACAGTTTGAAGAGTCTCCGATAATGACAGGTATGGGCAGACGAGCTGGAAACATGAGAGAATAATGTCAAATAAACTCTGATATACTATTTGGATACTGTACAGATTTACTATCTGTCATTGTGAGGGGACAAGAAACATTAAAAAAGCCGAGTAATAATGAATGTATACATACATATGTTTACTTTCTTCACTGACAGACAAAAATGAAAAGCCTATATCAGTGAAAGCTCAGCTTTAGGAGGGGAAGAGACAGGGCAAGATAAAAACAAAGAGAAAAAGAGGGTGATGCTGATGAGGAGAGAAAAATAATCAGCTGCCCACTGATATGGTTTTAAAGATGTTATCCAGTTTTTTTTCGCCTTCAAAACATCCTAAAATGCAAATCAAAATTTTCTCTCGGAAACCCCGAACCCCCCTAACTAACCTACCTCACATCGGGACCAGTGATTATAAAACCCTGCCTTTGCATGGTAATGAAATAAATGCCTAAATTAAAGTTACCTTTTTATATATATATCTAAAAATGATGAGGAGAGAGCGTTTAAAAAAAAATCATACCCTCATTGGGTGCTTAGCCCCCCTAAAATGAATATTTCAGTGACGCCCCTGCTCCGGCCTAAAACTCCGAAAACAAAACATTGGAAAAACTAGTCATTCAACCCGACCCTTCACTGCGAGGAAGACTTGAGCCGCCGGACGTATCTCAGTGATGCGCTACTCAGTTTGAGATGTTGCAACTGTAATTTCTCTCCAGCATTAACAATATCTATCAACAAAGCGATGTTTATATTTAATTTTTTTGCAGTGCATATGAGGGAATTGTAACAATTGAGGGAATTGACAATCTAGACAGTTTTAGGTAATAGTGGCCCACATCTGATTAGCATTAACTACTTAAGGGAACGGCGTTGAACTTGGAGATTTGAGAAGCAGTTGTCAGTAAAATGACATTTGAGGGTCAAGCTGTTCGAGGGCGGAAAACGTACAACATACAGTATAGACTCCAGACGGGCATTATGCAAATGCATCTTCTAGTGACAGAACCGTAAAGCTGTAGGATTCGAATTAAAAACGATTCGTATTTGCGGTTCAGAGTCGATTCTTTCTTTTGGGACACAATAACTGTATCTTGCACTTTCGACTTTACAACTTTGCAGAACGTTTACATTCACAAACAGCATATACACAATATAACATAAAACATTTAAAAATATAGAATTGTTAAAATTATGTATTGTTAAAAAATGGCAAGGAAAGAAAACATAAAACTCAACTACTCACCGTAGACCGTAACATTGAATGATTCTCTTAAGAGACTGTGCATTTGATAAAGTCCAGAGTCTGTGGTTCTCATGTTCCTGATGGTCAGAGATCCAGTCCGATTGTCGATCTGTAGTCTGTCTCTGAATATTTGATCACCATAATACATAATATATGTCTCCTCATCATGAAACCAATAAGCTCTGACTATCCGAGTATTTTCAGGTCCAATCCACAACAGTCTATATCTATGTCTGTGTTTATAAATAACATCAGTGTGTAGAGTGACAGAATCTCCCTCCATCACTGACACTATCTTCACTCCATCTGTATCAGAACCAAACACACATAAATAATCAGATTAAATAATAGTTCATGTAAGCCTCTCACTGTACTAAACCACTAAACCTGAAGTCATAAATCATGTTTAACTCACCAACCAGATGCCAGAAACAGAAAAAAATTAATATGCAAAACATTTCTTCAAAAGTATGAGACTAAAACCAATCAAACCCTGCTGATCTTAAACTGTAATGAGTCTAATAGAGGAACTTCAGTCTGTTCCTCAATCTCTGAGTCACACGTCACAGTCCATACACCATTTATGTTTGGCCTAATATAAACAAGATTTATTTAAAAAAATATATATATATATTTATTCATTTGCACATCTGAATATTACAATAAACAACAATTACAATTATTAGTCAAATGACATTTTATGCTGCATGTAACTGGCTATAAAACCTGACAGCTAAACTGAGTTAAAAGACATGCAGCAGAAAAGCAGTCCTGCTCTGCAACACACATATGGACCTTTGTCACATTTCTGGGTTTCTCAGAAGTGGAAGTCGTCATTGTGGTTAAACTTTTATAGTGCTGAATGAGAAATAGGCTACATTAAATTTGCTCAAACAGCAAAAGAAGAACTCTGCAAAAGTGTTTTCATAACTTTCAACAAGATTGATCAAGACAGTCAGAAGAGAGAAAGAAGTATTAGAAACAACCTCACAAATTGAAGAGAGAACACATTAAACATTTCATTAAACATGAAATTTAAAGAAGAGAGAAAGAAGTATTAGAAACAACCTCACATCCGCATTAGTTTATTGTAATTTGATGCAAGAGTAATATAATAAAGTATTGTTATAAATGTAGGCTATATATAAATGTAAAAATAATAATAATAAATTATAAAAAAAACTTTGCCGTTACACCACCTCTTCACTGTCTATTGAGCTCATGCGGGAAGTTTAGTTTCACACATTTATTTCTGCTGATCATCTGTGAAGCTGCAGTCAGCATTTTCATCACTTAAAAAAAATCAGACAAACGTCCAGTGTAGGCTAAGTAGGCTAACGTTCAGGTATACAGGTGTTTAAAAATAGATTTTTGTTTGTACGGGCGGAGAGTTGAGGATCAGGGAACCGATTTTTAAAGGTTGGTCATAACTAGTTGCGTTAATTATTCCAGATGCAGCCTGTCCATCATTTTTTCAGGGTTAAAAAAAATAAGAAAGAAAACCTGTACTTTAATAATCTCTCTTTAATTGATTGTACCTCTTATTCACAAAGTAACCAGTAGATGACACTGTGCCAAATTATGTTACAGATGCTGTGCAGAGACAGAACTATAAAAAGATGTCCACAATCAACAAACCAACCCATAATGAGTTCATTTCCTTTTGCTAACAGTGAACAGCTTAGTCAGTATAGCTAAACTTTGCTATAGTATCCAGCAAACTTTCAGACTTCCGTTATATTTTACACAAACTAAACTTAGCCTACTCTTTGTCACTTTGGCCCCAACTTCCTGTAGGCTAGAGCTGAGAAATCGCCTACAAATCCTATATTTAAAAAAAAAAAAAAAAAAATTATAAATAAATAATTTGTGCAGCAGGATTTATGATGATGTCATCAGAGTCTGTGAAAAGGGTTGATACTTTTATTTGCCTCCCTTCTAAAATTGTGTAACATTTTATTGTTTTAAAGTGCCATTGTTTGTATCTCCTTTATGTATGTGATTATCCTCGTTTGCATTATTTGTACTATTGTCAATTTCTTTTTTTTTTCTTCTTTCTTTTTCCCTTCTGGTGTTTGCTCTGTTCTTTGTATTTCATGTGGTTGTTAATTAAAAAATAAAATAAAATACTTTTATTTGCCTGTTGCCAAACTCTCCATAAACTACCATACGATTTAAGAAAAAAAAAAACACAGAAAATTTCTAAAGTATTAGTTGATAATTGTATTTAATAGAAAAACACGTTCAATAAACTATTTTTAAAGTGTTTGTTAAAAATGCTTGATTGAGCTGAGTTTTCACTACATTTACATCGTTCTGAGTCTGACTGGGGTTTGTGGTGTTTTGTTCATCAAGCAATATTATTCCCATGTTTTTCGTTCACTGAAGTCTACGAGTAAATCGCATTCGAGTGAAATGAAGGAGAATTAGGGTGGATGGCAAATAGTTTTACTGTTTACAGCAGTTTATTGTTCTTATTGATATATTTAGCTAGCCGAATCGGAAGTCTCGCATTTTGAAAACAACACCTCGTTTAGTGAAAGATGGATATTTGTTCAGTCGGTCCATCCACACAAATCATCCTCCATTTCACTGGAATACGATTAACTCGTAGACTTCAGTAAACGAAAAACATGGGAATAATATTCCTAACACCACTGGCAGTTACACGCCTAAACATCAGATGGCGCAGATGAGTCAGGACTGTTAGAGGTAACTAACAGCGGTCGAACAACAGATCGCGGAAATAATGCTGCTGAATCTCTCTTGTCTATATTTGATTTCTCTTTGTTTTCGATAAATAGGCAAACCATTTTAAAACGTTACAGAATAAGGAACTGTCAACTCACTGCATTTAAAAAATAGGTACAGTAAAAATAACGACGTATCTTCCTTATTGAAGAGAGTGACACAGTTATCAGGGACCAAGAAGTGTAGTTCACTCAAAATCTTTATTGATAGCCGTTAAGTTAGTTTATATTATACTACGTATGTGCGTACGAGAAAAAGTGTGAATGAACCTCAACTTTGATATAGTGAAGTGTGACAAAAACAATTATACAGAAGAGACAGCGGAAAAACACATTACAATATGTGCTTGCAAACACTTCATTACCACAACATTATGCTCAATACAATGACAACAAAACATTTACATAACATAGATCACTTTTTTTTTGGTCTTTATAAAAGTATAGAGGTTTTTGCTGTTTTCAGGCATTTTATGTTTTTTGGTCTTTTCAGGCATTTTAGCAGCTCAGGATGGCTTTGGTCCCCTATGATGAGAATGTACTTCCTGCTCTGTCAAAGCTTCACCAGACTTCAGCTGAATTTAATCTGGCCAATCACAGGATCAGACTCAGCCAGGACTGGAAGCGATTGGGTGTCGCTGCTGTGGTCTGGGACGCAGTAAGTTTAAAAATCATAATATGCATTGAAGGCTAGCACAGATCTGGACTGGTAAAGGATAGGCTGCGGGTTCGAATCCCACAATATATGATCCATGAACTGGCACAAGTGTTTTATTTTCATGATATAATTTTATAGGCTGTAGTGCTCTGCATGTTCCTGGAGATGGGAAACGTGGATCTGAAAGGAAAGAAGGCTATTGAGCTTGGAGCCGGCACAGGTTTGGTGGGCATTGTAGCAGCTCTGCTTGGTAAGAATGAACGATTGATTCTTTTCCTGACTAAATGATTTTTTTCTGGATTATCTTGGTCAGTACTATTCCATTCTTGCAGGTGCCAATGTGACAATTACAGACCGAAAACCTGCCTTGGAATTTCTGACGGCCAATGTGCGTGAAAACATTCCTCCCAGCCAGCAGGGGGCGGTACAGGTATCTGAACTTACCTGGGGTGAGAATCTAGATCTGTATCCCTCAGGCAGCTTTGATCTGATACTGGGAGCCGACATTGTTTACCTGGAAGAGACGTTTCCTGCTCTCCTGCAGACTCTTGAACACCTGAGCTCGGAGAACACGGTGGTGTTGTTGTCCTGTCGGATTCGATATGAGAGAGATGAGCGGTTCCTGACGGAGCTACGGCAGAGGTTCTCTGTGCAGGAGGTTCATTATGACTCTCAAAGGGACATTCACATTTACAGAGCCGTGAAGAACAGGACCAACACCGAACTGTAAGAGCTGGTATTGAGGAAACTTTGGGTAGAGCTTCCTGTTTGTAATTCAAAGCATTTTAAGCTTGATAAAACCTATACTGAAGGTGATTAAATGACAATATTTAACAGGACCATGGTGATTTTTGCTTTATATGTTTGACTTTTTGCATTTCACTGCTTAGGCAGCAGGTGGCGCTGCTATACAGGCCTGGAATAATAATCTGGCCTTGTGCTAAAATAGACATCTGTCTTGCCTTCAGCATCTCTTTCTTGATTTGTGAGTCACTTGGATTGCTTTGAAGTTAAATGGAGAATAATAATCATTAACTATTGTTATTTTCTATATACAGTCCAAAATATATCTGTTATTATAACTAATATAATTAAAGCTAATATAATAGTATAATATAATATAATATAAAAAATGAAATATAATTAATAATAATAATAATAATTATTATTATATCTATTATTTAAAGTTTTAGAATATTTAAAATTTTTGTTTAAAATTTTTGAATATTATTTATTGTTATTAATTCTATAGATTATATGGAGAATAATAATCATTAACTATTGTTATTTTCTATATACAGTCCAAAATATATCTGTTATTATAACTAATATAATTAAAGCTAATATAATACAATTATTATCATAACAAAATTATTAAATTACTATTATTATTATTTAATTATTTTAAAAAATATATAATTGATAATAATTATTATAACTATTATTTCTTCCTATATGCAATCCTAAATAGTTTTATTATTAAAGTGAATATTATTTAAATATGTAACATTTTTGTTTAACATTTTTGAATATTATTTATTGTTATTAATTCTATAGATTTAATATGATATAAAATTATAATAATAAAATAAATAATAATGAATGCAACTTTTATTGTTTTCTACACACAATCCTAAACATATTTATTATAACTCATATTTATTTAATGTTAACTAAATAATATATTTTGTATTATTCGTTATTTTTTAAGTATAATTATTATTATTAACAACATTTACATTTATTCACATTTACAGTCAGTGCCTTGAATTTGATACGAGTGGCAGTTGGCAACCAGTGTAATTTTTTGAGGAGAGGTGTGATGTGTGCTTTCTTCGGCTTGTTAAAGACCACTGTAGCATTCTGGATCAGTGTCAGAGTTACAATGGTCCAGTCTGGATAGAACAAGCGCTTGGACAAAGAGTTGTGTCGCATGCTCGGATAGGAAAGGCCTGATCCTCCTAATGTTGTATAAGACTACGGTAATCTGCAGGACCGGGCAGTTCTAGCAATGTTGTCTGTGAATCACAACTCCAAGGTTCCTGGCTGACCTGGATGGAGTTATGGTTGATGAACCTAGCTGAAAGAAGAAGACCTCATGCAGTTCTGTCTTCGCAAGGTTGAGTTGAAGGTGATGGTCCTTCATCCAGCAAGAAATGTCTGTCAGGCAGGCTGAGATGCGAGCACCTACCATTGGAATGAGAGTTGTGTGTCATCAGTGTAGTAATGACAGGAAAAGCCATGTTTCTCAATGACAGATCCTAGTGATGACATGTAGATTGAGAAGAGAAGTGGTCCAAGCACTGAGCCCTGAGGCACCCCAGTAGTAACCCTCATCCCACCGTGACACCTTAAAGGACCTACCTGAGAGATAAGACATGAAAAACTGGATTGTGGTTCCTGAGATGCCTTTCGCCATGAGGGTTGACTGGAGCAAGATGAGTGCTTAGGATTTAGATTTTGGAAGTTGCTCTTACCAATCTCAGAGCTTCAGTTACTGAGAGTAGAGCAGTCTCAGTTGAGTGGCCGCTTTTGAAACCAGACCGGTTGTTATCCAGGAGGTTGTTCTGTTCGGGGATAAAAAGGTAGAGATTTGGTTGAACATGACTCATTCAAGTGTTTTAGCAATCAATGGAAGAAGGGATGCCGGTCTGTAATTTTCTAGAAGTGCTAGATAGGCCTAGGGTGACTGGAAAGGATGATGACTTTTTTTTTTAAATTTTTATTTTTACTAAATACAAACCATTACCATATATATATATATATATATATATATATACATAATAACACTCAACAGCAATTTGTTATATTTTAGGACGTAGACAGCCAAAGCCAGTTTTATGTTAGCTATGTTTTTGATCCATTAAACGCTCTCAGAAAAAAAGGTACAAAAGCTGTCACTGGGGCTGTACCTTTTCAAAAGGTAAACTTTTGTTTATTTTAGGTGCTAATATGTGCATTTTAAGTGTTAATATGTACATTTTAGGTGCTAATATGTCCATTCCAGGAGCTAATATGTCCATTTTAGGTCCTAATATGTACATTTAGGTGCTAATATGTACTAAGTACATTTTAGGTGCTAATATGTACATTTTATGTGCTAATATGTACATTTAGGTGCTAATATGTACATTTTAGGTGCTAATATTTACATTTCATGAGCTAATATGTCCATTTTAGGTGCTAATATGTACATTTTATGTGCTAATATGTACATTTTAGGTGCTAATATGTCCATTTCAGGAGCTAATATGTACATTTTAGGTGCTTATATGTACATTTTAGGTGCTAATATGTACATTTTAGGAGCTAATATGTACATTTAGGTGCTAATATGCACATTTAGGTACTAAGTACATTTTAGGTGCTAATATTTACATTTCATGAGCTAATATGTACATTTTAGGTGCTAATATGTCCATTTCAGGAGCTAATATGTCCATTTTAGGTGCTAATATGTACATTTAGGTGCTAATATGTACTATGTACATTTTATGTGCTGATATTTACATTTCATGAGCTAATATGTCCATTTTAGGTGCTAATATGTCAATTTCAGGAGCTAATATGTCCATTTTAGGTGCTAATATGTACATTTTAGGTGCTTATATGTCCATTTCAGGAGCTAATATGTCCATTTTAGGTGCTAATATGTACATTTAGGTGCTAATATGTACATTTTAGGTGCTAATATGTACATTTTATGTGCTGATATTTACATTTCATGAGCTAATATGTCCATTTTAGGTGCTAATATGTCAATTTCAGGAGCTAATATGTCCATTTTAGGTGCTAATATGTACATTTTAGGTGCTTATATGTACATTTTAGGTGCTAATATGTCAATTTCAGGAGCTAATATGTCCATTTTAGGTGCTAATATGTACATTTAGGTGCTAATATGTACCACTAAGGTACCAATATGCAGCCTTTGGGTACAAAAGTGTACCTTTTGCAAAGGTACAGCCCCAGTGACAGCTTTTGTACCTTTTTTTCTGAGAGTGAACCTCAGATCAGATGCTTATCATCAAACTGACCCTTATCTTGGATAAACATGTGTCCAGTTTTATAACAGATAACCCACATCCTGTCAAGTGAATCAAAAACTCCAGCAAAGACTTTACCAGTCTTCAGGAGATATTTCAAATGATTAGATCATTTGATAATTTAAAAAAGATTTCTCTGATGGTTTCCGAAATGCTATGATTCCTTATTGTGTCATGGAATATTATAAATGAGTTATTACTGGACGCAAAGCGCCATCGTTAACGCACATCACCTGTTAAAAGCGACACAATTTTGTACGTGCCACACCTGTAAGAGGATGTTTTAATGCACCGCGGCCCATGCTGCATTAGGCCGGATCGAATTTAAGTGAGTGTCTGTGTATTTGTTTGCAGAGGAAGTCCGCTTTGTGGCAGATGAGACCGTTCCACCTGAGCGCACTCAATAAAGAAGACACTATGATATTTGTTGAGCTTTTAACAGGCTTTTAAACCCTTGTTGTCTGCTGTTAAATGATTTCTGAAGATCGGCCGATATGGAAGGAAACACACTTTGAAGTTTCCTTCAGCTTTCTAAGTCGCAAATATGAAGTATTTTGTAAAAGGTTATATTTAGCTTTTTTCACCCCAAATCACTACCACAGTTTAATTGCGCTACAAATTTAAAGATCTACTTCTGAGAATGGCTGTAAACAGGCTTAAAATGCCCTACAGCATTTTACTGTTTCCGACTGTGTTCTGTGACATCACATCTTGTCGGCCCCTTTATTGCAGGAGCCTTTCTCTGACGTCAGTGGCATCAGAAGGATTAGCCCTGATTGGTCGAAACTGAAGTCATGCTGGCACTGAGACTCGCTAATCGCAAAATTAGCATTGTCATTACGGTAAGCGTCTGTCTCAAACACATGGATGTGATCTTTCACTCCTAGACGATAAAAATCTTTTGTGGAATCTGTCGTGTTTTATAGCCCTTGACAGTGGAAAAGAGCACATTGGCCTTAGTAATCTCATGTTATCTTGAATGTTATATTACCTTGAATTCTTTTGTTAGAATAAACTGGAAAGGGTTTCATCGGTTACAGTCATTTTGATTTTAACCCTTGATATATATTTAAGTCACTAATTGTAGTTGCAGTCATTTTGATTTATTGCTAAAATGCTGCTGGTTTTCAATCGAAAACAGTCTCATGAGAACTCACTTATTGACACTGCTTAATTATTATTAGTTTATTATCAGTTTTTTTCCGCACATCAATAAATTCACCTGCCCTCGTAATCTTTAATCAAAATAACTTCCCCTCCCTCTTGGCGTGACGGCTCTTTTTTTCTCTGATGATGTGTTTACTTGCATGAGGGCGGGGCAACCTGTCACTTACATGAAATCGACCAATAGCAAACCACAACCATCCAATCAATTTCCCATGGAGAAAATCAAGCCCCGCCCTACATTTTTTCTTGTTTGCAAAGTGGCTTCAATCAGATATAAGGAACAATAAGACTATCGCAACTAACGTTTCAAGCTATTTTACAATGTGGCAATTTTCAGACTGATCTCATGAAATGGCGTATTTATGACACGCCAATTCGTATTTCCATTTTTGGCGTGCTATCAACACGCATAATCGCTTTTCAGCGTGTTTATGAACGCCGTTGACTTAACTTTACATTACTGTATATATAAATAGTAGGGCTGAGAAACGATTAATCGCGATTAATCACATTCAAAATAAAAGTTTGCGTTTACATAATATATGTGTGTGTAGTGTATATAGTTATTTTGTATATATAAATACACACGTATGCATGTATTTAAGTAAAATGTGTTATTAATATATCAAATATTTATATTTATGTATAATATTAACTTTATATATAAAGTGTATACATGCAAATATTTCTTAAATATATACATGCATGTGCGTGTATTTATATATACAAAATAATTATACACACTACACACACATATACTATGTAAACACAAACTTTTATTTTGGATAAGATTAATCGCGATTAATCATTTCAAAGCCCTAATAAATATATGACCTAAACCTACCCGTCAATGGGGTTAATACCATTTATAAGTCTTCCCCTACCATCCTACGGAAAAAAATATCGGTCCCCAGATGTAGATCTACATTTTGCTTCGTTTCGCTCTGACATTTAACGGCGTGTACATGCACGTGGAATCACTCGGACATTTAATGGCGTAGAAATACACGAATACACTCGGATAGCTCAAAATGCGTATAGATATCACGCCACTTGACTTGACGCGAAAGTCATGATGCCATGTTGCAATTTCGTATGAATTCGTACTGTTATTTGGATGAAAACGTACTTGTTTTTGAAAAAAAGTAAGCATGAAGCTCCATCCCTATAGCTAACTACAGTATCTATCAGTGGGGCATAAACAGATCGTATGAAAACGTATTGAATGGGATCGTAAAAATACAAATTAGTCACCGAATCATAAAAGATGGATAGATGGACAAGTGAGATTACAAGAAAAAACATTCAGACAACATAATGTTTTCATAACCAAATGGGAACATTTGCAAAACATTCTTAGAACATATTTTTGTTGAATTAAAGAATCTGATAATGAAAGAAAGTGTTTATGTATATAAGCTCTTTATATAATAAAAATTGCCAGGAAATTCCTGTCATCGATATTCAGCTCCCTCCGGCTAGTTGTCCAACCGTTATTCTTTCCTCTGTGACTTTGAATTAAGTGGCAACACCGTAAACAGCCATTGACTGTCCACAAACCACAACTACACAGTGTGTATGACTGCAATCCATGCTTATGGACCATCATTGAACACCACACCCAAAAGAAGCATATGCTTAGACACCAAAATAAATAAATACAGTCTCTGACACTCTTTCAAAGAACACAGAACTGACTGAGGAATGGAAAATCAGTGCAGTACATCATGCTTTATGCCAAAAATAAGTGTTCCCCATAGTTCTGAATCATAATATTTGGAAATGAATCTCTAATGTGGGAGGAAGTCCATTGTGACTTAATCAAACTTTTTATACAAAGTAGAAACATATGCGAGATCTAATTTCCAGTTTGGCCTACACATGATTTTAAGAATTGCTTTTAAAGATTGAATTCATTAAATTACGTTCAGATGTTTTTGGTGTAGTATTTGTGTTTTCAATTCCTTAAATTGAATCAGGGAATTTGATTTCATCATGGGGCTTGGGGACGGCAGTAGAGGTCTAACACATGCTTCATTTCCTTTCAAACAACTCGAGGGGGAAGTGCGCTTATGTCACCTCTCATATTATTTATTATTTGCTTTATCAATGACCATCATAAATGTAATGGACTGAGAGGCAGATATGGGCCCTGCTGTAAATGTGTTAGAAAACAGGCCGTTACAGTATGTACGAGGGAATGCCGGCTTTCTATGAGGTTACATATGGTTTATGGAGAAAATTATGTATGTGAAGTATGAAAAATGTAATGGGTCATTTATTCCTATCTGTGCTGATAGTTTATGAAATATTGGTTGATAAATTATTTTTTTCACTGCATTACCCAACATTACTAATTATTAGGCCTGTATGCAGAACATAATGTAAATTTCAATGCTTCGATGGATAAACTAATAATAGAATCATTAACAACAGTTTTAGTTGAAAAGGAGGGAAGTCCGATTCATTTAGCGAATCGTTTCGTTTGAGCGGTTTTCAATTAGCCTTATCGATTCATGAGCAAGTCATTAGCCTACTCAAATTAGGACTAGTCTCTATTTTTAACTTTGTTAAACAATATTAATAGTTGTTTGTAGAACTAGTAAATTTTTGTAACAAACGAGTTACAAACCACTTACCAGTTGGTAAACCTGTTGTTTTGGTCGTGGTTTGGACTCGTCATGTTATCATGCATCATGCATCATGATATCATGTTGCAAAACACAGCTACAGTCGAAATTGAATAACAGGGAACAGTATTTCGAACATAATACTACTGATAATGATTAAAAACATTAATCATTTTCAGTATTTTGCATGATATTTTCGACCGAGTCATTAATTTGAATCGTTTCAAAAGAATGAATCGTGAATTGTGAATCACTGATAATGAATAGGCTATAACTTCATCCTCACATGGTTCATCAAATCATGCGAATATTGAACACATGTAAAACGATCTGTATTACGTGCATATTTGAGGACAATGAATTATGGTGTGTGTGTGAGGGAAAGTGAATTCAACTTGATGAAACGTTTTTTTTCTTTAGTGCACAACACGTCACACCAGCTGCTAATTGACATTCATTGCGGAGAAATTACTGTCTTACTGATCAAGGTAGGCTTTAGAGGAATGCGAACTTTAATCTGTCCCCACTTTATTGTTTCCTTAACAAGCAAAGTTGAGGTAATATTTAACACTCCTGCTCTGTTCGACTCTCGGGAGCGTCCGCGCGCGCAACAGAGACAGAATTGCGCTGGATAATAACGGAATTCTGAACCAAGACTCACGCATTTCACTCTAAGATGGTCAGTAAGTGTTAAATAGTGCAAATATTGTGTGCACAGTTTGGAAATTGTGCTTTTAACTTCTAGAGAGTTGTGCGTAAAAGCGCATTTGGAGAGATAGGCTAGTTATAAGGTGTTGTGTTGTCTTTTATGATTTAAAAGCGGGTTTTATTTGATTTGGTTATTTTTGTCATGTTGTAGGGAATTGGAAAATGGCTTCTGGCGGCATTTGGGATCGTAGTGGTCGTTGTCTTAATAGCTGTTCCAACCGCAATTTTCCTTAACGGTAGGTGATTTTATTTGGAGTATGTAGATACGTTTATAAATATGTCTTATGAAAGCAAGATTTCTGATTCATTGCTCTGTTGCTTCATGTTAAACTTGTATATGTCCAACTGTTAGTCATTGATTATAAGTGTCACTCCTCCATGAAGTAATGTTATAGTTAGCAGGATGACTGGCTGCAGGAGTGTTTACATCAAGTGTTTTCAGAGGCTGAACGCTTTCCAGCGCTTATCTGGGACATTATCTTCTGAACTTTGTACAGATAATGATTTTACTTTTTTATAACGCACAAACACATGTGTGTTATACAACATATTCACTGAGAAAAGTTTCCATTAATAACATCTATCTATCTATCTATCTATCTATCTATCTATCTATCTATCTATCTATCTATCTATCTATCTATCTATCTATCTATCTATCTATCTATCTATCTATCTATTTGTCTATCTATTTGTCTGTTTAATTGTCTATCTATCCATCTATCCATCTATCCATCTATCCATCTATCTATCTATCTATCTATCTATCTATCTATCTATCTATCTATCTATCTATCTATCTATCTATCATCTATCTATCTATCTATCTATCTATCTATCTATCTATCTATCTATCTATCTATCTATCTATCTATCTATCTATCTATCTCTACCTCTACTTGTCTAATTATCTGTCTCTCTCTCTCTCATTTTCTCTTTCTCAGATGATAAAACTGAATCCCAGAGGACTTTTACTCTAGAAGATTACTTCAACGGTACAGCAAGAACCAAGTCATACAACTTGCGCTGGGTCTCAGGTACTATGAGTTTTGGAAAATTTGCTCAACATTTATTTACATAAACAACGTATTTATGACATAGAAAGTATACTGTGTCTTTACCATGGTACCGCTATGCTATCAAATGAGATTAAAATAGTACTTTTAAAATATACCATGTACCCTAGTACTTTTTATGTAAGCGAATGTATACCATGGTATTTACTGTACATAGTAACATGTCCAAAACAACATGGTCCTTTTTGTAAGTAAACGTCTGAGTGGATATTGACTTTTTTTTGTCATAAAATCAATAATTTGTTACCTTTCTGCACAATTTATCATGCAGATGATGAATATCTTCACAAGACAGGAGAGGGCTCAGTGTTTCTGATCAACGCAGCCACAGGAAATGAAAGGGAATTCGTGAACCAACAGATATTTGTAAGACATTTTGCATGGACTATTAGAGCTTTAACCACACATTACCTTTGTAAACATAAAAACACAGTGGCAGTTTGAATGGCACTACTGGACGATTGTGAACCACGACACACTATAAGCAATCAGACAGTTTTTTTCCCTAAAATCAAAGACATTTTTTAAGCAACCACATATCAATTATCCAGAATACCCACCATAGAAACCATCATGCCGGAGACTTTTACACAGGGAAGCAGCAAAAAACTGGTTTTAATTGGCAGGATTTATAAAAAGAAATCAGGGCGCCACTGTTCTCAGAACTGTAAATGTAAATACACATTTGCATCGATTCTTTGAATGCACAACAGTTGTCTTTCTTTGGTGTTATCAGGCCCGTGTGGCAGCTTTCGATTACATGGTGTCAGCCGATCGAAAATATGTCTGTTTCCTGAGCAACTACACCAAGGTAATCAATGAAACGCTTTAAGTAATCAATTATTAATCATATCCCAATGTTTAATATTGTCTTTCTTCACCAGCTATGGAGACACTCGTACACTGCATCGTATTCCATCTACGACCTGGAAAAAAGGTTTGTTTACTAGTGTGTTTAGCTAGCTAACCGTTTATGCTAACAAACTGCATGGCCATCTTTATTCCTGTCGTACCTTTGATCAGTGATCACTTTGTATTTTTGTGAAGATGTCTAACTTTCTCTTTCTTTCAGGGATTTTATAAATACAGATATCCCACATGAAATCCAGTACCTAGCGTGGTCTCCGACCGGCCACAAACTGGTGAGTATCTTATCAGTTTAACGCAATGTCATGTTCAAGGTGCTGTACATGTCGTAAAACCTTATCAATATTGTCTTCATTTAACTGGTTTATGCCATGTCATCGTTTGATACAAGTTTTCTGCCTTTGAAGAACTAGGTTCACTAGCATATATGCTAATACATGCTAGCTTGCTAAAAGTAGCACAACGAACTACATTTTTTACAATAGTTAAAACAGTGTAGCTTTTCCAGTAACAAGGTAATTCTTTCAACAAATACTGGGTTACTGATGTTTCAATACTGGTGTAGCTAACTAGCAATGCTGCTAACTTAAATTAGCTATGCTGCATGATACATACAGTACGTTTACGCACAAAGCTTTTTTGTATGTTGTTGTTGTGGTGAAACGTTTAGTTTAAATTCTACAGTTCATTAATTTTCTATTTTCAATTTTATAGCCCTTGTTTTCCACCTTTTGCTGACAAATACCAACATTTTTCTCTAATCCATACAGGCATTTGTGTGGAAGAACAACGTCTATGTGAAGGAATCTCCCAACTCCACATTTAAACAGGTCACCAATGACGGAGCCCACAACTTGATCCTCAATGGCATTCCTGACTGGGTGTACGAGGGTAAGAAATGGATATTTAATGAAGCGGATGGACGTTAGCCAATCATAACAGAGGTCATTAACATATTGAAGACTTAAAGGAACAGTTCACTCAGAAATTATCCCTGTTTTCTCTGTAGAGGAGATGTTCTCCACCAACTTTGCTTTGTGGTGGTCACCAAATGGGAGGTTTGTGGCGTACGCCAAATTTAACGACTCTGAGGTCCACAATATCGAGTACACGTGGTATGGAGAAGGGCAGTATCCAGATACGGTCTTCGTACCGTACCCCAAGGTAAAAGACATCAAGTTTCACGGTGCAGAATGTGATTTTACACAATTTTGAACACATTTTGACGCTCCCATTCATTAATTCCCAAGGCTGGAACCCCAAACCCAACTGTAAAACTGTTTGTGTTCGATACAAACTCATCCATGGTCCAGGAGGTCAAGGTCCCCAGTGATGTTGGTGCAGGGTAAGGAGTTTTGGATTGGTTTTTCAGCCAGATTTAATAATAATTTGACATAAAACTAGATGTTTAATCACAGAGAGCACTACCTGAGCACTGCTACGTGGGCCTCAGATGAGCGAATTGCAGTCCAGTGGCAGAAAAGAACACAGAGCTATGTCAGTTTGAAGACGTACGACTTCAATGGTGGCACTTGGAGCGAAAGTTCACTGGTACGACACACTTCAAGCCAGTGTTTTTTGAAGTTGAATAATAAATATTACAATAATAACAAAAGTGTAGATTATGGCTCCTTTAATAAGTCGACTGAAGCACAAGTCTTCTTTTTTTCTTGTGTTTTTTTTTCAACAGAGCCAGATTATCACAAGCAGTACGGGTTGGGTTGGCCGGGTATGAACTATTATTTGATTCCAAAATGTCGTATGATTTTGAATGCAATGTTTATGCCTGTTTTTTTTTTTCGTAGTTCTCTCCAGACCAACCTGTCTTTCAGCCGGACGGCAGCAGCTGCTATCACATTATGAGTAACGAGGAGCTATTTAAGCATCTTGTATATTTGAGTGGAGTGAGTTTTCAAGCTATAGATTAAATCAATGTACATTTATTTTATTAGTGCATTCATATGTATTGAATATTTACATTTATAATATTTAAAATATGCATTATGCCTAGACAAACAATTAATCGCGATTAATCCCATTCAAAATAAAAGTTTGTGTTTACATAATATATGTGGGTGCACTTTGTATAGTTATTTTGTATATATATAAATACACACACATGCATGTATATTTAAGAAAAAAATTGTATTTATATATAAAATATTTATATTTAAATATAATGTAAATTATATATAAATCTATATACATGGACATATTTCTTAAATATATACAAGCATGTGTATGTATTTATATATAAAGTAATTATTATATTACAATTATTATAATAATTATTGTAGTAATTATTACAGTGCACCCACATATATTATGTAAACACAAACTTTTATTTTGGATGTGATTAATCGCGATTAATCGTTTGATAGCCCCCCCCAAAAAAATAAAAAAAATAAAAAAATATATATATATATATATAATTTATATATATACATATAGTCCTAATATATATATATATATATATATATATATATATATATAGGTAAGGCAAAATTTAGCATTTTTTAGTAACCTATTTTATTTTGCGTTCACCTAATATAAACTTCAAACTGAAGATACAATAGCAGAGTGTGTATTATGAGCGTTTGCGAGTTTAAAAAAAAAATTGCGATGTTTTTTTCTAGACACAAAAAACTTTCTTAACTTCGGGAAAGTGGGAGGTCACTAGCATCCTTAAGGTCACAAGCAATGCCGTGTAAGTTACTTTTCTAGAAACGTCTGTCATTGAGTGTCCGGTTTCTTTTCTCAACTTTTCTCTCTGTTCTCGACAGATACTATGTAAGTAATGAACACAATGCGAGTCCAGGCCAAAGGAACGTTTACAAGTGAGTGTTATGGGTTGAAATCAATCAGACCTTTTTTTTAAATTATAATTATTGTTGAAAAATGTAATAAAATGTGTTTTTTTTTCTGCAGAATCGCCATAAATGGTGCTTCTCATTCAGAGAGGGAGTGTCTGACCTGTACCCTCAATGCGGATCGGTGCAAATATAACTCTGCTCTCTTTAGCGCTGAAGGAACCTACTACCACATGAGCTGTTCTGGTACGTCACGTATATTCATTTATTCTACTCTATAAGTACATAAAGCACATATAAAATCAATGGAACATTCCCAAGTCCTGTTATTTGTGTTTCCGAAGGGCCTGGACTGCCTCTGTATACACTGAGAAACAGCCGAAATGGAACAGGTAGGGCTAATCATTAAAATCATTGGTGCCATTAGCAGTTACTTAGCGCACAGATTAGCGGTTAGCATAAATGGGCTCATATTCCGTTAACATTTTTCAATCCCATCCCCACCACTTCTACTTATCGTGTCATGTCCTCTACAAAAATCAAATAAAAATGTATTTATTTATTCATTTATATTTTCATATATTATTTTGTATGCATGTCGAGAAATTCTGGACAATTGCTTTTCTAGGGATGCACAATATAATGTGACCATATCGGTCTCGGACTTACATATCGGTTATCGGTTATATGACACTTAATGGGAGTTTCTCTGTATTCATGAATTTATTACTTAATTATTAAGTTTTTTTGACAAAATAGGATCAATTTATAATATGACTTATTGGTTATTTGCCAATAAATAATCCGCTTCAGCTAGGATTTCAATTTCAGTGCATCACTATATATATATATATATATATATATATTATTAATGCAAATATATATTATTAGTGCAATAATATGCATTATTATTGCATGATGCATTTTATATATATATATATATATATATATATATATAAATGTTATATTCTTTTTTATTTTATTATATTTTATTATATATTTTATTATATTATATTTATTATATATATTTTTTTTTATTTTTTTATTTTTTTTGCTGTTTATTGTGAATTTGCACTTATGTAGTCTTGCGAAATGTTCCGTGTTGCACCATGGTCCTGAAGAAACGCCATCTCTATCCAATGTATACATCTTATATAGAGGAATGACTATAGAAATGAACTTGACTTTGACAGCCAATCAGAATCTACCAGGCTTTGAAGAGCTCAGAGCTTTGAACAACTTTTCAGTGCGCGCTTAAAATAAACAGACTGATATCTTCAGATGGTGTGGATGCTAATATAGTTATCTTTATAGTTATCGCTCTTGGAGTGAACGGGCCTTAATTCATTTCTCAAACCATTTTAGAGTTGAGAGTTCTTGAAGACAACAGTGATTTGGAAAACACTCTGCAGAGCATCGCAATGCCGTCAGTTACGCACGGCACGCTGAAGATCGGAGAGTTTGGTAAGGCTGAATCTACAGGATAACTTAGAGAATATGTTTGTTCAAAATCCTAATCTTATGTTTTTTCCCGCCCCTCAGACCTTTGGTACCAGATGATCCTGCCTCCCAAATTCGACAAATCCCAAAAATATCCTCTGCTTATTGACGTGTAAGCTAGCTGCATTGTTTTTGTGATCTGATTGTGAACTGTGATCTTCTTTGGATGGACAGTGCAGTCTTGATTCTTTAATATCCTGTAGATACGCGGGCCCCTGTAGTCAGAAGTCAGATTTCCGCTTCAGGGTGGGATGGTCCACATACTTGGCCAGCACGGAGAAAGTGATCGTGGCCAGCTTTGATGGTAGAGGAAGTGGTTATCAAGGAGACAAGATCATGCATGCCCTCTACAAACGACTCGGCACTTATGAAGTCGAGGATCAGATAACGGCTGCTAGGTACAAATATGCATCCACATTGCTCTCAAGTGAATACGTTTTGATGTTATTTGTGCTCCAGACATGAATGTTTTGTCAAACCATGTGTTGTTGCGTAGACGTCAGCTGTTACTTTACTAGGCAATCTGACTGGAGAAAAAATCTCATAGACCTACATTGAAGGAGCCATGTCTAGACTCTTGACTTGATCCAATAGTTAACCACCTAGGAAACTACTTAGCAGCACCCTAGAAACCACCCAGATCACCCTGTAAACTACTTAGCAACACCCTAGAAACCACCCAGATCACCCAGTAAACTACTTAGCAACACCCTAGCAACCACCCAGATAGGGTTGGGTATCGTTTGAATTTGAACGATTCTGATTCTGATTCTGATTCCGATTCCGATTTCTTGTTTCGATTCCGGTTCCTAACGATTCTCGATTCCGATTCTTTTAAGAGGCAGTGTCAAAAAAGTTTAGCTAACCTTGCTAACCAACGGCCTTTCTAAAGGAAATACTACTTCTGTAAAAATACTCCTTCTGTCACAAATTTTGCATTTTGCCGAGATTTCGTTATTTTTAGAAAAGTGAAGCCACACTTTGGACCGCTGACGTAAGCTACTAATGTTCGACTTGCAACGGTTATGCCAACACTTCCGGTAGACGCTTCTTCGTTGGTGTTGTTCAGCGGTTTCTTCTTCCGCTCGGCGGACTGTGAATATCGAAACTAGGAATCGAAATTTTAACTTTTGAACGATTCCGGGAAAAACGAAAAGTTAGTCCCGGTTCCAATCGATACTCGATTCTCGATACCCAACCCTACACCCAGATCGCCCTGGAAACTACTTAGCAACACCCTAGAAACCACCGAGATCACCTTGGAAACTACTTAGCAACACCCTAGCAACCACCTAGAAATGCTCTAATATCTCTACAATAAAACATTTTTAGTGAGATCTTATTTTAATCATGACATATATTACATATACAAATTACATACTTATTTTAGTCATATCATTTACATTTGCCGTTAAATAATTAAAAATGTCTTGCTGATATTGTTCATTCATCTTCAGACGGTTTATCGACATGGGCTTCATAGATAAAAACAGGGTTGCCATCTGGGGATGGGTAAGTTTAATTACCAGAAATATTTAATATTTCAAAGTTTTTTTTAGAGATTTTTTTTTTTGATTGGAAATAGTTCTTGATTTATGTTTCGTTAAAGTGAATGGCACTTGTTTTGGTATTTTGTTGCATAATGCAAATGCATTTTGGCCACTATATGTGTAATCCTGTGTTTGCGATTCAGTCTTACGGTGGTTACGTCACTTCGATGGTCCTGGGAGCCGGAAGTGGCGTTTTTAAATGCGGAATGGCTGTCGCTCCGGTGTCTAAATGGGAATATTATGGTATGTAGCAGTAAACAAGTTAATCTCAGTCTGCTTTCAGCTTTGATTTCACCCCGAATTTGTTGATATCATGCGATAAGATAGTTGTACTGTAACTTCCTCCAGACTCGATTTACACTGAGAGGTACATGCTCACGCCGGTGGAGAATCGGTTCTTTTATGATGTAAGTTCTACAAGTGTCTAAATAAATCTGTGGTTTTCCCAAGATGATGTTGAAGAGAACCGTGAGTCAGTCCTAGAATAGCTCACAAGAGGAAAGCACAAGAGCTGCGTCACAGGGGATTTATGGGATGTTATTGTTCTTGCAGAGTTCAACAGTGACGGGAAGAGCCAAAAACTTTAAATCAGTCCAGTACCTCCTGGTGCACGGCACCGCTGACGGTGAGATACGACCCCTCTCTCTCTCTCTCTAATCTTGTCTCTGCAACTGAGCATTTAAAAACTTAGTTGAATGAAAATTGTAATAAATGAATGCGAAAAAAAATCTGCATTTAAATTATAATTTATTTAAAATTAAAAAAAATATTTGAAAAAAATATTTAAAAAATAATTTAAAAAATTTTACATTTTGAAATTAAATAAAAAAAAACGTATATCTCTTATATATTCAAATGGTTTGATTGCGTAAACATCATACAAATTTAAAGAAAAAAAACACTGGAAGTATCGTTTTTTTTAGAGTTTTTTTTTTTAAATAGTGTATATTTCCTAAAAACGATAAATTGTTTCCTTTAGATTTTGAGTTTTAGATATTATAGGCCTATTTTATTTAAATATCATAATCTTGTAAATATCTAAAAAAGGAACCCAGATGACGTGATGTTAAAGTGAAAACTTGTGCTGTCAAATCGATTAATCGTGATTATTCGCATCGAACATAAAAGTGTGTAAATATATATATATATATATTACATATACCAGACACACACATACATACTGTATATACTCACAAACCTTTATGTTATGTGCGATTAATCGATTTTATTTTTTACTTTTCTGTTTTCAGATAATGTTCACTTCCAACAAGCTGCTCAGATCTCTAAAGCACTCGTGGATGAACAAGTGGACTTTGATGCAATGGTACTCTATTCTAATAAATTATAATATATAATGAATATATATATATAATTAAATTTACAATACAATTATTAATTAGTTGTATTATTTATTATTAATGTATAAATATGCTCAATAACACTGCAAAACATTTTTAAAAGAATGATTAAATATTGTTTAAAATAGTTCTAGATGCACAAAGTGATATATATATATATATATATATCTAAACATGGTGTTGTGTGTCTCTGTCAGTGGTACACTGATGACGACCACAGTCTCGGCGGATCGGCCAATCAGCACGTGTACACTCACATGAGTCACTTTTTGAAAACCTGCTTTGCTTGAAGTTGTGCAACTTTCCACCCAGAATCCACGTCACCGCATCAGCGTTACTTCCAGACCACTTCACTCTCTTAAACACGTCAGGCGCGTGCGACCCCCGATGAGCAGCCGCTGAATCCTTGTGTTCTGTACTGCAATAACAGACATCACGTCTTAAATCTTTATTAGTACATCCAAAAAATTGCAAAGACGTACTTATTGGATAAACATGAAGCTTGATGATCTAGCTAAAGAAGGAAAGAGAAATATAATAAATATTAAAATTAATTTAATTATTTATTATTATTTTAATGACTTTTGTAAGCTGGGGAGAGCAATATTGTGTATTTTTCCATCTCAAGTTTTGCCACCTGTTAGTTTCATGTAAAGAACAAAAAGAAAGTTATAAAAAATAATGTCTAATTCAGAAAGAGAAATTCACACTTTAAGTCATTTGTCATCAAGCTTTGTCGAGTATCAGGTAATCACATGAGTTTAAGGAAATATTTATTGTGTGCCTTTAAATTATAAGCCATAATTTGTACGAATTTACTAAATCAGAGATATTTTCGATCTTTAATAAATTGTATAAACGCACTCAATTGTTTGTGACTCATTTACAAGTTTACACTTTACATATTCAAAATTTTTTTTAAAAACAACACATTTAAAATGCATTTAAATCTTATTTTAAACTCAATAATAAATTAAACTAATAATTAAAGTAATTATTAATAATTAAACTTATAATAAATAAATGTATATATGTTACTTATTAATAAAACATTGTTATTTATAATAGTATATCATTGAGATACTATTATAATTTTAGGAATTTTTATTTGACTATTTTCCAGTTTCATTTGAATTTTATTTAAGGTTTTAGTAATTCTGTTGCAGGCTTTTGAATTTGTATTAGTTTTTACATATATATATATAAAAGTTTTAGTTATTATAGATCATCAAGTTAAACTAAATGAGAAACGATAAATATTGCCATGCAATTAGCTAAAATAAAATAAAATAAAATATGTGCATATTTAGTTTTCTTTCAGTTAGCGTTCATTTTATTTTTAAAGTAATGAAAATTATTATTATTAATTATTTGTTAATAATAATACATTTTTAAATATTTGTTAGTTGTTTTTTTTTTGAGTTTTGGTTATATTATAAACCCTGATGTAGTTCAACAAAATAAATTTGTGTTGATTTTAAAACAACAAATATGACTTATATTTATAAGTATACTAATTCTATTATATAGTTATATATTTATATACTAATTCTATTAATCAAATGCTTGCACACAAGCACCTCAAAATGCATTCTGGGAATTTTTGTATATTCAGAAAACCAATCTTAAAATTGCATGGAAACGATCGTTGTCACTCAAATCACACTGATTTTGTGTGCAAACTGCAAAGCATCCTGGGTAGGACATAAAAAACCATGTACAACTAATGTATAACAGACAAAAATGAGTTTGTCACGTTCTGTGCCGGAGTATCCGTTTGCCCTCTTGATTTTCTCCTACGGTAGCACTCGGCGCGTTATTTTTCTCTTGGTTTATTTGCGAAAGCCTCCATCCTGCTGTCTGACACCTCGAGGATGCCTCTTATCTGGAGGTACTTTGGCACATCTCTCTCTTTAAACAAACACGAGCGGACTCATCCAGAGCGGGTAATGGACTGACACTAATGGATTTCATACGCGTGTGTGTGGGCTGCCGAGACGGGCCGGCCCCTCCTGGACCGACTATATAAGACCCAGAAGTTTGGGAAGAGGCCACGAAACCAACCGCAGAAGAGTCAGGAGAAGATCTGTGCTTGAGGAGCAAACGCACTCATCTCATCCCATCTCATCCCATCCATCCATCCATCGGTGAGTTGAGCGTCTCTTCAAGGACTTCATTGACCTCTTGTAGATGTCTGGTTGGTTTTGAGTTTGGAGATGAGTTATTTCTCTCATTTTGACAGGGCTTGTGTGTTCAACTCAAAATGAAAGCCGTCCAATATCTCGCTGGTCTTCTTCTGCTCCTCTTTGTTCAAAAAAGCATGTGCGTCCCACTGCAAGATGACAACACAAGGTCAGAGGAGTCATTTTCCGAGCAAAGCTGTTGTTTTGAGCTAGTTTACTGGTGTACTTAGTGCTTGGTCCATTTTGACAACAGCTCTGCATTTTCAGTTGTAAAAGTGTCCGTGGTTTTGTGATGTACACGGTTTAACACTGGTTTCTCTCCCGGTGACGCAGCACAGAGACGGCAGAGAGTCTCGTGCCGAGGGCTCAGGGCTTCACCACCGTAAAGAGGCATTCTGAGGGGACGTTCTCCAACGACTACAGCAAATACCTGGAGACCAGGAGGGCGCAGGACTTTGTTCAGTGGCTCATGGACTCGAAGAGAAACGGGTAGGCACGATTACGCTGTAATATTGTTTGGAGATTTCTGCTATAAAACATCAACTTTATTCAACTTTTGGTGGAAAAGAAGAATTGAAGTATGACAAAAATTACAAATCAAATTGAGTAAACATGAAAAATGTAATAACAAATAAGAACAAAACATAAATATTTTATATCATTTTATATATACTATAAAAGAAAAATATACAATGTATATTGGGATATACTGTGTATGTGAAAACAATTTATACAATTTTAAGTTTCCATATAATATATCTATAGTATTATTCTTAAGAATTATATATATAATACCATAAAAATACAACACTACAATATGATAAGTAATTATATGAATAATATACAATACCCGTTTCTCTCTTGAAACAAATTTGATTAACTTTTTTGATCCACTATTTTAATATTAAAATAATATATGTATATTAAATAATATATATATATATATAGAACATCATAACATAATATAATAAAACGAGAAGCTTGTGAAGTAACTATAAAATTAAAATGTCCTTTATATGTTGAAATGCAATGCATATGAAAACTTAAAATATGTTGTCTTTTTCACAAAATTCAATATATATATATATATATATATAAATAAAATAAAACAATATAGTGTCATTAACATTTATACAACAATTTATATTATTTTATGAAAAGAATGTTTGTAAGATTTCTGTAATAAATCAACTTTATTCAACATTTGGTGTAAAAGAAGAATTGAAGTATGACAAAAATTACAAATCAAATTGAGAAAAGATGAAAAATGTACCAACAAATAAGAACAAAACATAAATAATTTATTTCATTTTATATATACTATAAAAAAAATATACAATGTATATTGGGATATACTGTTGTAATATATAAAATAAGACTATATAATGTCATTAACATTTATACAACCATTTATATTATTATATGAAAAGAATGTTTGTAAAAAAAATACATGAAATAAATAATACAAAATGTGATAATATTATATTATATTTTAAGGCCTAATACTAACCGACTTCTTCTAAGCTAACTCAAAATCAAACATTTCATCAATGATTCCTCACACAAACTCTCTCTCCCCCCAGTGGTTTGTCCAAACGTCACGCGGAGGGAACCTACACCAGTGACATCAGCTCTTACCTGCAGGATCAAGCGGCCCAGAACTTCGTGGCCTGGCTCAAATCTGGACAGCCCAAGCAAGAGTAGGCTTCTAGTTCCACCTTCAGTGCCTTAGAGAGTGTGAAAGTGATGGAAATAAAGAAAAAGAGAGTGTGTGTGTGAGAGAGAGAGAGAGAGAGCAAAATTGCTAAAACGACTGCTTCATCATGCCTTCTCCTCCCAAACATCTGTCTCTTTTCTAACGCACTCTGTCCATCCTCACTGCCAAATGCTAATGCTAATAAATAGCGCTGAAACCAGGCTGTGTGCTTCTGGTTATCTTTCTCTGCTAATGTCTTCTTCTATTTCTGGTTCTGCTGTGCTAATCAAACAAATGCCGACTGCATAGATGCTAATCATAACCAAACTTCACATAACTAATACTACAAATAAACTGATTTCCCAAGAACATGCTAAAGCTAAAAGCTAAACTGTGCTAAACTCAAAGCAAGCCGCAAGCTAACCTGCTAAACTCAACGCAGGCCGCGAGCTAACCTGCTAAACTCAACGCAGGCCGCGAGCTAACCTGCTAAACTCAACGCAAGCTGCAAGCTAACCTGCTAAACTCAACGCAGGCCGAAAAGCTAGCCTGCTAAACTCAACGCAGGCCGCAAGCTAACCTGTTAAACTCAACGCAAGCTGCAAGCTAACCTGCTAAACTCAACGGAAGCTGCAAGCTAACCTGTTAAACTCAACGGAAGCTGCAAGCTAACCTGCTAAACTGAATGCAGGCTGCAAGCTAACTGCTAACTGTGACTTCATAATTCACTGGTTTAAACTTTGAATAAGTGTCATTTGCACATGCTCACAAGTAGTTTATCATATGTACGCAGTGTTGGAACCAACAGAGGCACAAATTTGGGCCGCAGGCGGCATGTAGACGGCAGTTTCACCAGTGACGTCAACAAGGTCTTGGACAGCATCGCTGCTAAGGAGTATTTACAATGGGTGATGAACTCTAAGACGTCAGGGACTAGGTAAAGTCCTCTCTAAAGTGGCTAAAACACTGATAAGATAATGACACAAGACTATTTTGAATGAGATTCAGTCCAAGAACAAAAGATGGGTCTATTCTGATGTAATTTTTTTTTTTTCTAGTGGCAAACGTGACGGGACTCAATGAAGAACTGTGAGGCTTCCCAGCGAGAGCTTACATTTGGATCCTGAAGGGGGTTCGATCATCAAAATGAATGAAAGCCATATCTTTTAAAGGCAAAACGGATACAACTCTTGAAATCGAAAAGCCATATTAATATTTTATTTTTTAACATTGAGCACTGTGGTTATTATTTATTTTCCCTAGTGTTAAAGAACATCATGTTAGTTATAACAAAAAAATTGAAATATTTTTCTATAGTTTTGAACTATTTTCTATGTGTGCGATAAAAACAAACTCAGGTGAATGCACTAAACACTCAGGTAAAAAGTGACAATTTACGTGTGCTACCACTGTATCAAAGTACCATGGAAAATGGTGTTTTGCTCTGCAAAATAAACATTTTCATATTCCACCCAAGCCTGTTGTTTTCCTGTTTGAACACATGTGCATTTAGCGCCACCTAACGGATATCTTTAGCAATACACTTGTTTGTGGATTCGGTTTTTAGAAGTGCAAAGTCATTTACAGCATTTTTAATTTGTATAATTATTAAAATAATAATGATTAAATCATTTTTAAATGATTTTATAATTAAACAGTAGTTACATTTCTGAAATTAGCAGGATTACTAAATAAATTAATAAAAATTGTTAACTTATTTACAAATTTATTTTGTTGCCAACTTTAATGTAGTGATCATCTGTTATTATTATTGTGCCATAATATTATTAATCTAAATATGAAATATTAATCAGTATTTATTAATGTTTCTCTTTTTCAATTTTTTTTTATATAGTAAATTACTTCAATTAAAAAACAGGATCATATAAGCAAATACTATCTTGTGCAGTTTATTCAAACATTTTTATATTCGCGAATCTTTATATTTCTTAAAAAATTTAATATTTTGTTTATCTTTATTTTTGTCCGTTCTTTAACGTAGAAAGTATCATTATTGCTATGAATAGGGCATTGATGGTTTAAGAGATCCCAAAGTGAAACATTACACATTATATTCAAATGTTCCAAAACATTCGATGCATCAGATTTTTTTCTGAAACAAAAATAGAAAGAAAGCTAGACAAATATTTAAGAAAAACATTATTTATAATATTAGTAAATTAAATTGCACTCAAAAATTAAACATTTTATGTGGATAATATAATTCAGACACATTTTTATCACAGGTGTTTATCACATAGATATATAAATACATATAAACAAAAATTTAATATAAATAAAAAATATTTAAATGTTTTATGTTTAATGTTTATGCTCTCCACTGGCCTGGCGTCACTTCCTAATCGGAGGGGCGGGGCATCGTGAAGAGGCGTGTTGCGCGCGCTGCGTCATCTTCGTTGCGCACATTCTCTCGAAAGGGCGTAGCGACTTTGCCGGTGTCATTCATTTCAACGCAGAGTGTAACAGCCGTTTTTAACGATTGTTCGGGGAGTTTATACGCATTAAAAGCATGATCATGAACGGAATCCATGCGGATGAGGAGGAGGTCAGAGAAGAGTCGAGCTCCCCCAGCCACAGCCCGGAGAAGAGGAAGCGGGTGATCCGGGTCTGGTGTGACGGCTGGTGAGTGACATCACACACTCATACGGTAATGAACACAAAGTGCGTATGTGTCTCTACAGCATCGTTACAGTGTCTTATAATGTTAGAATTCAACATAAGAAGATCTATTGTAGCACAGAGATGAATTTACCATGGTGTTGTTCTTTTACCACCAAAAAGTACCTTATCGGTATTATGGTGCTGCCAGTTATAGTATCACATTGTATTACTGTGGTGCCATGTCCAAAATATTCCGTTAACATGGTACTTTTCTTCCTTGATAACTTACTTAATTAATTGTTTTTACATTGTATTTTAAAATACCATAGTATTACCACAGATCATGTGAAAACAAACATAGTAGTATAGTGGTGTCCGGTGGCAATGTACTATGATATTTCCCATTGCATTGAATGATTACCATATCTATACAGCGTCGAGAACATAGTATTATCCTTGTAAAAAAAAAAAAAAATCTTTTTAGAGTTGCTTTACAGCATATTTGAACACTGTTTGTATCACTGAATCATTATTTACCTGTTTATCCATGTAAAACTTGTTTGAAAACAAGCTGTACTATATAAAGCGTTATGTAAATAAAGTTGACCTAACTGGTTTGTTGTATTTGTATTTCCGTGTCCAAAAATCGAGTACATAATAATACATGGTACTTTTTGGTTAGGAAAGAGGAATGGTCAATTGATATTAGACTTGGTTATTTACTTGGTTAATTACCTTTGGCAGCAGGTTAGTATATGCAACACTGTTGTTATTGATAACTAAAACTGTTGAAAATAATTTTTCGTTTATTGAAAAAAAAAAAGTATATATATATTAGATGGAAACCTTGAATAAAAATTATTAGAAATGTTGCCTTGGCAAATAACTAAAATAAGTAAGTTGAAGTACTAAAATTACTTAAACTAAAAAAATTATTAAAGCTATAAAAAACCCTAAAAACTAATAAAAATGACAAAAGTACAAAAAAAATACTCTAATAGTAAATAAATAATACTACAAAAAAAATGGTGCAGGCTCAAAAGTTTTCAGGTCATGTGATTTCTGAGCAATATTACAGATAGGAATTATAGAAGTGATATTACATGTGTCTCATGCCTACGCTAATTGTTTATAAAATGCAAAAAAAAAAAAAAAAATCTGAGTCGCATTATTGTTGCTATTCCATTTGGCGACACTAGAGCCTTAGAAATGAGACGCTTCACGTTTAAAGACGATATATTCATCCAAAATATGAGTTTATGAGTGATGAAATGAAGCTGATGTTATAAATAACCCAGTGTGAAGTGTGGTGCCCAGCAAGGAATCATGGGATATGGAATTGGAGATTATGTTCCCATGTAATCTCATTGGCCCAGCTAATGATATTAATAGGAGAATAGGGCTCGTCCTGGTTAGATAACCCACCGTCTCTAGTTACTCATTTGATTTGGCTTGCATTATTGTTATTTGTTACATCACCTGCGGTTTCTCTGTATCTGAATGCGGGTCATGGTTTTTTTTTTTTTGACCCTCATTAACTTTTTTTGTGTTTAAAGTCCACATCTGTCTCCACAGCTATGACATGGTGCACTACGGTCACTCTAACCAATTACGACAGGCCAAAGCGATGGGAGATTACCTTGTAGTAGGAGTACATACAGATGGTATGCTTCACACTTCATATTTCAGATCAAGGCTTTGTACTTTACATGAACACTGTAATACCCTAATATATGAGGAAATGATCGAATATTTTCTATCTCACGTTCAGAGGAAATAGCCAAGCACAAGGGTCCTCCGGTCTTCACGCAGGCCGAGCGTTATAAAATGATACGGGCCATAAAATGGGTGGATGAGATTGTGGAAGGCGCGCCGTATGTCACAACGCTGGAGACGCTGGACAAATACAACTGTGATTTTTGTGTGCACGGAGGTAAGGGGATCCTTTAGATATTTAGACACACATACTAATGATCCATAATCATTTTAATATCTTTTAAGGTGCCGTTTTGTATATAATTTAGTATTTGATAATCATTTGTTTATAGTATACTCTTTGATTCTTAGAATTGTTCAGCCTATTTTTGTTAAACGTCAGAGATGCAGGTTCCTTTAAGAGTTCTGTAAATTAAGTTATGATTGAAAATTTTCTCACATAAAACATGTTGACGTTTATCAGAATACCCTAATTACTGAATAGGCATACTATTAACATATATGGCCATATGTTTATATGCTAATGGCTGTGATGTCAAAATCATGACAAGTTTTTTGCAGTTTATTCAAGTAAGTGATCTAAGTGGTTAAAGACCTGTACACACCAAGAATGATAACTATAAAGAAAACTATTAGTTTTGTTGTCTGCCACTTTAAGGCAAGAGACATTCTAATTGGCTGTCAATGTTTATCGTTCATTAGCTGAAAAAAAAACATTATTCACTGTCATTATCTTTATAGTTGTGATGTGGACGTCTCTGTACTTAAAGTGTTAGAAAAATGATTGACTTTATAGTTAGTGATTTTTACATTGAAGGAAAAACCTGTTTTATTCAAATTTTCTCCCTTTAAAGCACACCATAGTTGAAATGTAAGCAAAATGGAATTGAATCTGAAATAAATTCATGTATTTTGCTAGATGACATCACATTGACCGTGGACGGGAAGGATACCTATGACGAGGTGAAGAGAATGGGCCGATATAGGTAAAGTCTAATGGTCCTCAGACATACACCTGTGGCACACCTCTGAATTCTGACCCAGGGATGGGTGTGACGCTTGTCAAAAATGTCGTTTTCGCCAACAGGGAATGTAAACGCACACAGGGAGTGTCTACGACAGACCTAGTGGGCCGTATGCTCCTGTTAACAAAGGCGCACCACAGTAACATTGTACGTATAATTGATCATTTATTTAAGAGTTATGTCAAGTGTTTCTGTCAGTCCCTAACTCGTATTCGCCTCTCTCTCTCAGGATAACACATCTTACCAGCTCCACACGGATAACTTTGGGAAGGTGAGTAGATTTAAGATACTCAGATATAATATATATTATTGTATAATTTTTCAATGTCTTTTCATTTTTTCACCTCTGAAACGTAAAAATAACGTACATTTATAACGTAATCGACATTATTTTCATTTTAAAATTTTGATTTGCTTGGAAAACTTTAATGGGTTGCTCTTTTTTGTAGTTCTCAATTTTATTTGTTGTTTATGAATTAAAAAAAAAATATATATATGTATATGAAGAGTTCAGATGCAAAAGCCTCTAAGTGCCATTTGAAATTTTCTTCTAAAATGACCATTTTAATCAAGCTTGTATATTTAAATTCAGTAATTTCACTTAAATGACAATTAATAGGTAATCTTCATTGTCATTTAAGTTAAATTACTGAACTTAAATATACAAGCTTGATAAAAATGATCATTTTAGAAGAAAATTTCAAATGGCACTTAGAGGCTTTTGCATCTGAACTCTTCATATATATATATATATATATATATGTGTGTGTAATATATTTAAATGACCAGGAACAAATTTTCCCAGGAAAATCTTTCCACCGCAATCTAAAGTACCATGAAAATTTGTCCGATTTGCACCACAACAGATTTTTAAAAATGGTAGTTGAAATGAAGATTCATCCAATCAAAATGTGGCATGAACTCAACCAATCAGCTACTTCAGCTCACAAGTCCCACCCCCAAAAGTTCTTAAACTTTGAAAAAGTGCTACGTCGCAAGCAGGGACTTTCTGAGGGGGTCATTTTTACTCTGAACTTCATTTAGACCCTAACACACTTCCTGTGGTGGAAAATATACATTGTTACAAATGCAAAACTGTCTCGTTTATCTGTTCTCCTCAGGGTCCCAAAGGGCACAGTCCTTGGACCGGCGTCTCTCAGTTCCTGCAGACTTCTCAGAAGATCATCCAGTTCGCCTCAGGAAAAGAACCGCAGCCAGGAGACACCATCATATACGTGGCCGGAGCTTTCGACCTTTTCCGTATCCTTTTAAAATCCACTTGCCACTCCATGCTCGCCTTTTGAAGACATCCAGAAAGTTTTTAAGCAGAATTTGGTAGAAGCGATTAAAGATGTATTTATGTATTGGCCTTGATTATCTGACCCATATAGACATCGGTCATGTGGATTTCCTCGAAACTGTTCACAAACAAGCAGAGAAACCCTACGTCATTGTCGGACTGCACTTTGACCAGGTGCGTTTCATAACAACAAATAAACACGCACACCCACTTCACAAGAGTTTACAGATCTCTCTACTGTCATTGTGCTGGACAAAAAGGGAAACATTTGCTGTTTTTAATTCAAATTCTGATTGGACCAAAAAACAAATGTAAACCAGGATCGCTCACAAACCAGTTTTACAACGTTTTTGATAGGGCTGGGTAATAAATATTAATTTCTCGATATTAATCGATTCTCATTTTTACGAACCGATATCGATTCTTAAATCTCAAGAATCGATTAGTCATCCTGTTTCATTTGAATGAATGGAACATTGTTTCCAAAAAATCCTTTGTTACTATTGATATGAAACAAAGTATCAATTTTCAAATTACGTCCATTTTCTTTAGAAATTCAAAAACATAAATAGCGCTGTGGCGTGAGATCGCTGTGGCGCAGCTCAAGAGAAGCAGCAGCGCTGATCTCACTTCCGGCTTAATAATACCAGTCACAGCGCGAAATAAACATGAATGAGCATCTGAAAGTGTGTTAAAAGATAAGAGTACAACTTATCGAAATCCGTATCATGTCACATTGATTCGCACAATCAGCGTTTCAATCGTGGAAAGACGTCAGTTAAACAGCTTGTAATCAATGTCACGTATCGTCATATTTACCTCAGAAAACCCAAATAAACTCGTTAGTCAGCTAGAAAAAATAACTCTAGAGAGGAGCATTTTGCTAAATATACACCATACATATGCTTTAATGTTCTTCAATATTTAATGCATATTTGAATAAATCTGGCAAGTTTTTATGACAGCCACCATTTAAATGTTTATATTTCATATAATCTTCTTATTATAAAAGTATAATTTAAGTGTTTGTATAGCTACAAAACAGTTCATTATTACCTTCATATTAGGCTAATGAAGCCTATTGGCTACAACTAGACTCCCATAGTTTACAGCATTAGTTAAGAGATTTGATTCCCTTGAGAAAATTTGCCATTTATTGTAACTGATATCCAAAATAATCAATATTGAATCGAAATCGAATCGAATTGCAAGCTTGTGAATCGAAATCAAATGGAATTGTGAAATTTGTGTCAATACCCAGCCCTAGTTTTTGAACTTCATCGCCTCGGATGGGAATGTGTTTAAGTTCCCTAAAATGTAGAATACCATAAACAGCACAGTTATGGTTACTATAAAACTGTGTTAATTTCTACTATAAACCAGAAATTACACAAAATTATAATTGTTCATTTCTATTGGTTATGTAATTGTGTCTGTAACTTATGTGTGAAATAGCAGTTGTGATGTGCAATAAATGTAATATTGTTATTGTCATGTTTATTAAGTGTGTTTATGTAATTGATTTGTAGGAAGTGAACCGCTACAAAGGGAAGAACTACCCCATCATGAATATTCATGAGAGAACTTTGAGTGTGCTGGCTTGCAGAGTGAGTGCCTAATTTCACGTCTCCTCCAATCATTTCTTTGCATTTCGCATAAAGGAGTGCATAACTTGCCACCTCCATTAATAATTTATTGGTTTGCATAAATTACTGAGTCTTCCAGTCAGTTCTCTGGATTGTGCATAATGTAGCGTCTCCAAATCTGTTTTATTACATTGTTTTTTGTATCCGTGACGCTCTTGTTTAAGAACAATGGGCCACTGTGTTTAGAGAGAGGGAGTGATATTACAAAAAAAGAGAGTGTAGGGGGCAGAAACATCTCAAGGTCAAAAGAACAAATATCACAAGCAATGAAAAAAGTTCATTAGTTCTGCATGTTTGTGAGATGGCCATTAAAAATCATGCACCGTGTGCTAATCCAAACATAACCTAGTTCACAAATCCTCTCGTTCATCCACAGCACACACACTTTCACGTATCAGGCACATAACAGCATACCTAAAGCATGACGTCGCTTCCCTCCCTCACACTGCGATCGCAATGCAAACCGCACGTGCGTGCCTTTCTGAAGACTGTCCCAGGGGATGATGGGAGGTTTCAGAAAGGCTTTAGGATTTTAGAAGTTTTTAGAAGCAATTTTAGGAATTGAGTGCTTTGAACTTAAAAACTCCCTGCGGTGAAAATCAGGTTTTTAATATGCGTTACGACGAACCATCAGGTAAATGTAGCAATTATCTATATTACCATGTTATGAAGAATTTTCCAATGAAGTTCTACATTTTTCAAAGCATTTCTAAGGACGCTGGTTTTTTGAAGGCAGATTGAGATGTTTGTGTAACATTAGCAACACAAGGCTAATCATAACTACAGTTATGCGTCCGACGTTGTAGAGAGCAATACATAAACACTTTATGAGTCTCCGGTTCAAACATATATGGCTGAATTAAACCAGTATTTCCATTTTCTTGCCATCTTGTAGCGTTTATTACAGTAAATTCGAGTGGAGGAGACTAATTTGCATATTTATGGAAGCAAGGGTGTTGAGTTGCATTGTAAGTTATTTTAAGGCATGAAGAAATTATTTTCACAGGAAAAAACATTTAAATTTGGTGATTAAAATGAGTTTTAAGGGATAAAATTATTGACTACATGTGGACTTTAAGGAACTATAGAACCAGAGAACTTATGTTAGAACTTGGCAAACTAGAACTGGAGAACTTTGTGAATTTGGAGAACCCTGAGAACTTAAAACCTAAAGAAATGAAAAATTAGAGAATGTAGAAGCTAGACAATGTAGAACTTTGGAACTTAGAACTAAAGAAATTTGTGATCTTGGAGAACTCTGGAAATTTGAAAGGTAAAAAAAACCTGAAAAGTTAGAGACCGTAGAATTTTAGTTTGAGGTGTAGAACTTCAGAACTTGGAGAACTCTGAAAATCTAAATCCTAAAGACATTACAACTTAAGTTAGAACTATAAAACTGGAGAATTTCTAGAAAGTAGAACCTAAAGCAATTACAACTTAAAGAATGCGGAACCATAGAACTGTAGACCTTGATGAACTTATGTTAGAACTTGGCAAACTAGAACTGGAGAACTTTATGAATTTGGTGAACCCTGAGAACTTAAAACCTAAAGAAATGAAAAGTTAGAGAATGTAGAAGCTAGACAATGTAGAACTTTGGAACTTAGAACTAAAGAAATTTGTGATCTTGGAGAACTCTGGAAATTTGAAAGGTAAAAAACCTGAAAAGTTAGAGACTGTAAAATTTAAGGTTGGGGTGTAGAACTTTAGTACTTGGAGAACTCTGAAAATCTAAATCCTAAATAAATTACATCTTAAGTTAGAACTATAAAACTGGAGAATTTCTAGAAGGTAGAACCTAAAGCAATTACAACTTAAAGAATGCGGAACCATAGAACTGTAGACCTTGATGAACTTAGAACCGGAGAACTAATGTTAGAACTTGGCAAACTAGAACTGAAGAACTTTGCGAATTTGGAGAACCCTGAGAACTTAAAACCTAAAGAAATGAAAAGTTAGAGAATGTAGAAACTAGACAATGTAGAACTTTGGAACTTAGAACTAAAGAAATTTGTGATCTTGGAGAACTCTGGAAAATTGAAAGGTAAAAAACCCTGAAAAGTTAGAGACCGTAGAATTTAAGGTTGAAGTGTAGAACTTTAGAACTTGGAGAACTCTGAAAATCTAAATCCTAAAGACATAACAACTTAAGTTAGAACTATAAAACTGGAGAATTTCTAGAAAGTAGAACCTAAAGCAATTACAACATAAAGAATGCGGAACCTGGGCAGCGTTGAACTTTAGAACTTTTAATTTCTTTTAAGTTGTACATTTGCAGAGTTCTCCAAGAACTTGAAGAACTATTGAACTGGAGAATTTCTCTAAAGTAAAACCTAAAGAAGTTACAACTTCAAGAATTTAGAACCTAGACCGTTTAGAACTTGCTGTTCTAGAAGAATTTACTGTAGAACTTTGAGTTGAGTTTCTAATTGTTCATTTAGGCTGTGAATAACCGATTCTCTTGTGTTCAGTACGTGTCAGAGGTTGTGATCGGGGCTCCGTACGCAGTAGGAAAAGATCTTCTGGATCACTTTAAGGTACAGTACTAAAGCAGTGCAACTTTACATTGTTCATTCATTGTGGTGAATAAGCAACTAGTTTCGATTTAAGTCCCTTCCAGACACAATAACACAATAAAAGGCTTTGAGTGTGAAGAGAACGTGGTTTGGGTGATTCACACAGTACGATATTGAGGCATAAAGCTGTGTGTGTTGTGTACTGCTCTGGGACAGCAGCCAAACTCAGAGGCTTTAGTGACAGACCACTATTTCAGCAATTCTGTGTTGTTCTCCAGGAACAATCCAGAGATTTACTGCTCGCCTCTTTAACCAGAAACCCTCAGACAGTTACAGAGAGTTCAATCGCACATTATAGTTTAACTCAACAGAGAGCTTGGGACATTTTTCTAAATAATTACAAAGGGTGCAATTATCAAATTATTGGGTGTTTTCTGCACTATTTAGTACATGTAGGTTAATTTACTATGCATTTATATATTGGTGCATATAATAAAATGTGTATATATACAGTATCTCACAAAAGTGAGTACACCCCTCACATTTTATCCCAGCAACAACCCTGTGCCCAGGAGGATTAAAGCAGTGCTAAATGTTGCTCACACAAAATATTGACACTTTGGGGACAGTTTGGACATTAGGGTGTACTCACTTTTGTTGTCAGCTATTTTGACAATAATGGCTGTATGTTGAGTTCTTTTCAGAAGACAGTAAATATATATTGCTATACAAGCAGCACATTTACAACTCTAAAATAAATCCAAGTTTCATTTCTATATCATTTCTATATTTTCTAAATATGAGGGGTGTACTCACTTTCGTGAGATACTGTATGTACACACACACACACACACACACACTAAATTTCTATGTATATCGAAAAAATGTATAAAATATAATATAATATATATATTTACTAGTGAATTTTTTTTCTTATATTTTATAAAATTTTACGATATACATAGAAATTTGGTTCTGAAATAATTATGGAAGAGTTAATATCTGTCATTATCTGCTTAATTTTAATAAATGTTTTAATTAAGCAGAAAATAATGTTTCTTTTTCAGTTGCTAAGTTTCTTTTTTCATTCTTTTTCAGCACTAAAATTATATCCATCTTTTACATTACAATATTTTGAAACCTGAATTTAATAAATTTTATCATCGTTTTTCTATGTTTTACGCAGAAAATGTAATTTTATTTTTTTTAGTTTCTAAGATTTTCCATTATATTACCAATCCTTTTTTCCATTATTTATTCAGTGACAAATTTTGAAAATTTAATCTTTTTGTTTTTACATTTTGAAATTTTAGATATACTTGTAATGCTTATAATTAATCTTATAATTTTTAAAAAACGTATTAAGCAGATACTTTTTTTCTGTGTATTCAGTGTATTATTTAAGTTTACTCTTTTCCATTATATGTTATCATCAGTACCAAATTTCCAAAGCACTGAACTGATTTTAATCTTTCTGTCTAAACTAATCTTTTTATTTTTATTTTAATACCTGACTTTAACAATACCTGAATTTATATATCTGATATTGATAATTATCTGATCATCTGAAAGTGTCTCGGTATCGTAACATTATCCACAGCAGAATCTGCATTCGTTTATCTCCAGCTGACTGTGTTTGTGTCTGACTGTAGGTGGATCTGGTGTGTCATGGGAAGACGGAAGTGTTTCCCGACAGCGACAGTACAGACCCTTACGATGTGAGTAAAGTCTTCTAACATGCATCATCTCTGAATTATCTTCTTCTCTATAAACCCTGTTTTCAAGCTGTTTCTCTCTTCTCAGGAGCCGAAGAAGCGAGGTATTTTCCGCATCTTAGACAGCGGCAGCAATCTGACCACTGATGACATCGTGCAGAGAATCATTGAGAACAGGTGTGAAAAATAATACAAAATATGAAAACGTTGCTCGCTTAAAGTGTTTACGAACATATGCAAATCTCTCTTTTTGTCCGGTAGATTGCAGTTTGAGGCCAGGAACCAGAAGAAGGAAGCGAAAGAGATGGCCATGATCGAGGCTTTGAAGCAGAAAGATGATTCGCTGAAGACCGAGGCGGCTCTCGCGAAGAATTAACCGAACTATCCAAACCGAACAAATCAAGGGGTTCGACGTAGAACGAAAATTGCCCCCGGACCGTTAAAAAATGCCTCGATTTACGAACAGTGCCCGCATTTTAATGAACATGTCGGAACACGGACTTGCTTTTATATGTTGTACGACTCTTGTTTGATGGCAACTACACTTTTAATGGTACCAAATAATTTTGCGCCATTTTACGAGGGATTATGGGAAAATCGTGTTTTGTTTTTCTCAGTTGGTGATCCATCCGCACGTATTCGTAGATGAGCAGAGAAATGGTTTGTGGAGGAACACTTCATGTTGACTACGTTGGTATGTGTAAGACTAATTGGGTTTTATTCGGGCATTTTTCTTTAAAATTTTGTTTTTTATTTGGGTGAATCTCATGGAAACAAATCCAGGTCACATTTACCCCAAAATCAAAAAAAATATTTGTGCATAAAAATAGCAGTTTTAAGATTATTAAATGTTTTTGCATTGTGACATTATTTTTAAAATTTCAAATCATTTCCATCCATATTCTCATTACCATAATACATTTGAATATTTTGCACATTATTTTCAGTATTGATTCTCATTATATACATATATATATATAAATGCTGTAATACAATGATAATTTTTGTATAAATTAAGGATTTACTACCATATATTAATCATTTACGATATACTATACTAATATCTATATATATATTTCTATATTTGGGGTAATGAGATTTTGGCTAATGGAAAAATTGGCAAAGTTCTTATCTGAATAATAATCTTCAGCAATCTTTTTAATGGTCCTAATGTGTGTGTGTGTGTGTGTGTGTGTGTGTGTGTGTGTGTGTGTGTGTGTGTATCAGTAAAATGTGATCTGGGTATGTTTTGACAGGCTTTACCCCGGTATCTTTTAATCTAGTGGTGCTGTTGTAGTTTTACCCGTCTCATCATAACTAAGTTTGATGCGTGTGTTGTGAAAAAAAAAATTCAGAACTGAAGTTTTGTCGAATATCGTTCCATATGTTGTTCACAGTCACATACTGTATCTGGCATTTTTACTGTTATTAATTTCTTTCTCATACCTTTAATTGTTGTGAAGTGATCAAAATCACAACCAAAGACTGACCTCAGGTGATTCTTAGATGTCAGGACGATGAGATGTACAAAATGCATCGATAGTTTGTCACACTTTCATTCATTTTAATGTACGACATAAATATTCTTTATCTTTTTGCAGTTTTATCACCTGTTTCTGTTTTGAATGCATTACGAAGCACATTGTTTTTAAAGAAATCTGTATTTTTAGAGTGAATTGCTGTGAAAAAACACTAATTTGAAGTCTCTTCGTCACAGATGTGAGCAGAAATGTTAAGTGACCAATTCTGAGTGTACCATTAGATGCTGAATGTTGATGGCGTTATTGTCTTCAGGCAATCTTTAACTTATTGGATCTCATCCCATAACCAGTGAATCGTCAAAACAATTATTTTCACAATAAAAAAAGTATCAAAACATGTGTCAATGTATCAACAGTTGAATTTTTAGAGAAGACTAATGGTTTTCAATGTTTTGTTTTCCTAATCAATATTTATTGAGGAGTTTATGTGATTTTTGTACATAAACACAATGTGAAGGAAAGCATAATGCACTATTGTACAGCACGTTAGGTTAATTTTGTGTAAAAACATTAAACTATTAAGAAAGTGTAATATTACCTCAAATATTATTTTTCTCCTAAGTTTTAGATTTATCTGAGATCCCAACTGCCATCAATTACTAATACTTGTACTAATCAAAGTTTAGGTTAATACTTGATACAAAATGTATTCTTTTTTTTTTTTTTCTTTTTTTTTTGAATAAGTACATGTTTTAGTTTTGTTGTGTATTATATTAAAAACTATATGGTGCTATTAACCCTTATATTTTATTTTAAATTTCATATATTTTATTGGTGATATGCTATATTTTACTTCATTTTTGTTTTATTTGTGTATAATTCATTTTTTTATATTATTAATGATTAATTAATTTATTAGTTTATCTAACTGAATTAGTACATTTAATGTTATATGGATTTCAGGGACTGTCCGCTTTTTCGCACAGCTCGTGCGTTGGACGAAACCCATCTCAGGTGACAACGTTCCACAAACATCACGTCACTTCCTTCCTAAAGAAAGCGGACACCCCCCAAAAAGCAAAAACGCTCTGTGACTACACTACACACACCATTTAGCTGACCCGTAATAAACAGGTAGTGTTGTGTTGAGGATTAGGAGTGTATGCGCGGCGTCAGTGTTGAGCTCTCACACGCACGAGCGCCCAGTCTGACGAAACTAACCGGCAACTGACGAATTTGAAACTTTTTTCCCCTCTTTCTTCCTGTCCGACCGTGTCTATCCCAGTTTGTCTCTCTTTAACAATAGAGTTAGATTTCTCCAGCTCCAAAAACACGCGCAATTGACTTTGGTGTCATTTTTACGCGTTAACCGGGACTTTGGATAAGAGCGCGCGGGATCTCACCGGGATGTTTTCACGCGACTTTAAACGTTCCTCTTCGATTCCACCCGTGGTCTTGGGATTTCTGCTGGATCTTTAGCTCTTTAGGAAAGACATGAGCTCTGGATATGGGTCTGTGTCTGGGCTCAGAGGTGACAGAGGAGGGAAAGAAGGCGAAGATCCACAGCTCGCAGATAGACAGAGATCTGTACGAGTACGCCAAGAGAGAGATGAACGTGGTGAAGATCCTCATGCTGGGTAACACAGCTCTCGTCCTGATGTTTGCTCATCTCCCCATTGCTTTTAGTTGAAATAACATGGATTTTGATGTTTACATGGGCCTACTTGAACGTTAGACGTGTAATTTTAGGTAAATAGTTTACTAAGCTTCAGTTAATGAGTTCAAGCAACAAATATGAGATTGCAATTGGAAGTTTATTGGTGTACATAGCAAATCTCAGTTAAAATTGAGAATTTGCACCTCAGATATGGGTTGAACCTGAAGCTTGTATCTGATTCTGTGCTGTTATTAAACATTTGGGCTGAAATCTTCAAGTTAGTTAAAACCTCATATCTAAAATGCTGTAGGCTCAAACTAGACATTTGGGCTATAACCGAAAAAGGTATTTTTTCATGAACTATCATGGTTAAACATTTGACACCTAATCTATGTAATCCTGTAGGACTATTTATGTAATGTTCTTTGGTTTCAGGTAATAACTAAATACTACTTTGGTCATTTTATGGTCCTTTTTTGATGTAGGTGCTGCAGAAAGTGGGAAAAGTACATTGGTCAAACAGATGAAGATTATCCACAGTCATGGATTCACCAAACAAGAACTAACCAGTTTTAAGGTAATGAATTTTTTCCACACACTGGATGCCCACCAGTGTAGAAGGGTTATTGCGTTAACATTTGTTCTTATCTGTACTACTACTGTATTTAGTCAGTTTTCTCTGTACTTCCTCTATCATTTGGTAAATCAAGCCTCTGTGTGTGTGTGTTTGGGGATTATTAAAAGTTTAAGGGTTCACTGGTTCAGCTGTGAAACATGACCTCAGTTGAACGGAAGACTGGATCTTGCCTCAGCATTTTTTTTTTTTTGTTCAGTTAGGAAGAGACAAAGGAGAGGGGGAAGGAAAAACAAAAAAGTTTGTGAAGTTACAAACTGTAAAATTTTCAACTTCCGTGCACATTTTCTTTCAAATTTGTCCCAATAATATATAAGTTTATCAGCGCAGCACTTCCTCTAAACTCAACCATCTCTTTTTTTGACCTGTCACTCGCAAGTGTTACCATGGCAACAATGTGAAGCCACACACTGGCTCCTTTAGACTAACCTGTGGACTTGTATGCCGGATCGCCTTGGAAACAGAGCGGACACTGATTGGCTCATTCATTGTAAATCGCAGCCAGCAGAGTGTCTGAGCTGAGTTCTCAACATGCTCATTAGCCCTGGGCTGGTAGCGCTAAAACCGCAGTCTTTGACTGTCATTTTGGGGCTAAATGTCATCTTTGTGAACAACAATAGTTGTTATTCAATCCAGTTCTTCAGTTAACCAAAAAGACCCTAGGCTAGGGGCTTGGCAGTATGAATGACAGTAATTTGATATCACGATAAATCATATATACATGACGATATTGTTATTCTTTGTCTAAAATTCAATGGAAATTAAGAAAAAAAACCATTAGTAGTAAGTTACAAAAGGCTATTTTATTGCTACATATAGACATTACAGTTCAGCTTGCAAAAATAGACACATTATTTCATATAGATCAAACTTTGCTGGGCCGAATACAGAGCCTTGAGGTACCCCGTACTCAAAACGTTACTTAAACATGACTTTACTACAAATTTAGGCTTTGTATGACCTCTTTTAGCTTGTGAGTGACAGGTTAAAGAGGTGTACTGTGAGTTTGTTGACTTTAGAGAAAGTTCACACTGACTGTCGAATGCACAGATAACGGCTAACTTTTTTTTTTCCTTAGCTTGTCTTTAAGAGAATGCTACGGTATTTCGATACTTCACGTTTAATAAAAGCAGCTTTGATCCTTTGGGACTCTGGAATCCATCTAATATTTGTGCAGTGATGTTTATCAAACTAACTGAGCATTAGAGCACATGTTTCTAGTCAGGTCTTTCTCCAGTTGCTTTATAAATCAGCTGAGCAACGAGTTGTCCGTTGTATCTCCTGTGAAGTGCCAGGTGCAGATCCGCATGTGTGCTAGCTTGATTTAAACTGAGACTTTATGTACCATGTTCTCTTCATTAAACCTTCCCTCAGGGTCTGTTTGTGTTGGTGACACTTTTCAGTGTGCTTGAATTAGATTGATGTGCTGAGAATGTACCAGTGGGGTTTTTGAAGCGCCTCGGGGAATACTTTAAAACCCCAATAACCCCCCATTATTTCCAGGCAAATGCACAGGGATTGGTCAGGATGGTTAACTATTTGACTTGTCAACGACTAGTCTTTTTTTATGTTGATTTTTAGTGACAGGGGGATGAGTCTCAGAACATATTAACAATAACAAACTGTATTGAGGACTATGGTGGTTGCTTGCTTGATTTTTGTTGTGTGATGTGGGTTTATTGGCCTTTGTCAGCTGATATGACAACATTGACCACCAAACAATGGGAAACCATGAGCAAACTCTTTAAATAAACACTTCCCAACACACACACCCTTTTTGGGATGGAATCATCTGTGATTTCGCCAGCAGGACTTCCGTTATCTTTAAACAAAACAAAAAGAGTCGAAATGTGGGTCGAATGTAATATTGTACAGTGTCATACATACAACAGAAATGAAATACCCAGTCAAAACATTGGGTCTTTATAAAAAACTGTGTTAAAATTATGCGCTAGGGATGGGCAACGATTAATCGCGATTAATCACATCCAAAATAAAAGTTTGTGTTTACATAATATATGTGTGTGTGGTGTGTATAATTAATTTGTATGTATAAATACCCACACATGCATGTATATATTTAAGAAAAATGTGTTATTAATATATCAAATATTTATTTTATATATATAATATTTATTATGTATAAATGTATATAAAGGATGTACATGCAAATATTTCTTAAATATATACATTCATATGTGTTTATTTATATATACAAATTAATTATACACACTACACACACATATATTATGTAAACACAAACTTTTATTTTGGATGCGATTAATCGCGATTAATCGTTGCCCATCCAAATGATATATTTATGATTATTTTTCAAGTAAAACATACTTTTAAGTATATTCAATTTGATATTTAAATTATGTATATATATCCAGTAATTATATATATATTTTTAACAGGACGATTTATTCTCTGTCTAAATTTTAATTTCAAACAGTTTTTTGACACTTTTTTTAAACATTAGATTATACCATATTTTAAAAAAATGTACTTGGAAATTTTTTTAAATGTAAAAGTAACTCATTTCATGTAATGACACTTTAGCTGTTGCCATTTATATGGATAGGGTTTCATGTGAATTCTAAACTGAAATCACTCCTTAGGGTTTTTTTGTTGAAAAATTGGAGATTGATGACTGTCATTGTCCTACTTATTGTGAGGCGGTAATGTAGCGGGTCATTTTTCAAACATTTTATATTACTTTGTCTGTATGTGAAAAGGCAGGTTTTTACTAACATCTAGACATACCATAAAAAAATCTAAATCCATTATAAATGCAACAAAATTGATACTTATTTCTTATAACATTCATTAGTTCTGTAAAGTGTAAGGCATTGAAACTGAATGACAAAGTGTGAAGTATTTGACCCAATGGAGATCTCTAGATCTGATTAATGTTAAACTAGCCATGTCACTGCATAGTTTGTGGTCAGTCACTGTGCTATAAAACTTTGACTGGAAGAACAATGTTTGTATTTGCACCACTGCAATTAATGAATGAACCCAACAGTGGTTTAAATCTGTTTGCAGAAAGGGAGGAATAAAACCGCAAGTACCAAATAGCATTAGGCTAACTTCTCCCATTGTTCTAGATAAACATTATCACCCTTAATCTAAAAATAAACATCACCCTTAAAGTAAAGGATGTCATACAATAGCCACATTTTGAAGTAAACTTAGACAAGCCTAGTTTGAGTCACGTCTTGAGTTCGGGATACCTCAAGGCTCTGTATTCGGCCCAGCCAATTTTGATGTAGATCAAATGAACGGATTCATTTTTAAAAGCCAATCTGTAATTTTTTTTTTTGATATGCTGAACTGACCTCTCCCATGCCTGTGTTTTTCTCTTCAAATGTATGTGGCCAGTCACAAGTCCATTTTGTGCTTCACCAGTTTTTGTTGGACGGTTGCACAAAGGGTCGTGCTTTTTGCGCACACATGCATTCATTTGTACAGACCTATAATTATGGCTAGTTTCACATTGTACACAAGTTTGCAGACATGGGCACAGTCTGTAATCAGACTGGCCTTGGTTGACTTGGACGTAGTGTCGCATAAGGGCGGACTGTTGACTGTCAGAGAGAGGCCAGGGAAGGGTGTGGTGGCCTGTGGTGTGTGAAAGGGAAAATATGACGTGTTACTGACAGGTAAGAACTGGGACTTGTCCTGACCTGAATGTCATAGGAGTGTCTTTTTCTTAATCAGTTCGTTATAAAACTCTTATACTGAACTGTCACTGCGGTCTTGAACCACACTGCGGTGTCCCCTAGTCAAGTTGTCTTTCCTGTTTCCTCTTTGTGTTTCTCACCATAGATTTGCCTTAAATTTAACATAAAATTGCATTGGCAACATATTTTAACTAAATCACAACCATTCAAAAGCTTGAATTTTATCTGTTTTATTACAGTAAAAAAAGTTATATTGTCATATTATTACCATTTAAAGTAACTGTTTTCTTTTTAAATACAAGTGTGTGTGTACGCTGTAAAAAATATTGTTGGTTAACTTAAAAAAGTAAGTAACCTGGTTGCCTTAATTTTAAGTTGGTTTAACTGCACTGTAAAAAAATATTTTCAAGATTTGTTATCACAACATATTTTCTTGTGTCAAATCAACTTTATAATAATTTATTTAGTTGAGATAACTTATTATTTTGAGTTTCTGATGGTTAAATTAATCGACTTCATTGTATTAACTCACTTTTTCCAGTTCAATCAACTTAAAATTTTAAGGCAACCCAGGTTACTTACTTTTTTAAGTTAAATCAACAATATTTTTTTACAGTGTGGAAAAAGGAGGAGAACTAAATAAATTAAGTTGATTTGACAAAAGAAAAAATGTTGTGATAACAAATCTTGAAAATATTTTTTTTTTACAGTACGTCTACCTTATATAAAATATTACCCCAAACTTTGGAAAGGTTGTGTGTATTGTCATACGTTAATAAAGATTACATGTACGTCAGATGTTCACAAATACACACACAATAGAGCCATTAGTATTGCGTATCTGGTGACCCTTTTTATGGCAAGACTTCACACAACTCGCAGCTGGGTTTCATGCTTTCATATCCTTCACCTCCCTCTGACTCGGGTTTCTATGATGAAGTGGTAAATTCTCCTTTCCAAACGTGACATCAAGAAGTAATATGAGACTGGAGTGCCGGTGTTGGTGTCGGTGGTCTTGACCCAAATGTAGTTATTGTAGAATGTGTTGTTCTTTTCCCAAGATTCTGTTAAGCTCTTTGACTTGCCTGGAATTTTAGGAAGTTGTAATCCCTTCAGGATTTTACACGACTAGAGATCTAGAATTTGTTGTTGTGTTCTGGAACTCAAAAGATGTGTAGATTCTTGAAAATCAATAGTTGATTCTAGAATTCTGAAAATAGTTTATAATCATTTACAGACCCAATCCAAACTAAGGAAAATAAACAAAAAAGATATTTTCAAGATTATGTAAGCTGCTTATTGCATATTATAGTAAAAGTGTATTGTGACAAAAAAGGGCATGGTTTCCATGTTTTATGGAGACTTTCCACAGACATGATGATTTTTATACTTTAAAACTGAACATTTTATCCCCTAAACCTACCCATCACAAGTGTTTCTGTATTTTTACATTAAAAAAACAACAACATATAATATGATTTATTAGCCGTTTTCCTCATGCGGACCAAAAAATGTCCCCATAACGTAGGGAATACCTGGACCACACACACAAACACTCCTGCTAGGATGTTTTGCACTTATCCTTTTCCACAAGAATAGTTTCATAGTTCTGAAGTGTGTGATTCACTCCCGAACTTCACCTCCTGCTTCACTCTAGTGCACTTTTATATGTGTGTTTGCAACAACAGGAATTCAATATATTGTAAGTGCATCATCTATCCAAACCACAAAACTTCATGAACACAGAAAGGCTTTTCGGCGTTCACTCTTCCCAGGAATGCTCTGCGCCTCTGATCTATGGTCCAGCAAACAAAAACTGTTCAATAAAGGGCAGGAATGCGTTTACTTTGGCCAAAGAGATAGGGGCGGTAAAAGGGGAAGCATTTGAGCACAACTCGAGTGGATGGGCGGCTGAAAGTGTGAAAAGAGAAAGGCTTTGAGTGGCACACTCGTGGACGTGGACTGATTTTGTGTAGTGTCAAACTTTTTGTAAAAGTTTGTAATTAAATCATAATTTATCTTATTTCCCTTCTTAAAAGACTTCTGGTCATACTGTGCTCAATCCTTCATGTTAATAAAGTAATATATAATAAAAAATAATATGTAATTATCTTTTAAATGTATTAAATAATTTTAATATTTCATATATTAAAATATATTTTAATATATATATATAAAGGAATATATATATATATATTCATTCTATTTCGGTATAAATGTTAAAATAATAAAACAAATTTTATAGAATTTTAATAGAATTTTATTTTTTATAAATTTTATAGAATTTTAAATTAATTATAAATAAATAAGTGATACAATGTATGTTTTAATTACAATTTTTTTAATATTTGTTGTGTGCATCAGTATTAAAATTAATTAAAAAAATTATATAATATTATATTAAAATATTTCATTAAAATCAGTATAAGTAATTAATGAATTATTAAATAATTATCTTTAGTTACATATTTGTATGTATCTTATATATGCATTTATTTATTATTGCGTATATTATTTATAGTCCTCCATTTAGTGTTTTTACTCATTGAAAATCCTATTTCGCTTAAACAGTTATTGTTGCAATATGTATGAAAAAAAGTGAATGACTGCCAATGCCATTTTGTGAATCTTAAGAAATAAATTATGGTAATCCAAAAAGCACATTGAGTTGCAGCCTAGCGTTAGATCGTCACGCTGCGCTTTCTGTCGGCAATAATGGCCATTTCCTGTCACTCAGGTGGACATGAGACAGAAAAGACCTAAATTAATTGAGCGGAAATGAATTCAGGAAATGTCCCAGTGACAGGAAGTGGATGTGTTTGGTTCGATGCACACACAATGCGACTTGTTTCTGTCACAGATCAGTGAGAGGGTTCTTGGGTAATGCTTTCATTTTTGGAAGTTATTTGCATTTGAAGGGACAAAGACGTTGAGTCTCAAGAGAAAGAACTCAAAATCAAATGAATATGCTAAGAATATGAATATCATGTTTTGTTCTTATAAAATAAATCGTCATCTCTTTTCATACATCTACTGTTCCAGCCTGCGGTGTTGGATAACCTCCTGACCTCTATGAAGTTTGTCCTCCATGGAATGGGCGTCCTTCGAATCAACCTCGCTAACAGCAAGAACAAGGTCTGTGCTCGACTCTTTCCATTATACTGTGGAAGAATATATTTAGTTGTTAGTTCCCTGGTTAAACTGCTATTCAGACTCACTGTAAAGAAACATTGTTTCTGTTTTATTGTTTGCAGTACTTACATGGTCCACTAGGTGGCGGCATCTTTTCAGAACTAGGGATGTGAATGCAAACATACAGTCCAAACTAACCTGACAGTCATTCAGCAGTGTGTTATTAGAAGCCACCCTCGGTTCCGGTGTGTTCCAGACATGTGTCTCAAACAGTTATTATCTTGTTCCGGACGCACCAAACGGCACAATGAAATATGACCGGGGTGTAGGGTCGGCTTCATCAGGTCTTATGATGAGCACCGTACTGTAATTAGACAAATCAGAACAATTGTTCTTTAGTAACAGTGCTAAAGACGTAGATGTGTTGGTCACACTTTGTTCTAGTTGTTAAAATGTTATGTTTTATGCTTATAAACCCTTGCTCCAATCTCTCATCTTAAATTTCCTTACTTAGCCAACCCCTAAATAGATATAGATCACAAAGGGTTGGCTAGTCATGCAAATACTGACTAATCTGGATGGCTAGTTTTGATATTTTAAAGGGTTAGTTCACCCAAAAATGAAAATTCTGTCAGTATTTACTCACCCTCATGTTGTTCCAACCCCGTAAGACCTTCGTTCATCTTCGGAACACAAATTAAGATATTAAGATATTAAGATCGCTCCTGCATACAGTCCATAGGCTTCTTGAGGGACTGGCTCTTGCTGTCCCCGAAAAGTCATTAAAGACATCGTTAAAATAGTCCAAGTGACTACAGGGGTTCAATCTTAAGTTTATCAAACGACGAGAACACTTTTGTGCGCAAAAAAAACAACAAAAATAACGACTTTATTTCAACTATTCACTTCCTTCAACATGGGCCTGTAAGTCAGTTAACGTAGTGTGATTGCGTAGAGCTACGTCACACGTAGGCTCACTATTGGCCGACGCTGGTCATGTGTGTGTGATGCGTGTGACGTACAATAACAGAAGCTTACGCTATTAAACTAGTAACCTGACTCGCGCAGAGGGAGAAATAAACGAATAGTTGAAATAAAGTCGTTATTTTTGTTGTTTTTTTGCGCACAAAAGTGTTCTCGTCGTTTGATAAACTTAAGATTGAGCCACTGTAGTCACTTGGACTATTTTAACGATGTCTTTAATGACTTTTCGAGGACAGCAAGAGCCAGTCCCTCAAGAAGCCTATGGACTGTATGCAGGAGCGATCTTAATATCTTAAATATCTTAATTTGTGTTCCAAAGATGAACGAAGGTCTTACGGGGTTGGAACAACATGAGGGTGAGTAAATACTGACAGAATTTTCATTTTTGGGTGAACTAACCCTTTAACAGCAGTGCTTTAATTAGCATGCTAACCGCATACTAAGCTTTATATGTTTGATATTTTACGCAATAAAACATTTAAAGTTCTTAAAATTGAGAAAAGTTCTTGAAAAAATTTTCCGCCGACTATCAAATGTTGTATTTATCCTTGTTTATCCATGATATTTCTCCAGGTCCACGCTCATTCCGTTCTCTCGTGTGGCCGTTGTTTTGACGAAGACCAGATGTTGTTCCCGTTCATAAGCCACGCCCTCTGCTGTTTGTGGGCGGATCAGGGGGTGCGGTCGGCAGCAGTGCGTGGATACGAGTATGAACTCAATGACTCGGCACTATAGTGAGTAACACTTCTGTAATTGGGTTAATTAGCCACTATCGCTAATTAGACATTAGCGCAAATGCAGTTATCACAGCAATATCTGTTATTTGCTGTCAATTGCTCAGCTTGTTTTTTTGACCAAGAGTTAACATTAGGATAATATTAGCCTCCGTTGTTGTTTTTTTCAGTTAGCCTCCGTTGTTGTTTTTTTTTTCAGTTAGCCTCCGTTGTTGTTGTTTTTTTTCAGTTAGCCTCCGTTGTTGTTTTTTTTCAGTTAGCCTCCGTTGTTGTTTTTTTTTCAGTTAGCTTCCGTTGTTATTTTTTTCAGTTAGCGTCCGTTGTTGTTGTTTTTTTCAGTTAGCCTCCGTTGTTTTTTTTTTTCAGTTAGCCTCCGTTGTTGTTTTTTTTCAGTTAGCCTCCGTTGTCGTTTTTTTTTTTCAGTTAGCCTCCGTTGTTGTTTTTTTCAGTTAGCCTCCGTTGTTGTTTTTTTTCAGTTAGCCTCTTTGTTGTTGTTTTTTTTCAGTTAGCCTCCGTTGTTTTTTTCAGTTAGCCTCCGTTGTTGTTAGGCATTTCTCTTTCAGTTAGCTTCGGTTGTTTTTTTTCTCTTTTAGTTAGCGTCCGTTGTTGTTTTTTTCCAATGAGCCTCCGTTGTTGTTGTTTTTTTCCAGTTAGTTTCGGTTGTTTTTTTTCTCTTTTAGTTAGCCTCCGTTTTTCTTTTTTTCTTTTTTCAGTTAGCCTCCGTTGTTCTTTTTTTCAGTTACCCTACGTTGTTGTTTTTTTGAGTTGCCTTCTGTTGTTTTTTTCAGTTAACTTACGTTGTTTTTTTTGTCTTTCAGTTAGCATCCATTATTGTTTTTTTTCATTTAGACTTCGTTGTTGTTAGGCGTTTCTCTTTCAGTTAGCTTCGGTTTATTTTTTTTTCTCTTTCAGTTAGCCTTCGTTTTTATTATTTTTTTCAGTGAGCCTCCGTTGTTGGTTTTTTTTGAGTTGGCTTACGTTGTTTTTTTCTCTTTCAGTTAGCCTCCGTTGTTTTTTTAGTTATTTAAGCCTCTGTTTCATTTATTTTTTCAGTTAGCCTCCATTGTTCTTTTTTTCAGTTAGCCTCCGTTGTTGTTTTTTTCAGTTAGCGTCCGTTGTTGTTTTTTTTGAGTTGGCTTACGTTGTTTTTTTCTCTTTCAGTTAGCCTCCGTTGTTGTTTTTTTCAGTTAGCCTCCGTTGTTGTTTTTATTTATTTAAGCCTCTGTTTCATTTATTTTTTCAGTTAGCCTCCGTTGTTCTTTTTTTCAGTTAGCCTCCGTTGTTCTTTTTTTCAGTTAGCCTCCATTGTTGTTTTTTTCAGTTAGCCTCCGTTGTTGTTTTTTTCAGTTAGCCTCCATTGTTGTTTTTTTGAGTTGGCTTACGTTGTTTTTTTCTCTTTCCGTTAGCCTCCGTTGTTTTTTTTCAGTTAGCCTCCGTTGTTGTTTTTATTTATTAAGCCTCTGTTTCGTTTATTTTTTCAGTTAGCCTCTCGTTTTCTGTAAGCTTTTTTTGTTTTTCAGGGTTTCTTCAGGGTTTTGGTGATTAAGAAAAGCTCTCTTGACCGGCTAGAACAAGATAACATAACACATTAAGCTTTTGATCAGGCCTTGAGCAAAGAGGTTACCGACCATGAGATTGGAATGTGTGCCCTAAACGATTAGCATCTCATTTGAATACATTTAAACATGCTCAAATAGGCCAATCATGATCCGTAAAAGGTCGTGAGTGTTTCATTCTAATCTAATTGGTCATTTGACACGGGTGCTAACCCCTAAATCTTTCTCCTATACGCTAAACATTCCACCTTTCAGTTTAGCAAAATGATTCCTCGAAATACTAATATTTTTCTGAATGCATTAAAGATCCTGAACACAGATTACGTCATTCATGTCTAGTTAATGACAAGCGTTTATCTCCTGAAGACATAAAACTGAACGTTTTATCGTTATTCAATGATTTATCGATTTCCTAGGAATTTTGCTCAGGTTTCCCAGTGCCTCCTGATGCAGTCTCCGTAGGCTTCATGTGGGTGTAATGAAACTGATGTGCGACTGCCACTCTTGAGCCATAATGGCCGCTGATCTGTGCCTTGATCCGACACTCCCACTGTGAATAATGGCTGATTAGTGGGATATTCAAACAGCGATTTGTGTAATTACATATGTGTGTGACTGCAAACTAAAACACCAGGAGGCTGATTATTTAAATGAAACAGTGAGGGTCACCCATGTCGCAGACGTGTGGTGTGTGCCACAGCAAATGAACCTCAAACGCTGCAGCGAGGTGTGTGTGTGTGGTAGCTCATAAACGGCAATTAGAAAACCGTCAAACCTCAAAGCCTAAAGCCTTTGCCAGTTGATGTATATATATCCTGCAATCCATGCTGGGACGTAACACAATGGAGGTTTTACATGATAGCTTGTCTCTTTGATTAGCACGCAGGACACTTAGAGATCATTGGAAAGAATGAGGAAAAGATGGAGGCGAGTGAGATATGAGGTTCTGTGTGTGGTTGAAGTTGTCCATACCGAATGTGTTTGGCATCAAAACCCACACACACAAAAACGCATAGCCTCAATTCTACTGAATTCCCACACACATGTGCACAGAAGTATGTATTTGTCTGTAGTTTGTGGGAAAAGTGGTCCCAAAAAGTGAATTAAAAGTTCTATATTTGTAAAATAATAATAATAATGATAACGTAATGTATAATAAAAACTAATGTTATTATAATTGTTTATTTGCAATTATTTAATAATAATAATAAGTTGTTTTTATTATTATTATTCATTTAAAAATATTGTTATTATTCATGTTCGTTTGCAATTATTTAATTATAAATTATAATAATTGTAATTGTATATAATAAATATTTTAAAAATAATAATAAAAATTACTATTACTATTATTATTCTTAATATTAAACTAATTATTTGTAGTATTTTTAATACTAATAATAACTTTTTATGATAATTCATTTATTATTGTTATTTATTATTCTTTATATATTTTCTATTAATTGATTTAATTTAAAATTTATATCCTGAATTGCATGCTGGTACAACAATGGATGTTTGACATGAGCGCTTATTTTTTTATTAATTTAATATATATATATAATATATATATATATATATTGTTAATTAAAATTAGTATATATAAATTAGTATGTTAAATTTTTATAAAAAACCCTAAGATAGCAAAGCATTATTAGTAGTAGTAGTAGTAGTAATTGTAAATGTATTATTATTGTTATTTTGTTGTTATTAATGTTAAACATTTATTGTTGTTATTATTATGATTATTATTCATTTATATAATATAACTTTTATCATTATTAATCATTTGAAAAATATAAAAGCATTTCAATCATGCTTTAAAAAATTGTAATGTTTCTTTTGTGTTTTTGGCTTATGGTTTTTAATTATCTATATTTAATTTTACAAAAAAGACGTGGAATGGTATATCCCCTTTTATGTGTGTGCATGCGTACGTGCGTGGGTGTGTGTGAAATTGACAGGCAGATACTCCTGTCCCCCGTTGGCCAAGGGGCTCCTCATAATGCTTCAGTCAATAATACGGAGTCAATAACACACTTGTCACCAGGAGCAACTAAATCATCACCATGGCACTTATTTGAGTTGCGCTTAAATGGACACACACACATAAGGATGAGGCATAAAATTTAACTTAATTTTAAAATAGGCCTGATATGCTTAAACAATGGCTGTGACTTTATTGTAGCACTGTTTTCTGCACAGAAATTCACTGAAATACTCCTCCTCGGTATCGTACTGTAGGCTCTCGCTCTCCAGGTTTAAAAACCTTTCCTCCCAAGCTGTCATGTCACACCTGCAGGGCTCCATCACACACACACATTCAGAAACACACATATTCTCTTGTTAAAGGTCAGATTTATCAGAGGGCTTTCCCATCGCCTTCGCAGGCCTGAGCTCCTCCACCTGTTCATATCCTGAATCCATCTGGCGAAAAACTCTTAATTTGTGCCTTTCATCCATTCTCATTTGCTATTCCTCGCTATTTTAAGTTCTTCACAAAAACCTTGACCCTAATACACTGGCCGCCGTCGTTTCACGACATTCAATTGTGTGGAAAAAATAAATCTGAAATGGCACGAGGAGACGAGATGCATCAGAGAGAAGGTGGAAAGGATTTGAGAGGTCAAAGTGGTGTCAAATCAATCCGAAAGTTAAAGTATATCTACAAAACACCAGGCGAGGTCTTCAAAGGCTAAAAACACTTCAAGCTGCCTTGGAGAAACCAGCTTGAACCAGTTTTGGAGATGTTTTTTTTTCCTTCTGTAGGACAAAATGTTCACGCTGCTCTTTTTCATACAGCAAAAGAATACAGTGAGATTAGACCAGCCAATGACCTTAATGATTAGTTTGGACCAGCTTAAAGCCACCAGTATCTGGTTTTAGCTCGTTGTGCAGGGGTTTTATAGAAAACACTATTTGTGGAGTCTGTTAAATTTTCCCTACGGAGCGTCAGAGTTAAACAGATTCACAGCGACAGGGCCTTTGCGTCCCGCTGGGAAGTGAAGGCCAGCAGCGAGTGGAAGTTGCATCCAGATGCACGTAAGGACATGTCTGTCATAGGAACCCAGACGTGCCTAAAGAAACACACCTCGCACTTGTGTGCCTGTTCAGACCGGAGGTGTCCGGATTTGTGCTTTCGTCGCTGCCTTGGAGCATGTTGTGCCGCCCAGGGGGTTTACAAGATCAGACTCGGCTCGAATGCCAAGGAATTGCATTGGCACTGAGACTGAGTGTGGAGTTGTGTGTTTGTGTGTCTGTTTAGCTGTCGCTAAAACTAGAAACACGCTCTACACGAGTTCACAACTGCGTTTAATGTGCTGTGGGAGAAACAAATGTAGTGCTCAACAGTGTTGTTATAACTATAAAGCATTTTTGTTGTTAATAAAGCTGAAATAAAATCAAAATAATTGCGTAATAAAAACAAATGCTCTAGTATAACATTAGCATTGTTGTGTAAGCTACTTTGAAACTTTGGGCCGTATTGTATACCCGGCGCAATGTGGTGCAAGTGTTTTTTTGCTAGTTGCAGCCTGACGCCGTTAGCATTTTCACATCCTGCGCGACGATGTTTAAATAGCAAATACATTTATGCCCATTTGTTCTCCCATGGGTGTGCTGTTCTGAATAATACGCGATAAAAGGTATCTTTTCCACGTTAATCAGAGTTTTTGTCGTAACCAGACGCGACGGCGACACGCGAAGTTTCTAATTTAGAAACGGTTCCTATTTCTGCGACGTCGCGGCTGACCGATCCGCCCACACAGACAGAGATATTACACTGGTTATGACTCGAGTACACATTATTTAATGTTAGTTAAAAATAGCGATAACGAATAATTTTCCCTTAGATTTTGAAAGCATATAATATAGCGTTCAAAATGAATTCTGTGCAAACATACAACTGCACTTCATAACAAAATTAGTCAATGAGTATATTTTGTTAATGTTTTGATTTTTAATAATGTTATTTCTTGATTTGATTACGTCCTTACCCATATCCGATGCGAGTGCGGTGCGGGCCAGCAGTGCGCTTTCACAGAGAGACTCCGCCCACACGCTGTTCTGAATGGCTGATTTTTTTGATTGACGTGTGGCGTCTCACAGTTGTGTCGCGTCTAGTGTGGACAGACACACTTGCTGTCGCTGGAATTTTATCGCGTCGCGTGTAGTTAGGACACGGTGTTGGTGTGTTGCGATTTTGAGGCTGAAACTGAAATGGATTAAAGTCAATGGCGCAATATATATATTTGAAGAGCGGGTTAGTAATAAAGTACGCCATACTGTAAAAATTTGTAATCGCAACATTTTTTCTTTCGTCAAATCAACTTAAATAATTCACGTAGTTCAGATAACGTAATATTTTGAGTTTCTGATGATTAAATCGATCTCCTTCATTGTATTAACTCAATTTTTCCATTTCAATGAACTTAAAATTTTCAAGGCTACCAGGTTACTTAATTATTTTAAAATTTTTTACAGTGTATGATTGAAATTCGGAACCACTACGTCCGTCATGTTGTTACGGTAACATGATCTACCAGCGTCAGTTGCGTCTCTCCTGTGGCCTAATGGGACAGTAAAGTTTCCATCAAATTGGCACTTCAGTATCTCTGCAGGTCATCCGCACTGTAAAAAAATATTTTCAAGATTTGTTATCACAACATTTTTTTCTTTTGTCAAATCAACTTAAAGGTTCTCAAAGCGATCCTGGGTGTTGACGTTCGAATATTTTCAAACAAATCGGAGGCTATAGACCCTCCCTCCTCCGCATCTCATCTCATCTACTCCCCCCTCCCTTCCATGCTTCCTGAAATAATTGTGAACGTGCATAGTTCTAGCTAATTATATCCTTGTGTGGGTTTGGCGAACATAAGCGTCAATTTAGAAGAAAAAAAAACAATTTAACGTTACCCACCTGTCAATCAAAAACAGAGCAACCTACCTGAATGTCGGACTGGAAGCCCTTCTGCCGCCGGAGTTCTCGCCATCGTTCAAAAGCTTTGCTACTGATGTAAATTCGGAACTTCGCACATTCTTTATCCGACTCCTTCTTCTTTTTAATTTGTTCTTCAGAACGACGTCTCTTTGGTCGTGTGTCGGTCATTTTTCAAACTTCCCTCTGATCCTTCGCTTTCCTTCACACACACACACCCCCTTCATGTGCACGCGCACTGACCCCCCAGACCCACCCTCAAATACTTCTTGCCAGTGATTGGCTGGAACACTGTTTGTTAGGTTTCGTGGTCCGGGTAAGACATGATTGTTTTTGTTGCCGTTTGTGGAGCCTGTGGTGTCTACAGAGACCGCGTTTTTTTACAGTGTGTTTAGGGGACAGGCAGCTAGCCGAAAGTGAGGAGACGTTTGATGTATGCGACAAAAAATGTTTTGGCCCCACATCGCTCGGAGAACCTTTAAATAATTTATTTAGTTGAGAACTTATTATTTTGAGTTTCTGATGATTAAATGAATCTCCTTCATTGTATTAACTCATTTTTTTCAGTTCAATCAACTTAAAATTTTAAGTCAACCAGGTTACTTACTTTTTTAAGTTAAACCAACAATATTTTTTTTACAGTGCGGGGACTTTTCGGCTACTTTTTTTCGGTTTTACTCAGGCGCGGAGTTTGCGGGGGGGCAGGGGGAGCGTTGCCCCCCCGGTGGCTGAAACGGGTAATCGCATTTTCTTAAAAAAGCTGTAAAAAACTACCAACCCCAATCTCTTTAAGTTATCGCTCACTCGGTCGATTGTGTCATCTAACTCTGAGAGAAGCTTTTCTGCGATAAATGGGCGTCAATTTGAAATGTGCTGGGGACAGAGACGTACTCGGAAGGGCATTTTCACAAGTGCTGGGTACGCATTCATTCTTTTTCTCTCTTTCGAGTAGGTCATGTTTTGAAAGACGATGTTCTGTAGCTCCTGATGTACATAAATAAAAATGAGCACAATGTCCGAGTATAGTGAGTATATAAAGTATATACGCCCTTTATTGCATAAATAAAAATGAGCACAATGTCAGAGTATAGCACTTTTTTCATGTGTATAGTGAGTATATAAAGCATATACTCCCTTTTTCGTGTATACAGTGATGGTCCAGATCCAGGACTCGGGAGGTTTGAGGTTCTAATCCGCACTCGTAAAGTTTTTTTTTCCCCTCATCAAAACCAATAGGTAGCCTAATCCCGTGTCTTAAAATTTTTTCAATGATTCATGAAGTATAAATGCGAAATTTAACTAGTTTTTTAATCATTAGCATTGCCAGAATGTGTTTTGAAAAAAGGAAAGAAAACTTTAAGGTAATATTTTAGTATATTAGTATATTAATATTTTAATATTTAAGATAATATTTTAACAGTGCAAAAGTGGTCAACATTTCATGATCCTATAACGAAGATGCGACGCGAAGTGGCTGTTAATGCGAAGTTCTAGCTGTTTACAATGACATAAAGGCAATAAAATATCAGTGTATTGTTTTACTGTTTTTTCTTGGGATAAAAATAAATATGTGTTTATTTAGCATGTTTTTTTTTTTTGCCCCCCCTGGCTCGAATGTCAAACTCCGCCTATGGTTTTACTGACATACTACTGTTTTGCTGTACTGTTTTGTCCATACTATATAGTAAGGGAGTATTATTTCCGACGCCACGAGAAACTCATTGCCCTTGGAAGACAACAGTTTATGCTAATGATGCTTATCAGTGCGAATGCAACACATACTTTTTTAGCACGCAACTGTGTGAAAACATGCTCCTAGTATATAGGGCAACCTGGTCTTTCTTCTGTTTGCATGAACTGAATGATAAAATAGTCTTATCAGTCCAGGAAAAGATGCCTCACACACTCAATCAAACACTATGGCACAGTTGTCTGAGGTTATTGCTTTAAAAGTGTGTTTGTCTAACTCTCTCCAGGGTGTTTCACCTCCTGTGAGGTGTGTTTATTGCTACGTAGTGCTCACTCGCGGATAATCCCTCTTTTTAGCAAATCCGCATGCAGAAATCCCCCACAGGTTTGCTTATACTATATCATGCTGTATTTAAATTCATGATGGTAATTAGCATACGCCGTGTTCTCCCCCTGGGCCAGTCTTATCGCTACCGCAGCCGCTAACCGCAGTCAGAGGTAAAGCTGCTTACCTAGACAATGTAAGACGCCCTTTAAGGACGAGGCTTTTCCCACAGAGACCCGGTTATAGGAGCCGGAGGTGAGGTGAAGAGACGTTCCCAAGCCTCTTTTCTTTCACCGACAGGTTGCTGGATAACCGTATCAGTTATAATCCAATGAGTGTCATCTAACACTCAAAGTTCATCTTTATTAATCATAATAATTTAATAACACTTTTAAATATAATCTTTAGCTCATCTTAAAATTAATATTCATTTTTTTATGCTGAACATTACAATGTTGTGATGCCTAAATTAACTTGTAGGATTTAAATTATCATTATTAATAAAAAAAAATATTTTAAAATGATTGTCATTTTAATAAGTTTTTGTTTTATTTTAAATATGTCCATGTAGTTTATTTCATGTAAGTTTTATTTTTTTGTGTGTAATTTTAGTACACCAAATTAATCTAAACTAAAATGAAAAATGTTACTTTGGTAACTAGCTTAAATAAAATGAGTTATACAAATTGTATTTTATTTCAGTTCATGTTCATTTTACTTGTTTATTTTAGTGATTTATTTTTAATTTATTTAGGTGAACTATACAGTGTTATTGGTGAACTATAACTTAATGCTGTTGCTAATAAAATAAAGCTGAAATATAATCAAATATAAATATTATATGAAAAACTTAAAATTAGAAAGGTTGCCTTGGCAACTACGTAAACGAAATAAGTTTAAGAACTAAAATTACTAAAAATAGAACGGTTAAGTTTATCTAAAAAGTAAATCTATATTAAAAAACTAAAATGTAAAAACTAACTAACTAAAACCTAATTCAAAATATTAATAAATTTCTTTAATAGTATACATATTACTAAAATAACACATATTTTGACAAATATAGAATAGATTTTTAATATCGGCAATTTATCGGTTAGCAGTCATGCTTATGAGACTGCTTCGAAGAACTTTTATTTTGGTGGAAAATGAGTTTCAGGAAGTCACAATCATAACTGTAATTTTTGTCATCAAATGTCCATTTGTAATAATTTCTATATATACGTCACTCTGTTTCCAGTTTTTTTGAGAACATGGGCAGGATCGTCGCCACCGATTACATGCCGACAGAAACGGACGTTTTAAGAGTCCGACTGAGAACCACAGGAGTGATCGAGACTCAGTTCAAAGTCAAACACTTGGTCTTCAGGTAAACAATCTCTTTCTTTGCCCTTTTTACCTCAACTGTTATTACAAAATACGACACAATTGTTTTTACGAGTAGTCGTAGACTTTGTAAACGACTCTCGCTACCACTCTCAGTTCTCTGAATCATCAGACAGATCAAATAGCCTTTCTTCTTTCGTTTTCTTTGAAGTTTGTTTGTCTTAAAGTAGCTAAAAATATCAGGTTCACTTTCTGTCAGATTCTGGTAGATTCAGACCCTTCTCGCTTTGTGATATTGACCATGTCAACGTGCGCGGCATCCTCCATCTCACTATCTTATGAAACGTCACCTCTGCATGCCGTTCGGATTCAACATCTCTCCATTCGTCAATATCCTAACTGGCATTATCAGCACTGAGCACACGTTTGACTTTGCTTTGGATGCAAGACTTGTTATGAATTCGTCAGAGTTTTTTCTTTTTGCTCGCAATGACTAAGTCTGAACTATAAGTCAACAGACAACTCCTGAAGGTATATGCCAATTGTCTAACTTTCAAGCAGTATAAGTATACTTTAGAGTTATTATAGTTAACTAAGGGGCCATTTTCACCTAAAAACTGAAAACTTTTTATGTGTTTTTGTCATTTCATTTATTAGGCAACAGGGTTTTGAGGGCCTGAAAATGTGTTTCAAAGTGCAAGTTTTTGAAAACAATATCTTTATTCTTTCTGTGTAAACCACATAAAAGCAGATTTTTGAAAACTACCGCCATGTGCGTTACGTGTTTAGTAGGCACGTAGTTTGTCTTTACAAAGTGACCGCCATCTACTGGCCTGGCATGAATAATACAGATTTTTTAGCAGTTTTCGCAGATCCAGCTGAACGAGGATCGGTTTGACAACGTTGTCGTCTGTTCGCGAAAACGTACATGAAAAACTTTTTAGTTTTTGCTACATTGTTGTCATTTAAACATACCCTTAAACTAAAACTGAAATTAAACAATTAAAAAAAACAACATATTATTTAAAATTGTTACTTGATTTTTATTTTTTTTAATGGTTTATTTTTTAATTTTCAACTGTAGTACTACATCATCTTATTGCAGTTATTTGCCAAGGCAACATTTCTTATTTTCGTTAAGTGTTTATTTAAAATTTTCATTTTAGTTTAGTTTTATCTTTAATCGTTTTTTTTCTTCTTTTTTTATTATTATTATTATGCTTAGGAACAAACGAAGATGACAATCATAGCACATAGCATACAAATTTGTTACAAAATTGCAAACATATCTGTACAAAATATGTCAACAATATGTAAGTCATCTTAACACAAGTGTATGACCATCTAAAACAAAACAAAAAAAGAAAGAAAGAGGAAAATTAAATAAATAAAATGAGGGTCAATTCTATACAAAATTTAGAGTAGGTGTAACCAAATTAAAGTCATTACAAAATAAAAGTGTTTTTATTGCTTTCTTATTTACTGAGGATGAGATGGTGTTAAGGTACATTTCAAACTCTTTCAAAAAAAAACTATAAAGATTGGTTTATTGTTGGCGAATTTACATTTATGGATAAAGAGTTAAAAATGAAAAATGTTGTGTTGGCAGCTAGCTGAAATGATATAAGTTTAGGTATAAAAATACATGTTTTGTCTTATTTTATCTCAGTTTATTTCAAGTAATGAAATGTTTTTATGCTTTTAATTTTTCTTTAAAGGAAAAAACAGTGGGGATTTATGGGCAAACTGCACAAAGTTACAGTAACAATGACTCTTGTTCCTTAAAATGTTGGAATGAAAAAGTTTCATGCATTTTCATCGTCCCCTTAAGTTCAATTTTGCGCAAACATCGTCCAACCAGTAAAACGATTGGGAGGTTTCATGGGAAATGCGAGTAATTTTCTGCCTGGCAGCTTTTACCAGCCATTTGAATGTTAATGGAGACATTTACAGCCATGACATGCCGCTGACTGTTTGAGATGGCACAGAGAGATGAGTGTTTTGGCATTTGGTGGAAAGCAACTGTCTTTTTCTATAGTTTTTCGTTCGCTTCTTCTTGGGCTCTTTCTGTCCTGAGAGTTGGCTAATTTATTGGCTTCAGTTGAGGGCTTCTGCAATAACGTTTATATTGCATTACTTTGCATAATGCTAAATCTAAATTCCCACTGCTTTCATGACCGTTTTTAATAAAAGTGCATCTACAACATCATAAAATCAAAACAAGATGACTTCACTTAAAAAATGGTTGTGGGATTTAGCGATGTTTCAAATACCCAGTTGGATCCATTTAGACGTCTTTACCGTTTGGTCTTCAGAAATATGTTTTTCAATCTGAAATGTGTAAATTGTTCCCTTTGTTTAGGTTAAGTTGTGGTATAGAGCATAAATACGAGCAAAGAAATCCCATCGCCATTAAGAAGACAAAGGAGACTCCATCATAATCAAGTCTTTATGTTCTTAATAACTCGATGAAAGCAGTGTAATGCTGATGTAATGTGGAGTAATTGTTTGCTATGTGAAACCTGTTAAGTTCTTTAGTGAATTAATTCGGTCTGAATAACTTACTGTCAATCTTCGGCGTGCTCCACTGCTCGTTCTTATCTCAGCGCTTCACACGCTCCCCACGCCGAAAACCTCAAGATCTTTATCATATCACTGGATTCACACCTCACGTTTGATATGAACACCCATAGCTGCTGTATTTCAGTACAAACCTTTGTATATCAATAATTCTCTTCAGTTTTTAGATAAAAGCTATGTATTTATTTAGTTATATTCTTTTATTTAGGCTGTATAAATTAAATACACTTATTTATGGATTTATTTATGCATTATGCTTTTATTTATTGATATTTATTCTTTTATTTATACATGATTTTATCCACTTGTGTTCATTTCATTGAGATTGTTACTTATGGCCATATGAAATTGTTACCATACCATTTTAAATGGTAATTTGCAGGGTTTTTTTTTCTAATAACGCCATTTCATTTAATAAATTTCAAATGCAAACTTTATGCTTTAGTCCAAATCTCACTCATTCAAAATAACTTGCATTTAACTTGTCAACCGTAAGTGAATATATACAGTAGTGAAACCATGGTAACCACAAATTAACCAAGGTATTTGTTGTAAAACTGTGGAAATATAAATCAATAATAATCAAAATCGACAAAAAAAACATGGTTACTACACTTTTACTAGAATAAAACCATGGTTAATTTTTGTAAATGTTTGAAAGGGGCGACATTTGTGAAAATCTAATTATTGTCAGAAATAATACAAAGCATACGGACTTTAAATGAAAATGGAATACAAAGAAAATACATTCTTATTAACATTTTATCTTTATAATTTAGATGTACGCTGACTTCAAATGAAATGTATATATTAATGTTTGCAGTTATTTATAGGATTTAAATGTATAAAAATACATTTAGGATTTATTGAGAATTTATTAATGTGAATATTTATAATTACTGAATATATACAATATATAATACAAACATTGCATTTTTATATATATATATATATGTATATACTGTATACACTGAAGTATTTATACTGAAATAAAAATGTATCCATATATAGCATTTTATTGATTATTGAAAATTTTAACAAGAGGGGGAAAAAATCAAACCAAATATTCCTGTCTTTTTTCTTTTTTTTTTTGGTGTGTGTGTGTGTCGCATCTTTTCCAGCTGCACAAAAGTTTAATAATGGCTTTGTTTAATTATGGGATGATCGGATATGGCCACATAATCACTGCAGACAAGGTGAGAATCGTGCCGCGTTAAACACACTGATCAAAACGCGAGTCGTTTCACTCATCATTAGACTGTTCATTACGGCTCAGATGTGAGGGGTGACCGCGAGCAACCTCAGATTTAGATTCGGTTTGGAGATTTTATAGACTTGTTTAAAAAACTAAATGATCAGAAACTGATGAAAACAGTGACACTTTTTGTCCAACACACCCACGACATCATGTTGTTCCTACTTGCGTCCAGAATACACATTCAGACATTATTATTGCATACAGTATATTAACCGTGTGTTTCTGGTTTACCTGCAGTTTTTTTGTTGTACAATTAATTTTTATGAGAAATCGTGTTCATTAGTGTCCCATAAAGCACATATAGATTTATTTTTCATCAGGTTTGAAGTGTGAGTTTTGATTTCAGGCGTGTGGATGAATCTTCCCCACAAATATAGTGAAGATATGGCTCAGGATGAAGTGGAAACCGGAAAATAGGGAGACTTTAACTCTTCACAGCCTTCTCCTTTTAGACATGATTGTCTGAAGACAAGAAACGCTCTTTGAGAACAAACACACTCGTTTTTTCCAGCTCTTTCTAGATACGCTAATAGACGCTAAGAGGGCAAACCTGTAATGTCATGATTTGAGATGTTTTGACGCATCTTTGCTAACAAGCTAACTCTTTTTAGTGTTGGGATCTAAAACACTGTGAGGGGAAATTTGGTTTGCTTGTTAATTTGAGACTCGAGACTCATTTGGTGGCGTCAGTAATAACCCATTGGTCTGTTTTGAACATGTTTGGAATGCGTGTCGCTAGTTAGCAGCATTAGCATTACAAATGTGACGCTGTTTGTAAGTCAACAAGAATGATGTTCAAAATCCATTGTGCTTTTGTAAAATGATGTATTTCCCAAGGTAAATTGAGCTTGTGATGGCTAAAGTGTTTATGTGCCATATCGAGGTGCTTGGTTTCCATTTGAGGACCTTTTGTCTCTTTCTGTCCACAGAATGTATGACGTTGGAGGCCAGAGGACGGAGAGGAGAAAGTGGATCAGCTGTTTTGAGGACGTGAGGGCCGTGCTGTTCGTTGTGTCTCTGAGTGGGTACGACATGACGCTAGTGGAAGACCCATCTATGGTGAGAAACCATTTGTACTTTTGTCTTCACACAGAAGCTGATACTGAAAAAAACAACTCCTCATTATAAATACTGAACATAACTTTTATGCATTTTGCAGGTATTTTTACTTATCAAAGTCTTTAGCCCAGGCTTCTTTTATATAAGTGTTCATGGGCAGTTGAAAAGTATGCCTGTATTTTTAATTCATGTTCTGAAAACTGTTGCATTTAAAGGGTTTTATTATGGTTGTGAACATTTCATTTTATTTACTGGTATTTACATTTATTTCTGAATGTAATACTATAATGTGACGTATATCGATGCCACAAATCTGTTGTTTTTTTTAAACAATGTAATTTTGACCTGGTACAATTCTGTAAAATTACATGTAATTTATTTAATGTACTACTAAACATTATGTAACTAAAATGTAGTAACATAAAATGATTTGACGTCATGTGAGCGTGAGTGTTAATACAACAGATTGTTCATATGCAAGACCTCAGCTTTTCCGTCGTCTCTCATACATGACATCACGAGAGCATCATGGGATCTCGTGGGAATGACTGCTCATGTTTTTAATTTGTGCTGTTGTTTAGAATCGACTGCAGGAGAGTCTCAAGCTGTTCTCGTCAATCTGCAATAACGTCTTCTTCAGAAGTACTTCTATGGTAAGAACCTCCTCAATTAACAGAGCTCATTCAGTCTCATCCCATTAGCTGGAGAGGAGGCCAGTGTCATCAATCAAGAGACTACGCAAAACGCCCAACATATGTGATCACAAAAAAAAGAAAGAAAAAACACTTCCTTTGATACTACTAAAGTCTAGCAGAATTTGTTTTAAATACATGTATAAAATTGATTTATTTTAATTTTGGTAAATTGTACAATATTACAGCATTTACGATAGAAAATTAAGATAGATGGATGGATGGATTGGTGGATGGATCTATTAATGGATGGACCTATGGATTGATAAGTGGAAGGATTGAAGGGTCTATTGATGGATGGATAGATAGATTGATCGATGGATGAATGGCTATGGATGGATAGATGGGTCGATGTTAGATGGATGGATATATGATGGATGGATGGATTGCTCTATGGATGGATGCATGGATGGGTGGATGGATGGATGGATTGATGGATTGATCTATGTATGGATGGATGGATTGCTCTTTGGATGAATGTATGTTAGGATAAATTGATGGATCGATGGATGGATTGATTGATTGATTGATGGATGTATGAGTGGATGGATTGACTATAGATGGGTGGATAGATACATGGATTGATGTATGGATAAATTGATGGATTGATGGATGGATTGATATTTGATGGATGGATGAATAAATGGACGGATGGATGGATGGATGGATCTATGGATGGGTGGATAGATAAATGGATTGATGTATGGATAAATTGGATGGATGGATGGATGGATTGATATATTTCATGAATGGATGAATAAATTGATGGATGGATGGATGGATGGATGGATCTATGGATGATGGATGGATCTATGGATGGATGGCTGGATTGATATATTTCATGAATGGATGAATAAATTGATGGATGGATGGATGGATGGATCTATGGATGGATGGATCTATGGATGGGTGGATTGTTCTATGGATGATGGATGGATCTATGGATTGTTCTATGGATGATGGATGGATCTATGGATGGATGGATGGATGGATCTATGGTTGGATGGATTGATCTATGGATCGGTGGATGCATCTATGGTTGGATGGTCTATGGTTGGATGGATTGATCTATGGATGGGTGGATGGATCTATGGATGGATTTAATTTAATAGTATATATTATATATTATATTAGTTATATATAACCATTTTCAAATGTTTATGAAAAATGTTTTCAGATGTTTCTTTCGTTCAGTGATTTGACAAGCCTTTAGTGCCGCTACTGAAGTCTGCAATGAATTTAGTTTAACGCTAATTTAAAGGCTAAGTTTTTACATCACAGATTTGAACTTAACGTTAAATCAAATCTGAATCTGTTTACTTTCCTGATGCACACTTCTGGTCTTTTTACTAATACATTTGTTTTTGATAGTTTATAATAATTTTTGATAACTTTCTCCGCCTCTGAAACGACTTTCCATTTCTGCTGACATCATCAAGCCCTCTCATTTTTAGCCCCTCCCCTGCATTCTCGCTCATATATATATAAATAGGCCAGTTTTAACAATCTAATCAATTCCAATGAATAATTATACTTAAAAAGTTACATCACTGGTTATCCTGATATCAGTGAGTTCTTCTTAAGTTCTGGACCTCCATCTCATCAAAGACTCTGTTGTACCTCACCTGATGAAAGAAAGAGTCTGTGGTTTCGCTGTCGTTTGATTGGCCGATTCCTGTAGCTCGCTGTGGTAACCTCGTATTTCCAGCCCACGTCTTCAGTTAGCCCAGACTTTGTTATAATTGCCCATGTGGTTGGCAATTAAACCAGCAGGCGTATTTTAGGTGGTCCCGTGGGTGACAATGGTCCGCTTGTTGTGTGTGTTTTTACCGTAGGCTCTCTGTAAACCTCTCTCCGAGTAATGAGGTGCGCTAACTGCCCTTGTTAAGATGCGTTCTAGATCCGCGTTAGTCATACTCTGTTGTTTTGAAACGCAGGGCGAAATCATTACTGGACGAGTTGTTAATTAAGCAATTATAGTGAGCCTTTCTGACACCTGACGGAAGAAGCATTTGATTTTGTAAAACCGCACACACACAACCTTCTTCTCCTAGACTTTGTGTGTAAGCTCTTCCTAAATGATTGATTTGACAGAGCGGCCGGTTGATGGGTGTTGGAGTGACGCGCGTGTGTGTGTGTGTGTGTGTGTTTCCTCTTGTTTTGCAGATGTTATTCATGAACAAGATCGACCTTTTCCAAGAGAAGATTCTCCACTCGGGACGCCATCTACGGCATTACCTTCCTCAGTTCAGAGGTGATTACACATGAATCTCTCTCTCTCTCTCTCTCTCTCTCTCAGCATTTGTTTACTCGTTTCCGTTTGTTTACTCGTTTCCGTTTGTTTACTCGTTTCCTTTATTAAAGCTGCTCCCCAACATCAGCTTGCTTCTTTCTTTCTTTCTTTCTCCTTCCTCCTTTTTGCCTCCTTCCTTCCGTCCTTCCTTCCTTCATTTCTTCCTTTCTTCCTTCCTCCTTTTTTCCTCCTTCCTTCTTTCTCCTTTCTCCTTTTTTCCTCCTTCCTTCCTTCCTTCCTTAATTTCTTCCTTCCTTCTTTCTTTCTTTCTTTCTTTCTTTCTTTCTTTCTCCTTCCTCCTTTTTTCCTCCTTCCTTCCTTCCTTCCTTCCTTCCTTCCTTCCTTCCTTCCTTCCTTCCTTCCTTTCTTTCTTTCTTTCTTTCTTTCTCCTTCCTCCTTTTTATCTCCTTTCTTCCTTCCTTAAATTCTTCCTTCCTCCTTTCTTCCTTCCTCCTTCTTTCTTTCTTTCTCCTTCCTCCTTTTTTCCTCCTTCCTTCCTTCCTTCCTTTCTTTCTTTCTTTCTTTCTTCCTTCCTCCTTCTTTCTTTCTCCTTCCTCCTTTTTTCCTCCTTCCTTCCTTCCTTTCTTTCTTTCTTTCTTTCTTTCTTTCTCCTTCCTCCTTTTTTCCTCCTTCCTTCCTTCCTTCCTTCCTTCCTTTCTTCCTTCCTCCTTCTTTCTCTTTCTCCTTCCTCCTTTTTTCCTCCCTTCCTTCCTTCCTTCCTTCCTTCCTTTCTTTCTTTCTTTCTTTCTTTCTTTCTTTCTCCTTCCTCCTTTTTATCTCCTTCCTTCCTTCCTTAATTTCTTCCTTCCTCCTCCTTCTTTCTTTGTCTTTCTTTCTTTCTCCTTCCTCCTTTTTTCCTCTTTCCTTCCTTCCTTCCTTCCTTCCTTCATTTCTTCCTTCCTTCCTTCCTTTCTTCCTCCTCCTTTCTTTCTTTCTTACTTTCTTTCTTTCTCATTCCTCCTTTTTCCTCCTTCCTTCCTTCCTTAATTTCTTTCTTTCTTTCTTTCTTTCTTCCTTCCTCCTTCCTTCCTTCCTTGCTCCTTCTTTCTTTCTTACTCTCTCCCTCCTTCCTTCCCTCCTTTCTTTCTTTCTTTCTTTCTTACTTACTCTCTCCCTCCTTCCTTCCCTCCTTCCTTCATTTCTTTCTTTTTTCTTCCTCCCTCCTTCTTTATTTCTTTCTTTCTTCCTTCCTCCTCCCTTCCTTCCTTCCTTCCTTCCTTCCTTCCTTTCTTTCTTTGAGACTCCGAAGTCCTCTCTCTCTGCCCTTCGATTAGGACTGAATCCCCCATGTCTCCGTGAGTTTGTGGTTTTGTCGTCTAATCAGCTGGAATGGATCCCGTAGTTTTCACCTCGGGGAGAAAAGGTCAAGATGAATGAGGCTGGAAATTTCTCGCACAGCATTTTCTTCACTCTCCAACCCCTGCGCAGACACTTGTATATGTTAATTCCAGATAACATTACAATAAAACCTTTTTACAGCTACATTTCACCAGTTCATTCACATCTCAATTTAGCATTGAAGGTTTAGAGATTGATCTCCGCTTCATCAGTCCTACCGTTTGGAGCCGATCTCCTCAGATATGCATTGACTCTAAGGAATATTTACGCTGTTAATATTAACAGAGAAAATGGTGCTTCACCTTTGCAAAAGAAAACTTCAGCAAGGACGCATTAAATTGATCAAAATTTTACAGTAATACAAAATATTTTGAATATTTGTTGTTCTTTTGAACTCCCATCCATTAGAAAGATTCTTGAAACAAAAAAATATGAAGCAGCACAACTGTTTTCAACATTGATAATAATCAGAAATGTTTCTTGAGCAGCAAATCATCATTTTAGTGATTTCTGAAGGATCATGTGACACTGAAGACTGCCGTAACGATGCTGTAAAGATTCAGCTTTGATCACTGGAATAAATTACATTTTAAAACCTTTTTTAACACTTTCTACAGTAAATTCGCAGCCTTGGTCTTCTTTCGTTGTGTTTTATGTTGACAGGTGCTGACTGTGATGTGGACGCTGGCGCCCGGTTCATCGCCACCATGTTCGTGTCTCTCAACGCCACACCCAGCAAGCTCATCTACCACCACTTCACCACAGCCACCGACACCTCCAACGTGCAGGTCGTCTTCCAAGTCGTCATGGACACCATCATCAAGGAGAACCTGGAGGCCGTGTCTCTGCTCTGAGTCCACAACCCTTCCCCTTAAAAACTCAAAGACTGATGGTATTTATTATATATGATGCACGCTCTTCATGAAGCAATAATCGAATTTATGCTCCTCTTAAACAGCAACTAACAAAATGACTATTTAATAACTCAAAATGCAATAGTAAACCAATCTGAATCACAAATTACGCTGTGGAAGTGTATAATATGGTATTAAAGAGTAAATTGTACTCTCCTGAGGAAGACTTGCTTGTCTATGCATCACATAATTCTCCACCTGACATCCACCGATTCATGAGTCATCATCATACGTGTAATGAAATAACCTTCTGTAAATCTTTGTGCAACATGGTCCGTTCAGAGATCGAACACCCTGTTTTTTTACATTCTGAATCATATTTGGCTTTTGACTCATTTGTGAATTGCAGCACTTTTATAGTTGTCAAAGAGGATTTATTCAGTCTAAGAGTGAGCAACACATCTATATGAAGCATAATCATACTTGTAAGTTGTAGCAATTGCATTTTGTATTGTAAATACATTTCAAATCATGTTACTTTACATATTTTTATCCCAATTATTCATTGGTGTATTTTTTTTTCTATTTAAATGCCATATTTCGCTTTTCAAAAGCATTTGAGTTACTTTTGTAAGTGCAAAAAGACCACTGTGAATTGAAACGTAATTAAAAACTAACAAATGTATTTGATATTGATTCGTGATGATTTCCCACATACATGAATGAATGGCGTGAAACAGGTTTGTTTCTCAACACAAACATACACACAATGAACGGTATATCTTTCAAGTTTAATAAAATAAAGAAAACATCTTTGAAAGTTTTTGCTCATAACAGTGAATTCTTTTTATGAACATTTAATACATCTGGAAGTAGGTACAGGAGACTGGTGGTCGCGAGGGAGAACAGATCGAACAGAAAACACCTCTTCGCTTCACTTTTGTCTGTGGATTTTGTATTTATATTCATTTATAAATTTTAAGCAGCGAACTTCACATTGTGTGAACCAGGGGTGCTCAACACTGCTCTCCGAGATCTATTTTCCTGTAAAATACGACTGAAACTAGGTGTTCACACTGAAAGTGACTTGAATGTGGTTTGACTTCACTTTTGCGCATTCGCTAATCGCTATATACTAACCCACGCTGTAAAAAATGATTTCTGTGATGATCACGACTTAACTCAACATCAGAATAGAAGAAATGATGTGTTGTTTCAACTTAAATATCCAATTTAACCGAACCGAATATTTTAAGTCAAGCACGAACATACTTCAAGTTATCTCAACAAATTTTGATTGCAGCAAAAAATAAATTACAGTGAAACATCTATTTTTTTATGGTACATGCCTGATTTAAGTATATATTTATAGTCGCAAAACAGTATCCACCTTTTAACGAATGTTTTGAGACTTCCGGTCTCATCCACTTCCGGTTATTTTATCTTTACAAAACAGATTACGCATCTTAAAATTCATCTTAAAACTATTTCTTTTCTTTTTAACATATTGTCGTACTTATAAATGCACCGTTTTGTAGCGCATAGTTTTGCCGTTTACCTCACCTTTGACCTAAAGCGCCGAGGGAATCGGAAGTCCCGCACGTTCACAGAAAAACAACACAATGTTCGTTTAAAAAATATTATCTTTGCTATGAGAACTAAACATCGCAGGAAAGCAGATCTTCGATAGCTGTGCTGAACATCCGTGGGTTAAATCAAGTAAACATTCAATGTCAACAGCGCGCCTCACTGCCTTGGCTGTAAATACTCCTGAAATGAAGAGACTTTGGGTCGGGGAAGGAGGGAGAGAGAGCAAGAGGGAGATGGGTTCCGCTCAGGAGGTGAAGCAGTCCAGCGAATCGAGTGAGAGAAACACATCTGCTTTGCACCGAAACGTGCTCGAACCGTCCTGAACCAGCTCACAGCTCTGTAGGTTTGGAGAAATGTCCTTAACGCAGATGGCCTGAGGGGAACAAAACGGCACTGTAAACCTTACTGAAAGTTGCATGCGATTCTGTCTGACTCTGAATGAACGCTCTTCTTAAATACATGCTTTTTAAAATAAACAACGGACAAATCAGAGACACTCTAAAAAAATTATGGGTTGTTTTAACCCAATTTTGGGTCAAATATGGACAAACCCAGCTGTTGGGTTAAATTTAGGCTATAAATTATAATTTTTTTTTAATCCAAAAATTGGGTTTGTCCATATTTGACCCAAAATTGGGTTAAAACAACCCAGCATTTTTTAGAGCGTAGCCTATCATATGCTGTCTACATTTATGACTCCAAGTCTTTTAATGTAAAACCCTTGAATACACGCTAAAAATGGCTGGGTTGTTTGACCCAACTTTCGGTTAAATTTTTTAATTACATTTTTAACCCAACGTTTGGGTTTGTCGATACTTGACCCAAAGTTGGGTTAAAACAACCCAGCATTTTTAGAGTGTATAATATATGTATATTTGTACTTTAATTGGTTCTTTAAAAACAGCTTTGCCCCTATATACATGTTTTAAACATTTAAACAATCTTTTTTTTATCATACACATTTACCTTACATTAATAATATTTATTGTACATTCAAATGTATAATCTCAATATATATACATGAACATGATTGGTTTTCCTTTTTTTAAATTTGTCACTTAAGCAAGAAGTTTTGCAAATTATACGAGAAAATCTTCAAGTTCAAAAAAATTAATGTAAGTTCATTATATATAGAAATATACATACATAATTAAATGCAAATTAACTACATCCAATACAACTATTATATCATGTTTATTAATTTAGTAGGGTTATTTAAAGTATAATTTGTTTTAAAAAATAAAATTACGGTTTTAAAAAATATGTATATATGTACATAACATTAATAAACTGCCTATTTTATAAATGTTTGTGCATATATAATAGATGTTGTTTTGATTTGCCATGTAATATGCAATATGTAACATACTAAAACGTGTGTGTTTTTTTTTTTTTTTTTTAATCAAATAGTTTACCATGTTTTTGAGGACTGGCGTTTGTCTGCTGCTGAGGTCGGGCATCGCGCTGTTGGAGACGCCGGGGGTCTCGCCGCTGTCCAGCGCGGATTCACCCTCAGATCTGCGCACATACGGCGACCTCCGGATCCCGGACAGCAAACCCGAGGCTCTCCCGACGGAATAGTAGCTCGGCCCGGTGGACTGCTTGTACCAGGCGTCTGTAGGATGGCTGGAGATGAGGATGGAAACGGCCACGAACACCAACACGGATCTGACGGACTTCTCCATTGCGCGCTTGACCCAGACGTGTGTTTTGATCTATGATGCCTTGTAGCTTTTGGATTGATGTTCTCCACATCTGGAGTTTATATATATACCCCTCGGAGTCGTGATCTCGTTCGTCATTCCCCACGAGATGATTCATATTTCCGGCCAATAGGATTGATTTGGACGTTTGGAGACGGTTGGGGAGCCTTTAACGTCAGGTAGATGTGATGTATGACGGGATTATATTGTTTATCTGTCACTGAGCATGTCTATATTGATCAATAAACGTCTTTCTGGCGTCACAGCACAAATTAAAAAAGACTAAAATCCCGTGCGTAAAGACTCACAAACGCATTAAGCAAAGAGTATCCAAAAATGTTTACTTGATATAAATTAGAAGAGATTTTAATGGAATATAATACTATAAATAAAGTAATGAATCTTTGATTAAATGAAGTTTAGGTAAAGTTTTTATTTTAAGGTGGCACAGTTACACTTTGCTACGTACTTACTATGTAATAACAGTCAATTATGCATAATCACAACTAAGTTAACTGATCAAACCCTAACCATAACTCTAAAGTAAGTACATGTAGTTAATTAATATTACTTAGTACTTATTTGAGTAAGAACAATGTAACTGCGTCACCTTAAAAAGTCTCATTAATGAATGATTTGAATATTGACTTATTGATTTCTCTGTAATTACACTTTTGGATAAACTGTTTTACAGTGTTGTCAGATAAATTAAATGGAGAGGATAAATTAAATAAGGGCACTTTCAATATTGTATCTCAAACAGCTACAACAAACTTAACATTTTAATTTATTCAAATTGATATTCAAAAACATTTTGAAACGTTCCTTCGGCATCTAAGGTGACATTTAAACAATAAGCCCAAAAGTATAACTTTTTCATTAATAATAAGTATTGTTACTAGTATAATTCTAGTAACAATGCTTATTATTAATGATATTTAAATGATTATTATTTAAATTATTAACATGTGATCATATTTTTTATTATAATACAACATATTTAAAAAATAAAATAAAAATATGTCTGAGGTGTCTGAGATAACATTTAAACAAGAAGTCAAAATGTAAATACTAATAATTATTCATTATAATAATTATTAATAAAATGTTATCTTTATTTATAATCAATTTAACCATATTAAAGGGATTGTTCACTTTGAAATTAATTTTTCATATGTTTTAGCTTACCTCAAGGGCATCCAAGATGTATCTTTGTTTCCGCAGTAGTTTCAATTTTGATATTTTTAGGTCAAACCGTTCTTGTCTGTCAGTCATATAATGGAGGTCTATGGTCACCACCTCAAAGAGCATGCAAAGAGAAGTCCAAATTAAACATGATTTAATTTAGTGGCCACACAAACTGCTCGTTTCATGTCTTAGGCCATCAATGTGCACTTACATTTACGAGTCATTAAATCATGTTTAATTTGGACTTCTCTGTGCATGCTCTTTGAGGTGGTGACCATAGACCTCCATTATATGACTGACAGACAAGAACGGTTTGACCTAAAAATATCAAAATTGAAAATACAGTGGAAACAAAGACACCTACATCTTGGATGCCCTTGAGGTAAGCTAAAACATATCAAAAATGTATTTCAAAGTGAACTATCCCTTTAATAATAAAAAAAGGTAAATAACATTGAAATAGACATAGACATTTTTATTGAGTCTTATTACCTTTTTACAATCTATGGTAATGAAATTTTCAAAAAATAAAATCACGTTGACATTTTGTTATTCAAAAAGTTTATTCACATTTTCAATATAAAAGCTACAAATATATTCTCAAATGAAACCATTGAAACAGTGATTCTGAAAGTCTTTTCTTTGATTTCAGGCACTCATAGTCCGTTGTGCAAGGGTCTGCACTGCGGTTCCAGCTTACTCTCGAGAACCGCATCCGGCTCGCACACCCACGGATCCTCCGTTCTCCACTGCCACTTCAGCAGCTGCTCCCTCAGGCTCTCCAGAACCGGGGCGTACGCCGGATCACCGGCCAGATTCTGCCTCTCCGTCGGATCCGACTGGATGTGGAACAGCTCCCACCTCTCCCGGTAGTAATACTCCTTTAGAGTCTTGAACCAGCCAGTGGGCCGGCCCGACCGCGTCCGGTTTAACAGGTCCTGGAAGGTTGGGGACACGTAGAAGTCCTGGTCTATAGGAAAGGGCATGCGGTAGTGAAGATTGTGCAGGAGCCGGTAGGGGCCGTGGTGGATGGAGCGCATCGGGTAATACATAGTGACCTCATGGAGACTCTGGCTGGCGTAGACCGTGTCCCAGGACGGCTCCGAGCTCAGGGCCGGGAGGAGAGACCGACCCGTCAGCTCAACCGGACGGCCACCTGAGAGACTGTACGACGGGTACGGCAAAGAGAACCAGTCCAGTATGGTGGGAGTGATATCTGGGGTGGGGGAGGATTAGAGATGCTGTTTGACAGTGTCATTTAAATAGTAAGCAAATAGAAAGATGTGACCGTAAAAACAGAATCAAGGACATACAAACAGAAAATGTTATATTAATCTGTCAATATATAGAAAGATATGAGTAAAAAAGGTGGAATAGTGAGGGACGCCATTTTTAAATATCATACGAATAACCAGCGATTCATGCAAATAGAAAATGTTGCATTGGCAATTTCGTACGAATAAAAATGTTTTCACATTTGCCGTAATCTGTCAGTAAAACTTAATACACTGAATCAAGTGCAAAATATTGCAATAGTGAGGGACGGCATTTTTTTATATCATACGAACAACCTGCGATTCGTTAAAGTAGAAATTGCCGTACACACACACACACTATTGTTTTTAAAAATCTGTACGAAAAACTTGCAATTCATAAAAAAATTAATTGTCGTTCATGATACGAAACGGCACATTGGTAACAATGTCATTCAATAGAGAGGTAATTGTACTGTTAAACAGGAACAAGTGCATGAAGGTGTAGTGAGGTATTAAAACTAGGCATACAGCACCACCTAGTGGTTAAAGGAGGTACAGCACATCCTCAGACCATGAAGGACATTAGTTTATTTACCCAGCAGACTGACGTAGGCCTGGCTGATCTGTCCCCAGCGCTGCCGGTGTTCAGGTGAGGACACCAGCATGGGTTCCTTTACACCTGAGCCGTACAGGTTAGTGCGTCCGTTGGGGAACGGGATTCCGTTATCCGAGCTGTAGATCACCAGAGTGTCGTTTTCAAATCCAGCATCCCGTAGCTCTTGAAGAACCAAACCAATACCTTCGGAAAAAAAAAACAACAGTAATTTATGCAAATCTGATATATACACAAGCTGATATTTTCATATTAGTGTGAATGACGTAATATTAACCTTGGTCCAGCCGGCTGACCGTTGTGTACTGGGCCGCTATATCCGCCCTTGCCGCGGGAGTGTCCGGAATAAAGTACGGAACCTAGTTAGATATTAAGAGACTGATGGTTGGGAGCTTCAACGAATGACTTTTTTACATTTTCCTTTATTTGTGAAGCTCACCTTAACCTGGTCTGGAGAGTAATACTTCGGCCGCCAATCCGGAATTCTTCCCATTCCGCTCTCTCCATTCCCAAACTTTTCACAGAACACTCCATACTGAGGCTGGGAATGGCCACAGCGGTGAGGATCATGGAACGCCACATAGAGGAAGAACGGCCGTTCCTCTTCCGTCCCACTTCTCTCTTCCTTCCGGCTCTGGAAGAACTTCCGAACAAGGAGCTTGATCTTGGTGATATTCCGACCCACCTGCAGCACGGAATTGGTCTCCTCTGTGTAGGCGAAATCGAACGGGTATACAGGGCCCGGACCGACATGTTTTTTCCCGATGATTCCTTTAAAAAAAAAAAAAAAGCAATCGTGAATTTGAAAAATTCCACATTTTTCCAAGATTTTCCAAGATTCACCAGCTTTCTGTACTGGCTTTTTGCATCCATTAAGCGCAAAAGGGTGTTCAAAATTTGTACCAAAACGTGTTCTTACAATCAGCACATATTCATTCAAACTGTTTTTTTTACGGTAATTCCTTTACAAAGGAGTCAATCACGAATTTGTAAAATTCCATTTATTACGTTGTAATAAATGTATAAATTATATATATATATATATATATATATATATATATAAATGTATAATTAGTTTTTACACTCATTTTTTTTAAATGGCTACTTTTTCAAAAAGAACCACTACTTTTTCCACAAAGAATCGCTACCTTTTTCAAAAGAATTGCAACTTTTTCAAAAGCAAACATTTTCAAAAAGAATCGCTAATTTTTTCAAAAAGAACTGCTACTTTTTTTTATAAGAATCGCTACTTTTTCAAAAAGAATCGATACTTAAAACAACACTACTTTTTCCATAAAGAATCACTTCTTTTTCAAAAAGAATCGCTTCATTTTTGAATAATTAATTGCTACTTTTTCCACAAAGAATCGCTACATTTTCAAAAGAATCGCTACTTTTTCCAAAAAGAATAATGTAACAAAATAATAATGTAACAAATCTATAATAACACTGTAATAAATGTATAATTACATTGTAATAAACGTATAATAACACTAATGTATAATTACATTATGTCGGTATCGGCTCCGATACTGCCATTTTTGCCGGATCGGGTATCGGTCAGACGAGGTCGATCCGAAACTGATATTGTGCGTATTATTCTGTGTTATTGTTAGGCCCCACAAAAGGCACAAAAACATTATAAAGCACATTATAAAACATTATAATATCGTATAAGTGTTCTGAAGCCATTATATAGCATAATGTGAGATATATATTAATATTTAAGACATTAAATTCAAGATCACCTCACTCGTACGAATTTGTACGATTTGTCTAAACTCATGTGATGGGTAGGTTTAGGGGCGTGGTCAGGGGTATGTCATTCGTACAAATTCATACGAATTGGCCACCTCGTAAAATTCGTACGAATTGCCGTGAGATCGGGTTGGAGATTTTTGTTTCAGAGTCGTACGAATCAAACGCATTCAAACAGGAGTTTTATTATCTGGCCTCAAACACAGAAACAAGATCATGAAGGTTTTTCTGATTTATTTTCATGGATCTTCATCATACCAGTGTGGATGTTGGCTTGATTCAGGAGGAGAGGAAGACTGCGCACTCCATCAAATGAGTTAAAGTGATGAACTCCCTGATGCAGGCCGTACATCCCATTCTGGTGCTGTTAATCAGGGAGAGAGAAGTTTAAGACTTGGTTCGGGCTAAACATCCTTTTACATCCTGGTTACCTGTGGTAGTCCAGTCAGGATGGTGGAACGGCTTGGTGAGCAGCTGCTGACGGAGGTGAAGGCGTTCTTGAAGATCACGCTGCGCTCGGAAAGAGCCCGAAGATGAGGTGTCTGGACCACAGTGTTGTTGTAGACATCCGTCTCGAACCCACCATCATCAGCTGCCAAAACATGACAAATTTACACTGCAAAGGTGGCACAGAGGCGCTTCTGAGTTGCCATTTCCAGACTGTTTAATGCTTCACAGAGGTGGCATAAAAGCATTTACACTGGAAATATAACTACACTGTGATGCTAGTGGCTAAGATGAGTCTGAGCTTCCATAATTTAGTCCAGCTTTTATGAGGCATTGGCTCTTTACTCTGAATTTTAAGTAGTGAAGATTGCTTCACTACTTAAACAACAAATCAAACAGAAAAATATAGAAATATTGTCAAATCAGTATTTACAAATAAGTTACACATATTTATGTTTTTCTACACACCAATGATGAGAAGCACATTTCTTCTTCTGCACTCTCCTACATCACAACAAACAAGGAAACCCAACAGAGTCCACCGGAACAAAAACGACATGCTAGAGTCATTCGTCTCGCACACCTCATGTAATGTTAGTAAAGCAAACGGAAAAGTCTTTAGAACTTTTGTTTACACTCGGCGAGACAAACTTCCGCCATGAATGTGATTCCATCACATGACCACGATCAGCTGACGCAAAGCTTCAGCCAATCGTCTCGCGAGTCGCCGCTGATGTCACAAAAGCTGTTTTTCAGTCGGTAAAAAAAACGAAATACACGTCAAAGTTGCTTTGATTTCTATGAGTATCTTTATTTTTTTGATGTATATAATGAAATTACGTCGGTGGAATGTTTCCTCTCCGCTGAAGTACGAGGCTCGAAGTCATTTCTGAGGTTTGATTTTAAACTTGAATTCGCATTGTGGCTCTGATGTCTGATCATTGATCTCATCTAACGTTAACGTTAGTTTGGCTTGTAAATACGATTTCCAAACAGTTTTTAAACGATATTATATTATTATTATTTATTTTTGATGTGTTTTTCCCCCCCCCCAGATACTTATTCTTCGATTTACCCTGTGGTTTCATGTAGTACACTGGATTAAAATGTCATGATATGACTCGTGTCAAAATTCTGCAGTAATCAGTTTTAACGGTATTTGTAGTAACATTGCGCTTTTTGTTTTGTTACTGTAATTATCTCGGTGAGGTAATACAAAAATAAACAAAACAAACTGTAATAATGTTACTTTGAATAAGTTTTATAATTATTTAAGTGTATTTTTGACCATTAGGTTTTATTGTACTGTAATGCAAAATACACATATAATGACATTAATTTTAATATAGTTATACATGAGGTTAGCAATTTTACTATTTTATATATATATGTTGTTGCAATATATATATATATGAAGAGTTCAGATGCAAAAGCCTCTAAGTGCCATTTGAAATTTTCTTCTAGAATGATCATTTTTATCAAGCTTGTATATTTAAGTTCAGTAATTTCACTTAAATAACAATGAGGATTACCTATTAATTGTCATTTAAGTTAAATTACTGAACTTGAATATATAAGCTTGATAAAAATGACCATTTTAGAAGAAAATTTCAAATGGCACTTAGAGGCTTTTGCATCTGAACTCTTCATATATATATATATATATATATATATATATATATATATATATAGTTGAAATATAAGTTGCATTTCGTTATTTAAAGGGTTAGTTCACCCAAAAATGAAAATGATTAGTTATTAATGACTCACCCTCATGTCGTCCCAAGCCCGTAAGACCTCCGTTCATCTTCGGAACACAAGATATAAGATATTTTAGATTTAGTCCGAGAGTTTTCTGTCCCTCCATTGTAAACGTGTGTACGGTATACTGTCCTTGTCCAGAAAGGAAATAAAGACATCATCAAAGTCGTTTATGTGACATCAGTGAGTTAGTTACAATGTTTTGAAGCATCGAAAATACATTTTGGTCCAAAAATAACAAAAACTACGACTTTATTCAGCATTGTATTGTCTTCCATTTCTGTTGTCAATCCTCAATCCAAATCTTACGGGCTTGTGACTACATGAGGGTGAGTTATTATCTCATTAATGACATCATTTTTGGGTGAACTAACCCTTTAAAGAGTGATTTCACAATCAAAAGTGTTGAATCTTGTCATCAATCATTTTATAGTCTTGTAGTTTGAGGTTCGCAGTTTACGATCTAATGGTGTTCAATTGTTCACAGGTTTGCCTCTTGATCTCGAGGGTTTGAACACCACACGGCCCAAGAGAGAAGGCTTGTTTGCGCACCTGATTCAGTGTTGCACCCTTTGCTCGTCCACACCCTAGCATAATAAAGCGTCCCGGATGAAGCAGGACAGCTCTTTGTGTTCCCCTTGACGAGTGGTGGATCTGATGGAGCCTCGGACAGGAATCCGCTGGAAAGCCGCCCTGCGCTCTTGTTTCCCCATCCTCTCCTGGCTGCCCAGGTATAACCTGACATGTTTGAAGATGGACGTGATCGCCGGTGTGACGGTGGGGTTGACCGCGGTTCCTCAGGCGCTGGCCTATGCGGAGGTGGCTGGTTTACCTGTACAGGTGAGAACGTTCACGTTCTCTCACAGACGCGGTTTGGGGAAGGTTTTCTTGACACGCTGTTTCTTGGTTTTTCAGTACGGTCTGTATTCTGCATTCATGGGTTGTTTCATCTACTGTATATTTGGCACGTCGAAAGACATCACACTGGGCCCGACGGCCATCATGTCGCTGCTGTGTTCGGGGTATATCGGTGGAGAACCTGTGTTCGCTGTGGTGCTCACCTTGTTGTGCGGCGTCATCCAGGCGGGAATGGCTCTATTGAGGCTGGGTAAGATGGAAAATGGGGTTAATGTTTACACTTTATGTCGGTGTGATTCATGGTCGAATCTAAGTTAGATAGTCTGTTTGGTGTTTAAACAGTCATGTGTTTCTTTAAGCATGACTAAAGTAGCAGACTCAGCTGTCTGTAAATCTGTACCATCTTGAAAACAGGAAGTTGGTGTTTTTTTCACTCTCACAGAACTATTAGATTGTATTACTTCCTGTGCAACTTCCTGTTCACGCCTTTAAGCCGCACACCAAAATCTAGCAACAGGTTTTTAAGAACGTGGTATCCGAGGTTGTGGAAGTGAATTACATAACTAATAGATGAAGCTGATAAATCTTTACCGCAGAAGAAACTCAACAACAGAAATATATTTTGTATATTATTCATAGTTTGTCTAAGCAATAAAAAAATCTAAAATTAACAATAATAATATTAGTAAGTATTATAATTATATTAACCATTTTCTTATATGTCTTTATCTATATATTACTTTATTATGTCTTTTCATATGCATTTTCAGTATTAATAAAATTAAATGTCATTTGTACATAAAAATATATACATTATTAATAATACAAACAATAATAATTATTATAACTTTTAAATGTATTTTAGCTTTAAAATTAAAGCTGAGTTGAATATTTGTTATATATATATATATATATATATATATATATACATAATAATAAAATTATTTATATATATATATATATATATATATATATATATATATATAACATTATCCAGTTATAGTTATTATATAATTATCATTATAACATTTTGGGGATTTTTTTAACTCTTTATGTGTTGTAGCTTTATAATGAAATGAAAGTTAATTAACAAATAATTAAATTAATTAATATTCTATCTCAACAAACTACATGTGATTTCAGAGATGATATATTAAATGTTATTGTTTATTAATTATATATAAATAATAATAATAATTTACATAATAGAGATTTTTTTTAATTAATTAAATTAGTTAATTCAATAAAAAAAAACTCAATTAAATGTTTGCGACTTGAAAAGTTTTTGATATGTTTTATTACAGTCAGTCACCTGATCTGTTGATTTCTTCTTCATTAGGGTTCCTCTTGGACTTCATCTCATATCCAGTAATTAAAGGCTTCACCTGTGCTGCGGCCGTCACTATCGGCTTCGGCCAGGTCAAGGTGAGAGTCTCAGATGCCTCTTTTCACTTTAGTTGCATAAATCTCGAATGTCCTTGATGATTTGTGAAGAGTTTTTGTGTCCTGACCCGAGTCCACTCCATTTGTTCTGCAGAATATTCTGGGTCTGAAGGAGATTCCACAGCAGTTCTTCCTGCAGGTTTACTACACCTTCCACAAGATCCCTGAGGCCAGGTGAGCACACATGTACTGGATGTGTTTGACCAATGAGCTGTCACCATTTTCTAATCCCAGTAGTGTTAAAGTGCCAGTGTGATTGGTCTACTCTGCTCTGATTGGTCAGATGGCCCAGTCTGTTGTGATTGGTCTACTCCAATTATCTGCTTTGATCTGTGAATCTTTTCAGACATTTTACTTCCACAAACAACGTTATTACACACTACATGAAAGGAATTATCTGAAAAAGCATAATGGGGACACTTCAAATATGTTCTGAGCTGCCTGTCCAAATGATCTGTATTCTCAGAGTCGGAGATGTGATTCTGGGCCTGTGCTGTCTGTTCTTCCTGATCATGATGACGCTGATGAAGAATTCTCTGGGTTCTGCTGAAGACGAGGCTCCTTCGCTCGTCCGATCGGCTCGAGGGCTGGTGTGGAGTATAGCTACTAGTGAGTGCTTCAAGTCTTTATGAAACTATAAATGAACTGACAATTATTTAGGGACATCCTTCTTGTGTCCGCAGTCCGAAACGCTCTGGTCGTCGTAGCGGCGACGGCTGTTGCGTATTCCTCAGAGGTCACAGGTCACCATTTCTTTAGTCTCACCGGGAAAACCGCCAAAGGACTCCCTCCTTTCAAAGCTCCGCCCCTTTCAGAGACCATAGCCAATGGCACAGTGATTACTTTCAGTGACATCGCAAAGGTGAGATATTGTAGTGTAGTTTGTGGTAAAAAGATTTCAGTTTTTGATGCCCCTATCAAATACTCAAATACTGCCCAATTATATTAAGAAAGACATTATTAAGCCATTTATTTTTACAAAAGGACTGCCAGTAGATTGAGATTATAAAGATTATTCTTGTTTTCAGTAAAAAGAAGTTTAGAAAAGATATAATACAATAGAATTATATTTTATTTAGATTTATAATTAAAAAATATAAATACGTGAAATGTTATATTGTATTTATAAAATGTAAAATATTTAAACATTACAAATATTATATATATATATATATATAATTATATTATTTTACAAATATTTTAAGTTTTATATTGTCACTGTACTAAGTCCCCATTAAATATATTTAAGAAAATAATTCTTCTATTTCTTCTAACAAAATGGTATTTATTTCTGAATATTAAAAACTAGTATAAAATATTTTGTAATATTACAGGTATATTTTAAAAGCACCCTCTGGCACCCCCTTGTGGCCTCTTAGTGGACCCCAAAATATTGAATCCTCATATAACACTACAATACAGAATAGCATATCATAGTACTAGTGAAGTATATGTGACATTTTAGAGATTTTAAGTGGCCAATCAAGTAGAATAGTTATCATTACTGACCAATCAGGTGTATTTTCTCAGGATTTAGGTGGCGGCCTGGCTGTCATTCCTTTAATGGGCGTTTTAGAGAGCATCGCTATTGCAAAGGCATTCGGTAAGAGCTTATTTTCTTTAATA